TGTGTGTGTGTGTGTGTGTGTGTGTGTGTGTGTGTGTGTGTGTGTGTGAGAAAGTGAGAGAAAGTGAGAAAGAACGAAAGGAAAGATAAAGATTTGAAACTGGGTTAGAAAGAGAAGAAGAAGAAAAAAAAATTCAATGGTGAGTTGGTTGGTTCAGGGGGTTTATGAGGTTGGCTGGTAGGTCTTGGTCTCGATTCGAAGGATGCTTCTACGATAGACTTTTCTCGTGTGGCTGGTGGGAAGGTTGGATGTATATTTGTCTTTTTGCGTGTGTGTGTGTATGGGTGTGTATGTGTGGTTTGCTTTGTTGACATGCGTTTGATCGATGTATCGAGTTCGAGACCTAAGAGCGAGAGAGAGACCCAGAGAGCGAGTGAGTTTTTGTATTTGTGTTTGTGTATGCCTGTCTGTCTGTCTGTCTGTCTGTCGTGCGACTCAGGCCCAAGCCCAGACTCGGAATCAGACTCAAACTCACGAGCTGGGTGAGGATTGTGTTGTACGTCGTAGGCTATGTATATATGTATAGCAGGTAGGCGAGAAGATGTGTATATCGAAAATCAATCACATGCGTCGCGTGGAAAGAGCGACTACATATATACATACATACCTACATATATATACATGGATGGGTGACCTGGGCGTTGCGGAAGGGAAGCAAGGGCGAACATGCCCACCTCCAGGACACGACAGCGCAACGAACTCTAAGATGAATGTGTAACATTTTGGGAGGGGACATTAGGAAGAAGAAAAATCCGCTCGGTGCATGCGCGTGGCATCCTGCGGAAGAGAAGAGAAGAAATATACTTGTTTGTTTCTTTGGTCGGTGTTAGGTTAAGGCAAGCAAGGTCTGTACAGCAGTATGGTGGTGGATATATGACTACGTTGGCAGCACAATACATCGGCAGCAGCCGAGGATGGAATTGGCATATGCAACAGTAATCAAAGTTTTGACAGTATACGTGAAATCTATTCCACTATCGTTTGGGATGTCTACAGTTGGGTCTCGTGCCATCGATCGAATACAAAGAACGGAAGTGTAAGCTCCGCGCACCGCCGCCATCAGACCTTCTCCCCTCGTGCACGATTCCAAATATCCTGTGGCTGCGTGACGTTTACTACTAGGGCAAAGTGTGAATCCTGCCTGAATTTTGTCGTTCTAAGCATCCAGAATTATTACAACAACACAACTCCCCTGACCCATAAGCGTCTAGTCATAAAGCCCCTCGTCTTCACCACCGTCTGTCGCGGTGTTTGCCGCTGCGTTGTTGGCGTCTGGGAATCGGAAAAACGAGCTTGGCCCAGCGTTCTTCATACTTTGAGCAAAAGCCTCGTACCGGCGGATCTCAACATCGGTGACCGACCGGCGTGCGGTGGACATAGCCTCCTCAAAGTGGCGTTTGGTAAGCTCTGGCACTGGATCCTCGCCCTCAACATCTTCATCCATGAGGTCTTCGCCGGCTGCCTCGGCGGCTGCCTCGCGCTGCTTCTGGCGAGCAATGTCAGACGAAATGGCTTCCTTGATAGCTAGCTTGACGGCACGCTGGGTGATGAAGCCCAAATCGGCACCAGAGAAGCCGTGGGTGTTTTGCGCAATGAAGTCAAGATCGACGTCAGGGGCGACTGGTGTCTTGCGGAGCTGTGCTTTCAAGATACTCTGGCGGGATTCTTTGTCTGGGAGTGGGACGTATACAAGTGTGTCGAGACGTCCAGGGCGGCACAGAGCGTTATCAAGCTGCTCAGGTCTATTCGTAGCACCGATGACGAAGACGTTCTTCTTGGACGTCATACCATCCATCTCGGTAAGCAGCTGGTTGACTACGCGGTCCGAAGCACCGCCAGCATCGCCTACTGAGCCGCCACGAGATTTGGCAATTGAGTCGAGCTCATCGAGGAAGACAACGCAAGGAGCAGCCGCACGGGCTTTGTCGAAAATGTCGCGAATGTTGCTCTCTGACTCACCGAACCACATGGAGAGAAGCTCGGGTCCTTTGATGGAAATGAAATTTGCGGCACACTCGTTGGCGACGGCTTTGGCGAGTAATGTTTTACCCGTTCCAGGAGGTCCGTAGAAGAGAACACCACGGGATGGCGACAGGCCAAATTTGAGGAATTTGTCGGGGTGGTCGACGGGATATTGCACGGACTCGATGAGCTCGCGCTTGACATCTTCGAGACCACCAATGTCTTCCCATCTGACATTGGGAACCTCCACGACCGCAACTTCGCGAAGCGCGGACGGGTTGGAGACACCGAGAGCGAAGCGGAAATTCTCCATGGTCACACCGAGAGAGTCCAGAACCTCTGCATCAATGGTATCCTCGTCCAAATCAATGAGATCCATCTTTTCACGAATTTGCTGCATCGCAGCCTCCGAGCAGAGGGATGCAAGATCAGAACCGACATAGCCGTGCGTCTCGGCAGCTATCGTTTGCATGTCCACATCTTCTCCTAACTTCATGTTCTTGGTGTGAATTTGAAGAATCTCAAGACGTCCCGTCGGATCTGGGATACCAATATCGACTTCACGGTCGAAGCGACCGAACCGACGGAGGGCGGGATCAATAGAGTTCGGTCGATTGGTGGCGGCCATGACGACTACATTGGAACGAGCCTTCATCCCGTCCATCAATGTAAGGAGCTGCGATACAACACGTCGTTCGACTTCACCGTTGGTCTTCTCACGTTTTGGCGCAATGGAGTCGATCTCATCGATGAAAATGATAGCAGGCGAGTTTTTCTCGGCCTCTTCAAAGGCCTTCCTCAGATTGGACTCTGACTCACCGGCCATCTTTGACATGATTTCCGGACCGTTGATGAGGAAGAAAAATGCTCCCGTCTCATTGGCAACAGCTCGAGCCATAAGAGTCTTACCAGTACCGGGAGGACCGTACATGAGAATTCCACGTGGTGGCTTGATGCCGATGGACTTGAAAAGCTGTGGATGCCTCAGAGGTAGTTCGACCAGCTCGCGGATCTGTGCCATTTGCTTTCTGCAACCACCAATGTCATCATAGCCGACCTCGTTGAGGTTTCCTTCTTCATCTTCACGTTGGATGGGCTCGCCCTCGCAATGAATCACAGTGTCCTGTGCCACGATTCCCATCTCGGGTGGATCTACCTCCACGACTTTGAACTCTACTTGTCGCATGCCACCACGGGCTGTGAAAGTATCACCTTGCCGTACCGGACGGTAGTTTTCCCGGAAGTATGGAGCAAGGAATACATCGAAGAGAGAGCCGGTGATACCCTCGACGGTATCGGCGATGGGAAGGACAGCGATACGCTTCGCCTATATGCCTGTTAGAAGACTGAATCTGATGATGAGGTCGATGGACTTACGTATTTTATATCTGGGCATGGGTGGATAGTGATCACATCACCATGCTTTACTCTGAGGTTGTGGCGAACCACCCTGTTTATGCGAGCGCTGCCATCATCGAGATCATCATCGGCAAGGACAATGAGAACAGTGTCCTTTCTTTTTTTGCCCTTGACTAGGACGGTATCACCGCGGAAGATTTCCAGTGTCTCCATGGTGTTGTTTGACAGAGCTATGATGGAGTTGTCATCGTTGACGGCATCAGTCACGATGAGCGAGTTGGGCTTCTTCTTCTTTTTCAAGATTGCCGTCGCAACCTCGTCGTCCGTCTTAACTGCACCTGATGGATCTTTTGATAAGTCCACCTTTGGATTCGTGTGGTCAGGTTCGGCAGACATGATGGCGATCTCTGAGTGAGGCGATGTTTGTTGTGATATGATACGCGAACGTAGAAGCTGAGTCTGAAAAGCTCAGCGATGCAGCGGATAATACGGGGCAAAAGAGACAAGTTACTGTAGTAGAGGAACTTGTATCGGGAGAGTGGCGAAGGTTGAGTTGATGTGTTCTGGGAGAGACAAGTGAAGGTGGTCGGAATTTGAGAGAGCTCATAAAGGTAACACGGAACGTTATGGCGATAAGAGTGCGCTTTACCCGAAAGGAACTAGTGCTGGTAGCTGGATTACCTGAGCTTTCCAATGTTGTGTTGGCCGGAACCTGGTGGAATTGAATAGAGATGAGGCTGCGCTGTGCGATGTGGGTTTGGTTTGAAATCGCTGCGCAGTGCAATCGCCCACCACCTAATTAATATAATAAAGGACGCATTTACCTGCTTGTAAGCAGGTACCAGTCACGTTACTGACGCGTACGACTTCTTATTGCCGCCTACACAGACTCCATAATGAAGCTCTGTCCATTTCTCCCATGTTCAAAGCCGACGTCACCAACTGCAGCCTGCACTATGCCACATACGGTGTCCTGTAACTTCCCATAACGCGGTCCGGTCGACAATAATCGGGCAGTTCGGATCAGCACGGCCGGACGAATTATTGTATTCAAAGCATGTAACTCTCTAAGTGTATACGTATACAACGCGACTATGCCACATGTATGGCATCAATATAACACCAATAAATATCCCTCGATAAGCCAGTATCCTGACTTGACTCTTTCAAAATCAAAGGATTCTCCACAATATCCGAGGCCAGCGTTTCTCCAATTTGACATCACTCCATCATCGTCAGCGTGCCGCCCTGTGTCATGTCACCGAGCTCGTTATCATGCTGGCTGCAATGTGACTGCTTCGCGGGCAGAGCATGCGGCGTACAAATGTAGTAGCACAGTGAGCCACTTCATGCCCTCAAGCGAAGAATCTGTACGGTGTTCTCTTGTTCGTCCAATCTCAACGATTTCACCCTTCGTCGTCAAACTTGAGATTACAAGCCTTCTCCAATTCTGTTTTTACGACTTTTATTCCGGCTTGGACAGCTCGGTCGGGTATCTTCAATCCTCCTTCTTCGACCTCCTTGCTTGCAAGATCTCCGTTTGTGGCGCCATTTGTGGCATTCTTCTCGGTTGTTTCGCCTCGTGCGTCCTTCATGATCCTCTCCATCAGTTGATTGAATGTGGTGCATTCGCCGCTTCGCAGCAACTGCATGATCTGAACACGGAGGTTCGCAGTCCACCCAGAAGCAGACAGCTCTTGTGTGAGACTTCGCTGGATGTGAGGAACCGAGCCGGCATTGATAAGTGCGGTGTACAGAGTATCCTGGAGTTTTGATGTGAGGATTGGATTTGCGTGAGATGGTGTGGGATGTGTCAGAGTCGTCTTGTTGTGAGGAGACATCGTGCTGTCGACGTAGGAAATAGAGTCAGGGAGAAGCTACTTTGCTGGCTGACAATTGTAGTGAACAAGTTAATATATGCTGCAGGATATGAGTAGTCCTGTACCCAGTCTGATGCGAGCGTTACTCTATTCGGAGACGTGTGGGAAACGCAGCTTCGTGAAGCGTGAAAATTGACCGTCGAGGATGATAAGGCTCGCAGGGACGACAAGGAGCTCCCTGAGAAAGTGCGATTCCAACCCGGGTCTAGGCTACAGTCTTGTGTGTGTGTGTGTGTGTGTGTGTGTGTGTGTGTGTGTGTGTATAGCTCAACGTCCGTTCGTGCTGAATACAAGGAATGGAAAGGTGGGTCAGATGAAGTGTTTCCTGACTGAAGATAGCAGTGAGCAAGGCGTAGTCAACCAAGTATGAACAACAGAAGCCACCGGGGCGTTCAAGTTGATGGATTGTGGAAATGTGGAATGTGGAGGAGAATCAGTACAATCCTTCGGAGAGTTGTGTGGTGGTGAAGGAGGCATTTCACGATTAGGCGTATGCGTATCTGTAGAATGTCCGGAATAGGGATGGTGTGGGGTCCCACCTTTACACGGCCCTTGAACACAAAGCCATTGGATATAATTACGCAAAATGTGCTGCATTCAATCGGGACCACAAGCACAAGCACAAGCACAAGCGCAAGATCAAAAGTATCAGCATCTATTGGCAGCCTATCGTCCGGAGTGCGGAATGCAGCAGGGCTTTCTCGGAACTTAGGAGCACGATCCGCTGGTTCTGGTAGAGACGGGTGTAGACAGGAAGAGTGTGAGGCAGCATAGGTAGGTTACTTGATGGCGTTGGCAGGATTGCCCAGGCTGGCAAGGGGAAAAGAAGGCTTTCCAACAAGACTTGAGGTGATTAGAAGTCCAGAAGTCCAGACGCCAATGACAATGACAATAATAGTATATGGTGGTGGCAGTAATTAGCATTATTCTTGTCTCAATGTCTGGGTTATAGGTGTATTACAGCATCCCGCCTCTGCCCTGGCCTGGCAGCGATAGTAAGTGACAGCGGGAGAAAGGGAGGCTAAACGGGCGGCACTGGCGACTTGAACCAAGCAAAGCTGGCGGGCGATAGATATCGTGCCGAGCGCCCTCCTCCTCCCCCCCCTGCCAGGCTGCCAGCTAGCTAATATTTAGCGAGGGACCCAGCTAAATACCCAGCCAGAATCCCAACCAGATACCCCAGTTAGTGCCCAGATCCATTGCAGCTCTCCCGCTGGCCGCAGCCCCCTTCATCAAGGCCTTCAAGGTTGTCATCCATAATGGATGGCATAATCCATTAGGTCCCTAGTAAATCCTTCTCAACCCCAGTCTTTCACCCAAAGCTTCATCCATCCATCCATCCAGCCCAATCTCCACCCGCCCGCTTGCCGCCCTCCAGTTACGCTACATAATATAGTGCTCTGTTGTCAAACTCCGCTTGTTCTCGATCTCGTTTACCATATCACCATCACTCATCTCGACACTCCCACTTCTCCGTACCATCTCTTCGACTTGTCCTTTGACGCTCGTTCCGTCCATTCTCGCGTTTCGAATCTTCAGGCCCCTCCTTCTACGCCGCCCGCCGTCTTGGTACTGCCACAGTCGAAGCCTCCTTGATCTCAGTAGCATTCCTCAACCAGCTCCACGGCAACATACTCGAACTTATTGGCCACAAAACAGGGCGTGGTCGCTCCAAGCTTTATACTCTTCTTCTTCCTTGACTGCTGGTCGCTTGGCGTGGCACCCAAGTCGTCCAAGTCAACAAAATATCTTGCCTCGCCGCCCAGCCTTCTTTGGTCGGATCCACGGCCATAATGGCTTACAAAACGTCATATCAGGAAGACTCGGACGCAGACGACGAGTACGAGCGCTCTGTCGTGTCTCCTGCTCTTCCACCGGATTTTGAATCATCCCCTACAGACTCCGACGCTCCCTCTACCGAACATACACCCACTACATTTACACATTCTGCGGGGGATAGTCATGCTTCCCCAACCGGGCGGATGAACGAATGGACCTCTGAGCAGTGCGCAGACTGGGTCTCGAGTCTAGGACTACCCCAATATGGAGATACGTTCCTTGGTATGTGGCCTGGTCCTAGGATGAAACCTTGTCAGCGTGTGCTAACATAAGTCCGGTAGACGAGGGCATCTCTGGGGATGCTTTAATAGCCCTGCACCACGCCGAATTGAAAGAAATGGGCATGAGTAGTGTTGGCCATCGCCTCACGATACTCAAAAGCGTCTACGACGTCAAAGTGAAGCAAAACATCCACATTGAACCTGATCATTATGTGCCCCTCTGTAAGTTCCACCTCGTGCAAAACGAGCCCTCCTGACCCGTTTATAGCAGCAGAAGCGGGCCCACAGGAAACACCTCCCACGCAAGATGACTTCGCCCGTATAATCCGCATTATCAAGGACCGTGACGAACGGATACATACCGCCGAGGCGGAGCTGCGCATACTCAAGGATGACCTTCAAAGAATCATGGACGAGAACCGAAGGTTGCGAGAAGAGTTCTTGCCTGTTGTTCGGTTAGTAAAGGACCGGTCACAGCCCTTACCAACTCCCGACGGGCAAGACGGACATATGAACTCGCCGGCAGGACAAGAACGAACAGGTAGTAGTCTTTCTCGAAAATTCTCTACGAAAAAGCTGTTCCTGGGAAATGCCCCGAAAAACCCGTCACCCACTATTTACGAAGGCAGACCACTTACCGACGCTTCACATCTAGAACAATCTGCTGCCGCCCTCGCAGCCTCGAACAACCTCACCGCATCTCTGGGTGCTGGTCACGCTACGTCCCCGCACTCAATCGCGCATCCGTCTCCGACATCTCCAGCGTACAGCCAACATACAGTAGCCAACTCCATCCGCACTGTTCCAAGAACAGAATCACGAACTCACACCAACGACGATAATTACTCTTCTTACAATGACCGAGATACCACACGCGGTACAACTCCAAACCCCCTGAACGCTCGTCCACTTCGTTCCAATGTCTCTGTCAGTACACCGGATGCCATCGATCCGCCTTTGTCAGGAGGCACTATCACGTCGTCGGGGGCATCCATTGCGCCAACGCCTACTACGAGCGGCTCATCCAATCCACAGGTCGAGATCTTCAAGTCTTTCCGCGTGTCCATAGATGATCCTTGTCATAAGGTTCTTCCCGTCGCGCTGAAGAAATACAACATAACAGCAGACTGGCGGCAATATGCACTTTACATTGTACATGGAGATCAAGAAAGATGTTTAGGTCTCAACGAGCGGCCACTGATTCTTTTCAAGCAATTGGACAAAGAGGGACGAAAGCCCATGTTCATGCTGCGGAAGCATGCTGCGCCGGAGCAAGGTCACGTGAGCACCGTTTCAGGAGGTCCTCCCCAAAGCGTTGGCCAGGGCTCATTCGACAACAGCCAAAGCAGGTGGACGGGTGGCTCTGTACAACTACCTGGTGGCGTGCTATAAAGTAAAATTCGCAAACGTTATCTCCAGGACTACACTAAACATGAATTCGGGTCAAATTGGTCTTGGAAGCTCCTGTACCATACCATACACTGTACGAGACGACCACATCATACACGGCACCAGGGTGTGCCATGAGTCTCGCCATGGTGCTGGCCAGACGTCAACTACCATGGACATTCCGAAGAGCGAACGTACTCAAACCCAGCGCCTCACAAGCAGAGTAAAAGCATATTAGACTGGTCACAGTTATGGATTTCATTTCGAGGATGGAGGAGTGGTCTCGACTTTTGCCAGTCGTGGAGTTTGGAAGGTTTGGCCCAACGAATGGACTGTGAACGACACTTATCATCACCGTTGTATCTATTTGATCATTGAGGCCCTATCGCCTTCCTCGGACGACAATGGAAATCCTCATCCTTACGAATCGAACCTGTTCGGAAATACCTCGAGTGAGATTATGTATGCTGACATCCTCAGAAGGTATACCATACTCCGCATTGCCTAATCCCTATACATTCTATGAGATTGGCACGTCTAGAGATGGTTCGACATCGATGACCAGCTCATACCATCACATAAGCACCTGCCAAGTCCCCAACTTCTTGCTACTGCTCGTATTTTCAATCTTGGAAGGACCTGCATGTTCCTGCCTTTGACATCCTGTTCTTCAATCAATTCCACAGGGTTGACCGGACCGTCTTTTCGGGCCGAAATCACCTATATAGAAAATGACCCGCGGACTAGAGTGGATTCAAATTTGACGTCTATAAAGTCAGCCGATATCCCGATGTTTAGACAGACATTGACCAGCCAAACCTCAGAATTCAGTCCAAGTGATCTGAAATGCTTCTACTAAATATTGCTTGCACGCTCGGGCTCATCGTAGTGGTAGCATGCTTTGATTTACCACCTCTGAGCGGCCGGTACGAAGTAGGCACAGTCGCATTTGAAATCATCGACCCTTCGCGTGTCGACCCTTTGGCTCCTGACACTCGTGTCCGCGACCTCATGCTCTCGGCCTACTACCCGACTACGACCCCCAAAAACCACGGCCTCGCAAACGCATACACAGCCCCACATGCAGCCTTCCTTGAGCGCAAGTATGGCCTACCCTCTGGCGCAGCAGCCAATGTCGTCTCCCAAGCACACACTTCGGCTCCGATTGCACGGTCAAACAATGACATGCCCCTTATCCTCTTCTCCCCCGGCTACGGCCTCTCCCGCTCAATGTACACCTCCATCCTCTCGTCCATCGCCTCCTCCAGCTACATCGTCCTCGCCCTCGACCACCCCTTCGACACCGACTTCATTGACTACCCCGACGGCCGCAGCGTCTCCAACACGCAGGCCAAGAGCGTGAACTGGAAGAGTCCGGAGTACGTCTCCTTGCGCGCCGACGACGTGCGCTTCGTGCTCGACCAGATCTTGGGCAACGCCAGTGTCGCAGCACAGATTCCCGGCGTGGGCGACCGCGTGTTGAAGCCGGCTAAAGTGGCGCTATTTGGGCATTCGGCGGGTGGCGCGACTGCGGCGTGGACTATGCACCTTGATGCGCGTATTGGGTGTGGTGTCGATCTGGATGGCGTTTTGGTCGGGCCTGTCGTTGACGCGGGTCTGGATCGGCCGTTTGCGATTCTGGGCGCGGAGGATCGTAAGGCGAATGTGGAGCCCTCGTGGGCGTCGTTGAGGGCGGCGAGTACGGCGTGGAAGGGCGAGGTGAGTGTGACGGGTAGTCTGCATTATGGGTTTTCGGACCTGGGGTTTGAGGCGCAGGCGTGGAGAGATCAGGGAGGGGGGGAAGTGAGTGCGGAGTTGGGGAAGCTTGTGGATTCGGTTGGACCGATTGCTGGGGGAAGGATGTTGCGGGTGATGGATGCGTGGATGGTGGATTTTTGGAAGGGCTGTTTGGGAGGTGAGGGGTATGGGCTGTGGGAGAAAGGTGCGAGTAAGGAGTGGCCTGAGGTTGTGGTACGTGAGGATTGAGCTACTGGTGTTGATGCGCATACATACTTTAGATGAGCCGGATATGCTTTAGATTTCTTGTTGTTGCGAATGTATCTAGTCTTGCCTCGCCACACATGCGAGGAATGCCAATAGACCAAACATGCGCCTAGAAAGAAGCAGCTCTGTCTATTCGTGAGCGCTGATTATGCCTGTCATAGCCATACTCAACCCGCCGAAACGCCCCTGACTCCTCCGGACGCCACGTACCTCGATCCGCCATTAGAGACTGCTGCTCTCAAAAACATGACGCTCAGTTCCAGTACGAAGATTCTCCTTCTCGCCCACATATCTGCTTCACTACGGCACCACACTCATCATCAGAGGTATAATAAATCGCTCCAGACTTGAGATTCCCAGGCCAAGTATCCGGACCAAACAACTCATTACACCACTCTATCGGACCCGCCCGCGACACCAACCGCCCATACACATAATCATACGCGCTCTGGCTCCGACACTCCCCCGTGCCCCAAACAATCGCCAAAACCCGCACTTTCGCATCCGCGGCCCAGTCAGGCCGGGGCAGCGGTCGGACGACCTCACAGACGCTCTTGCTGCTGTTGTTCTGTGAGAGACTGATGGGCCCGGCTTGGAGGTGGTGCGTGCCGGATTTGTCGCCGCAGGCGAAGATGCGACGTTCGGAGCCGAAGGCGTGGAGCACGGAGATGGACTTCATGACGCCGTGCCAGGGCTCGGGGAAGCCGGGGTCGACGCTGGGGATGGAGAGGTGTGCGCCGTTGTTGAAGAGGGTTTGGGCGAGGGAGGTGGTTTCGGCGCCGCCGTAGGTGGCGCTGAGGATGGTGAGGGTTGTTGGGGTGGGTTCCGGGGAGGGGGGTTTGGTTGTGGTGTTTTGCAGGAGGAGAGTTTGGGGTTGGAGATGGGTTGCTAGGTGGTTGATTTGGGTGCATGTGTGGAGTGCGCTGTCGAGTCTGGCGAATGCTGTTTTGCGTCGGGTGGTGTCTGATTTGGCGATGTAGCCTTTTAGTTGTTCGAGCTTGGTGGCGATGTCTTCTAGATTTGTTTTGAGGAATTCGAAGGCTTCTATGAGAGTTGTCAGTGGCTGGCATTCTGTATATGGATGGTAGACCGACCTATCAGATGCGTTAGAGCGTCGACTGCTGGCTTGATAACAGCGCCTAGTTCAGTGCAGGCTCTTTGCAAACCACCGAATTCATCTTATTTACCATGTCAGCAATCGTCCTTTGTGAATGGGAACCGCCGACTTACCGCGAAAGCGCACGATTCGAGTCCTCTTATCACTTGCCTCTTGCGCAATAGCATCATACTGCTTCGTGGCTTCGTTGAGAGCCTGGCGGAAGTCATCTGCCGTGAGAGGAGGACAGACGGCCAGTCCCATAGCGACCCAGGGGAGATAGTTGACCCAGTTAGCTCCAGCTATACGCATATTAGCAGCATCCCTTGCGAACGTGCCAATTCCAATTACTCACATTTCTCATCTGCCTCGAGCTCTCTCACTCTATCTCTTGCGTGGTTCTGCTTACCGGCCAGATCGTTCAGAGAAGCCCTGGCGTTGCTCATTGCCTCACGGAGCTCCTGGTTCAGAGTGTCGGTTTGGGGAAGGGCAGCATTCGCACGCCTGTTGATCTCGGAGAGCTTGCCCTGGTCAGTGTCTACAGTCTGGGCTTTCAACTGTATCTCAGTAAGAGTGTGATCAACATGAAGACATAATCATGGTTGACTAACAGTCGTGAGCTTCGCGGTGACCAACTCGCATGTCTTTTGATGAGCCCTAGCTTCTTCGCAAAGCTTTCCAGCAATCGATTGAGCCTCTTCAGCAGCCGCCAAGATAGCTGGGTTCTCGAATTGGGCGTCTTCGGCAAAACATATTTGCAGCTGTTCGTTCAGTTTCTGTGATCGCTCACCCGCAGACTCGGCAAGATTATGAATATCACTCGCTTTGTTCCGTGTCAGTCGTCTGCATCTTGAAAGTTTTCATGTGCAACTCAAAGCATACCAATATCAACCATAGGATGGAGTGTATTTAGCGCAAAGTCAGAGCAGTGCTTGTTGAATTCCACCAGGTCGTATCGAAAGGCCTAGTAATACATGTCAGCTGTCAACACCTGACACAATGCCATGTCCGTAGAGTGTACATAATACAGTCCGTCATCTTTGCTACCGTACCGCTCAAATATCCATTTTGGGTATTTGGTCTCGAAATCGTCGTGGGAACTGGGCAAATGCAAGGCACCGTTGAGATAAAGCTGCAAGTTGGCAAACAATTGGTCATCGAGCACGAAGTCTTCGTTCTCGATCTTGCCTCCAGGGAGTACATCATCCATGCTGGGCATGACAGAGAATCTGAGCAAGAAAAGAACACAATATCGACACTCTCTGTTCGATAGTAATGTACTTGAAGGCTTCGTAGGTAGCTAACTTATTATATATGCAGAACGTCTCGCATCTGGCCCGTCGATCAGAGCCGCTGATGGACATTTTGGCCCTACTTTGACTTGCATGTAAAGGATCGAACATCCCCAGTCGAGAAAAGCGCTACGGCTGGGTCGAGAGTCTTTGACCGCAATAGCCAACACATATTCACCGAAGGTCAAATGATCCGAGCGTACCGTGCATGAGTACCTGTCCTTGATGTTGAAGGATCTCGCATTGACGGTGAATGGAAGAAGCGACTTGGCAAAGATGTGTCAGGGATTCTGGACCTAAGGAAAGAATGCGCTAGGCCGCATCAGGTAGTAGAGCGAGGCTAGATCTATCGATCAACAAGATTTTCTTTGTTCTTCCTCAACATAAACATCATGTCTGAGCCAGAGCCAGGGCGAAAGATTGCAACCACAATCAATGCACCCATGAATGCTGTGGGCTGACTCTACTGTCGGTGCTAATGGCATCCAGACTTTGTTTTTGTTTACCTGCCCCTGACAGCAGTCTGAAGTGACCGCCGAGCGAATGCAGGATGCAATAGCTCAACATGGCATGCGCGTAGGTGCATTCTGGACTTTACATGCGCTGGCAGTACCATGATCTAGCTTGAAAGCCTATCGCGTAGGCCTTACGTTCTGTCCTCAGATTCTCTGGTAAAATGCTCCGTTGGGTGCATATAAAGTCCTGATGCACTCTGCATCCAACCATTTCCATGGCACATAAGGTCCCTGTATCCCCATTTTCGATCATACTGTCGTCGGTCTCTATCCAACCTGGTATACACACGTAGTATGGAGATCCAAAAAGCCACAGACTTTACCATCAGTGCTCTTACATCAAGCGAGAAAACACTAGCCCGCGAATTGCTCAGCTCTGAGCAGTTTGATAAAGACTCTGACACAGTATGATTTCGCTATCCCCATCTCGATCATAAATTCTAATAGTCTCAAGATATGGCTTCGTGCTCCGAGCCTTGATCTTGGCGACGCCATACGCGATGCTCGGGCGGGGGCAGCTAAAGAAGGGTTTGTGGCAATGTTCATAAACCTTTATTGCGATACACTTGTTGTCAGACCAAATACGCAGATTCTACCAGAGAAAGATGAAAAGGGCGAGCACCCCCTGGTGCTCGAGATTTTTGCTCGAAAGCTTGTCCCATTGAAACCGATGGACGGTCCCTGGATTGAAGCACGGATGATCGATGGGTGTGAGATTGTATTCTGGACTCCACGGATGCCACGAGAATTCTGTATATACTTCGCTCTGGGGGGCTCGGGCACTGAAGTCGTTGATGCCATCGTCGAAAAGGGCCATTTTGGTGTCTCATACCTATTCGACGCTGGAACCATCAAGGAAACTCATTATAAGGCACCAAAGAACGCGATGAACAATCTTGACTATCTCAACCTGATTAACGATGAGGGAAGACTTGTTGACAAGGGCTTTCTGAATGAGTTAGTATCTGCCACGACTCCAGACTTGTCCATCACTGATAGCTCCGCAGTGACCTGCCTCGCTTGCTTCGATTCCAGTTGTTGGTAGCCCAAGCCAACTCAACTGTCAACAAGAAACTTGCAATCGAGCTTCTTGATTATGTCATTACTGCAACGGCGACGCAAAATAGCCTATATTTGAATTGTCAAGCCAGCACACTACTAAGAAATCTCAGTAAGTCCCATGATGCGACTCGAAGCGATTATATACTTGGCTGATGTTTCTTAGTGATCGACGCCGACGTCCTCGCAGTTCCATCGGTCAACATACACGCCAGCAAGCAGATATTGAAATCACGACTTGTGGCAGCACAGGCTTTTGAGCAAGCGTTTGACGATTTCAACAGCGAGGCACGCGACCTCAGTATTCAAAGACTCACAGCTATGAACATGCTCGCAAAGAGTGATAACGCCATGGAGACATACAAGTTTCTCAGGGATATTCGCGAGCGAGACTATGCAAACGCCGTGAGCGCTAACAACAAAGCGAAGGAGATCCTAAAATCACGTCAAGATGACCTGGAGGATCTGAGCAAGGATTTCAATGATGGAATCGCAGAGTGGCAAGACGAGGAGACTAGAGAGGCCATCAAGGAGCTTCTCACCGCGTTCGTCGAAGTTGGCATCGCTATTGGTGTTACTGTCCTCACTGATGGTGCTGGCGCCCCTGAGGTCGCCGTGGCAGCCGGTGAAGTCGCCGAAGTGGGCGGCAGAATCGCTCGCCTAGTCGAGAAAGTCAAATCCGTGTACGAAAAACTGAAGGAAATCTACGAGAAGATCGAGACAGTGGTGGAAAAGCTACAAGAAGCAGCAGAGACCATTCAGGACGTCATCAGCACCTTAAAGGCCGTCGAAGACACCGCTTCGGACGCAAAAGGTCTGAAGCCGCCCAGTGAGATATCCGATTCATTCAACTCCACAGCAGACTGGAGGCGCTTCGACGGCGCAGTACGTGAGATGGAGCATGAAATGGCCGCGTACGAGATAGGGGGCAAAGACGAATACTTCCACGCCCTGAAGACACTCGTCATCGACGGCGAGACTTTCATCCAAACACAAGCAAACCTCGTCCAGAAAGGCGACGAGCTGGCCACCGTCATCGTACAGCAGCAAATGCCAGCCCGAGACAAAACCCGTCTCCACGCCACAACACAACTCGTCGCAACAGACGCACGCGTCGTCGACCTGCTACGACGCGCCATGTTCGACCGCCTCCTCGCCATCCGCTCCATGGTCTACATAGACTTCTACACCTACGTCACCGCCTACAAATACCACGCCCTCTCAACAGGTAAGCCACCCCTCAAACACCTCTCAACCATACCAATCACTCTTCCTAAACGCCCCCTGCTCACCACCACTCAGATCCCATAATCACCCTCTCCCCCGTAAAACCCATCGCCGCCTCCCTCGACGACATCGCCAAACTCCAAGGCGCAATCGCATCCTTCGGCTCGCGCGTCCTCGTGCAAGAACGCTCCTTCACCCTCTCCTCCCTCTGCGGCCACGACTCGCCCGTCGATCTCGCGAGGGCCCTCCTCTCCCATGAACCTATCCTATTCCCTGTCTCCCACGCCCTCCCCGTGTGGGCCGGGTTTGGCAGAATCCGCCTCTCGCGCGCTCGGTAAGTTTTTTTTTTTTTTTTTTAAAGTTTTCCTGCATGTAATACTTGCAAGTCTAACCACACAACACAAAGCTGCTTCCTCGACGGCATCTCCCCACCAACACCCGCACCAGCTCCAACGCCGCTCCGCATCGAACTGCGCACCACAGGCCGCTTCTCCGACCTCGACTACATCGCCCCCAAGCAGCCCAAAACCTTCATCGGCGACCCCCGTATCCTCCTCTTCGAATACACCCCCGGCACCAGCACACACCCACACAACATCCTCTGCGACGGCGACTACGGCCTCGAGCGTGACTACACAAAGCACACCCCGATTACGACGTGGGAGGTGCGGTTGCTGACTGATCTGGCGCCGGGAGATCTGGATGGGTTGACGGGGTTGCGGTTAGAGGTTTTGTGTGAGGTTGTTTGGAGGGGGGTGTAAGGGGGGGGGTTTGTGAATAGGAGGCCAGGAATTGTTGTTTTTGAGAGAATTGGTAAGGGTATATATATTACATACATGCTTTTGTGGACCGGGAGCTTCTATATGGCGACTCATTGGGTTTATATGATTTGATATACACGCTGCTGCCCACGCTGGAACGGTCATGGATGTTGTGCGTCTTCTTGTTCTTGGCATGTTGGTGATGATGGATTCAAGGCAGGGACGATATCATACACGGCTCCCGCAAGTCGAGAGTGTGGGATATCTTGCAGGTTGTTCTCATTGTTTCTTCATTGAAATTCCAGCCTAGGGACGGTCCATTGTCAGACGCTGATATAAAAACAATGTTGTTGTGCGAAGAAGATGCCTCTTCATCGTAAACTCGCTTACACAGGACCCCTCTTCATCAATATCTCCAGCAGAGAATGACCTCACATATTATCGGTAGGCTTGATGCCCAACACTTGCATTGCCTTCCTCGACTGGCTCTTGACCATGCCTCTCATCTGCACCGGCAACATGCTATCCCTAATTCCCAGTTCCACGCCATTGGCCTCACTCGCCATGTCACCTCTCGTGCTCACACTTCTCATACTGCGGAGGTCACTCTCGTCCGCAAAGCTTTCTCGCGGTGTGTACGGCAACGAAGCCATGATGCTAGCCGCGTCTTCCTCGCCAATGCCCTTCATGACCTCCGTCGGCAGCTCCGGCAGCTCCTTCAAGCCGAACACGCGTATGTGCATCTCGAGATGGTCTCTTCTGATACCGATATGTCCACGCCATTGCTTTGCTGCGTGATTTGCATTGCGGTGTGCTTCTGAGACATTTGATTCGGCAGTGATTGCCGCACTAGCCGCAGCCATTGATTCGCGATGACGTCGACCGCGACGCTTGGTCAAGTTGATGTTTCCTAACAGAGGAGGGGGTATAGGGATCTGGAACGGGATCGTCCAGATGAGAAAATCGGCATCGCTGCGTTCTTTGTTGCACGAGATTGTTTTGTGCGTGCGGTCCCAATAGCGCAAGCCTTGCTCTTCACTCCACGTCCCGCTCGAAAGTAGATCGCGTAGCTCATCGTACTGCGAACCACCTTCACGGATGACTGCTGCGAGACGATGGAGCTCGTCGAGCTTTGCAGTGACGGCAGCAGCATCGTAGGGAGGGAGGTTCTCTTCGGCGAAGCGCAGGCGTGAGATGGGTCCATGAATTGGGGTCATGAGGTTGGATTGCATTTCGATGAGTGAGTAGCTGTCGTGGAGTAGCTGCAGATCACGAGTGAGAGATGTTTCGAGGGTATTTATTGTTGCATGTTGCGAATAGATTTCTCGTTCTTGCAGGGCAATATCGAATAAACCAACTTGCTGGTGCCCAGGCCTCGATGGTGTGAGAGGCTCGAATGCGCTCGCCGTCTGGGTCACATCATCTATGGGCGATGGTAGAGCGATGATTGTTGCGTCGTTGTCGAAAGACATGGCATCCATGTCGATCAGTGATCTTTCATCGTCATGACTACCACCAGAGCTATAGTTTGAGGTAGAACTGGGAGCCTCTTCCCAATGATTGTCGGACTGATTGTCAGACGTATCGTAGTCCGATGTGTTCCATCCGCGGCCGTACAACGAGTGAACATCACAAGAGCCATCTGACGCTGTACCGTCTTCAGACATTCGCGAAAGGTATGGTTGCGTTAAAACGTAAGAATTTTCGAAGTAAGACCAGTCTTCAGTGACGTCTTGAATGGTCGCCAAAGGAGAAGAGATCGAGACCGTGTTGACCGAGGTCGGGATACGATGGTCTCGCGAAGTATTGTAATTTGCGGTAGCTCTGAGATCGGACATCCGCTGCGAAGCGACACTGGCACTTGAACGGCGAAGCATTATGATTAGGTAAGTGAACAAGGAGCTCGGTGGAAGATTGGTGTCAGAGGTGAGTACAGCCACGAGGAACAATGTTTGAAACAAGTGAACATTTAGACATTTATGACAATGACTGGAAAGGTGACTTTTTCGTCCAGATAGAGCAGTCACGGCGACGAGCAAAAGCACCGGAGGGCTGTGACGTGTGACCGTGGGAGAAAATTGGAAGGGACAGTGAATGCCAAGACTCGTGGAACAATGCTCATACATGCTAACCCGCAACGCGCCTCTTGTTGGAGTGACAATGAGGCACATCTGCCAGGTTGGAGAAGTTTCACTGATGACCGTGCCTATCTGCCTGCCTGTTGGCCAGATTCTCTTGTGTGATGACCAAGACATTTCGGTGAAAGACACGTTGGAAGAGACTGTACTTGTTCATCCCCTACTTACTCTCCTCTCTGTTATTCATCACCACACCTCCAGCTCCGCCAGCATACATGTGTCTATGGTGCAATTCGACATTAATCCCGTTGCACAACTCGTGAGTAAGTATCAAATAAGACCAACCAATACAGAACGCCAGTACGATGCAATGCTTCGCTTGATGTACGTTAAAGGAGAGACGTGTCATGCAGACCAAAAAGGAAAGTCGTGTCATGGAGACAAAAAGGAGAGTCGTGACGCTAAGCGATCTGTATGCAATGCTAAACCTTTCTGCAGGCCATGTCTGTTCTTCAGACAGCTGAGTAGCTTTTTAAGTAAATTTGTACAAGAATCCACAAGCGTGGCGTGGTGTGCGGCGTGGTTTATAGCATGAGCGCGGCGACACCTACGACCCCTGCTGCCAGGGCGGTTGGGTTGGCGACCCAGGCGTATCCTCCGCCTTCTGATTGTAGACTCGCGGAAGGCTCAGGCTCACTCACTTCAGAGCCAGTGGGCTCCGGACTGGCATCAGTAGCTTCGATAATCTCGATGCTGGTGATAACTTCGACCGTTCCTTGAGCGTTGGCTTGGGTGAGAGTGACAAGAGAGGTGATGAGACGTCCAGAAGGGGTGATTGTTGTCACGAAAGTAGAGCCTTGCTCGTCGGTCATGGTGACGGCGCGAGGAGTGGTTGGTCTGGGAGTAGTCATAACGACTTGTGAGCCTTGAGAGTTGGTCGTGGTGACTACACCGCCCGGCTGGAGTATGGAGCTTATGAAGGTGTTGCCAGCGGAGTTGGTGCGAGTGACGGGCACAATAATGGTAGGATCCGACGTTGGAGCTGCAGATGATTGTGCTGAGGTTGGTGGTGGAGCCTCACTGCTTGGAGAAGTCCGCATCTCGCTGGTTTCGGCAGTGGGAGTAGCTGAGGGTGTGTTTCGCTCGCTTGTGGGTGTAGGCGTGGGAGTGGGTGTAGGAGTATCGGCAACGGATGGAGTGTCCTCGGGAGCTGAAGTTGCGACGGAGGCGGTGTCACTCGTAGCAGTCTGGTTTCCACCGCCTTGTCTCTTGACCAATTCCAATCTCAAGGCTGCTGACATGACCTGAGTAGCGAGAGGCGGGTTCTCGTGATGAACACTCTCCATGGCCTCACGGCTGAGCTCGAAGCTGCCATCCTTGAATTTGGGATAGAAACGGTTCTGAACTGCAGCAAGCAGACTTTCTTCTGGCAGATCGTTCAACAAGTCTTGGAAAGCTTGCTTTGTGGCATCAACACTGGTCAGTATTGAGGCCACACCTTCAGTAGTCTCTGCAGTCGGGTGCGATAGGACGCACGAAATTAAAGGTAGAGACAATAATGCAACATTGCAAACACTGGAGAGAGTAAACATGTTGGCGGGCGACTGGATATTGAGAGTCCACAGAGGGATCCGGAGGACTGGGATGTGGTGGGGTTGATTGGTCCCAGGATTGTCGAATAGCTTTCAAAGCACCGGATTTGAGATGACGAGAGGACAATCCAGGTTCTTTATGGCGAGATAGAGATATTATTGCAGAGACGTACAAACCCAAGACAACAAACGCACAAGGAAATTGGTTTCTGAGAAAAAGAGGAAGAGGAGGAGGCGGCGGAAGATGAAGAAGACTTGTGAGGCTCAGGCTGTAGTTTTTGGTGGTGAGAGACCGGGATTAACGCACTAAAGGTTGCTAACTACCTGGTTTTAGTCGTCTTAGTTCGCTAGCGGGAACTTGGACGCTGAGGTGGCTGGCCCGAAGCCGCCAAACATTGAAAACACGCTGCAAAGCTTGGGCTTGGGCTATTGGCGTCGGTCTTTATCCCTCTCTCACTCTATCTCGTTCTTTGCCGCGCTGCCGGGCCCAATACTGTAAGGGTATGATGGACAATGAAGGGGTGGATGGAGGGATGTTCGTATGGATGCAGACGAGCCAGAGAACACGAGAATCAACAAGTATCACTGCATCATGAAGCTGAGGCAGTCCACGTTCCTTTATACCTCCTCCACCGCTGTTCCACACACCCAACAACAAAGAAAACAAAGCCAGACTCACAGCAGATGAATACCCTTATCACGCTTGGCAGGCTGAGAGACTAATACTGCAGAACTGCGGACTAGCATTGGCCGCGTCAGACAGCCGTAGTAGCCGTTCGCTTCCCAATACCAATCCCACACCCATCACGATATCCTGGATGCTGCCTTTCCACTCACTGCACTTTAAAGGACATAAAACATCGTTTGTTCCCGTGAAATGATTCACAGCTCCTTCATACTTCTCTTCCTCCAGTGCTCCAAGTAGTACGCTGCTGTGCAAGATGCGTACCCGACCAAAACGACACGACAGCCAGCGGTCAGCCTTGTCCACCACCGCAAAGACCACCACCATCAACAACACCCCAACCATCAATCGAGCCGTTCATCGTCATCGACAATCGAATGGATGGCCCACAGCCCCACAGCCTGCATACATAGTACAAACACACCCATCCATGGATAGTTACTAATATTTACCTTGTCCCAGTCTCAGTCCCCGTATCTGCGCCCAGAATTAGACCATGCATTCCGAAAGCCTATTAGATTCGTTTAGACATAGTAGGCCCCCAACAGCACATTTTTTGTCCCTCAGCTGCCTGCGTCACCACCGTATAGAGGAAAAACCGCTTCCAGGTGTTTCAGACTGCCCGCCAGCCCAAGCAATAATACGACCGAGGGCCAGAGGTGGTCAACAAAACCCCGATATTAATCGGTATTCGGCGATTGAGTCACCGGCGCTGCCTGGTTATGAGATAGTTTATTGGTTCCTCCTGTTACGAGATATATCATTAGAACCTATTGTTTCTGCACCTTTGTTCCGACATGAGTGCTGTATGGTGCCAATAATCTTTCTTTTACTAATAATACCCAAACGGTACGTTGGTATGTATGTAAAGCGAGGATCTCAGTGGTTAGGAGCGACCTCCATGGGGCCGGAGGGCGGAGAAGCAGCACCAGGTAGCATCCATGTTTCGTTCTGCTCAACCCGTCAGGGTATTTGTCGATCCTCCTGTGGCGAGTGTTCCGAGAAGTTGTCTGACCATGATCCCTGACACTCTATATCACGTGATATATCTGCACTTTCCGAGGAACCATGGGGAAAATTTTGTATTTGCATATTACCTACTTCGGGAACAAACGCTACTATCGCCATTAGCGTCAACCTCTGTGACTGCAATACTACCATTATCACTGTTTAGACCAGTGCTGACCCTGACCGTATCTGCTGAATCACCACCACCTAATAGGACTCCTCTAATTCACTTTTCTTCTCATCCTCCAATACATGTCAGTGAGACAGTCCAGTCCGGGGGTATCCACAACAATCTCCTCAGCATAGCCCAAAGAATCAACATGCCATATTCAATTCCCATCAATACAATTGCAAATGAAATCGTCCTATGCACTCCCAAATTGGTCCTGCACTGCTTCACATGTGCACCGTATTGTTAGCCTTCGACCTTGGGAAAAGTGTCTTGGGTAGTAGTTGGTTTTGCTGCGGCCGAGTCGACACTCTGCGTGGTGGCCGATACAGGTCCTGCTGGCATCTTGTTACTCGCCTGCATGGCACTCGGATACGTCTGCGCGGCTGCTACTGCCGCTGCGGTAGCACCAGCTTTCTCAGCGGTTGGCGGCCTGGTAATTGTCTCTACCGTCTGGTCCGAGTCTCTTCTCGCAACCTCCATTGATTTGCCGCGACTCGGAGCGTCGGTTCCCTGAAGCTGCTGTCTTTGTCCCTGAGATTCAGGTGGACTCTTTGCTCGATCTTTCTTGTCACCTAGCTTGGCTTTGAGCCATCCACCTAAACCGCGGTGTTCCTTGGGCGGCGATCCAATCTCAGCATCGAGGCCGCGCTGACCGGTCGAGGCCGACGATTCTGATCCCCATTGTGTGATTGGTTCGAAACTCTTACGTCCACGACCGCCTGCGCTGCTAGTGAAAGAACTCATGCTCTGTTGGGCGCCTGCATTAGAACCAAGATCACCTGGCTTAGACTCGTGCTTATTCTGGTGGTTAGACAGACGCCAACGATGCTTCTTATCTGGCTCGACAGCGGTACCCGCTCCAGGGGTCTCGTCGCCATGTTCAGCCTCCGAAAGATCGTTGCTAGTCGAATATGATCGGTGAGATGGAGATGGAGACAACGCTGGTCGCATCAGTGTCACTCCTGGGGCTTGATTTGAGTCAATCATACTGGTAGGAAATGCCTCCTTGGTCGAACCTTGAAGTGTGGTAGATGATCCGAGAAGGACAGGTGAAAGCGGTGTGTCGTTCGATATGACGCCAGTGAGAGATTGAGTTGAGCTGTGCGCACTGAGATTCGCGCTGCTCGGTCCACGTTTCTTCTGGAGTTTATTTGGTCTGCGAATATCTTTACCCTTCTCCGACTGCTCGTATGCCAAGTTGCGAGAGAACATCTGAGTCAAGGTTCTTGAGGAGCCAGATGCTGGAGCAGTTGGTGTAGTGCCTCCGGCTGACTCTTCTTCGCGAATCGTTGCAGGTATCTGCTCCGATGTGACACAACCAGACGATTCCACGGTGGGTGCAGCTGTCTTCTGGGTAATTTTCTCATTTTCACTTAGCTGTACGGACTCAATTGGGTTGACTTGTGGCTGTTCGGCGCGCGGTGTAGTATCTTCAATTGGCGGGGCCGCGACCTCGGAAGTTGCTAAGGGTACGGCGGCAGTTGCAGGCACATCAACATGAGCGAGAACAGGAACCTGGGCCGGAGCGGGTGACTTAGATGGTTCAGTAGACAATAAACTCACTGCCTGGGCTGTGCTCGACGTGCCTGTTGAGGTAGGTGTGGGAGGTTCAGAGCGCTTTTCTCCTGGTCTCGCAAATCGTGCAATACCGACAGCTGGAGACTTCTTGGAAGGTACGGTGTTGCTTCGATGAACGCCAATTGTTGGGCTTGTGGCATGGGACGGTGTAGCAGGGCTTTGCGGCGCAACAACAGAGCCTCTGGAATTTCTGGATGATACCGACACGTTTCGTCGGATACCACCAAATTTGCGCAGGCTTTCTGCACCTGCGCTGGCGTTTGATGCTGAGCGGCTCACACCCGATTTGCGAGGCGGGGTTGATGCTTGTTTGGGTGGCCCGTTTTGAACATCTTGAACTGTCTTCTCATCTGCTGCAGTTCCTTGCATACCGATCAAGAAATGATCTTGGTTATTGATGAGAAATATCAAGACATCCTGACTCAAACGATATTCCGGGGGTGCCATCGCATGGTTAGGATGAGACAGGATGCCAGGTTGGAAAATAGCGGCAAGATTGGCTGTAGTCATTTTATTGACGTCAGACTTTGCAGCGAAGACAGCGAGGAGATCCAAAATGTAAAGTAGCAATTGCCGATTGAGTGGAGGAATTTCAGTCACCAGGTTTTTGAGTCTCTTGATAGCAGCATCCGGATCGAAGTCACCAACGATCGGACCCTGTCCATCAATCTCGCCGACAGCCTGTGCCTGATGTCCCCGAATGGGATTGCGGAATTGCTCGTAATACTGAAGAGGTATGATTGGTTCAGGGAGGGTATTGAAGTAGCGACGCAATATGTTGGCCGCATCGTGAACGGTGAATCCGGACCAGTCAAGACCTTTACCAAAACGGGTCTCTTGAGAGTCGAATACAGCTCTGAGTTCTTTGATGCGCTTCTCAGATCCACTTAATCTGAAGATACCCTCTATTTCGGTCGCTAGATTGATTTAGGCCAGCTCTATCTAATAGTTTGGATGTACGTACCTTTCTCCTTCAGGAAAACGCCACACTTGGCGACGATTATCGGCACATAGCCATATATGTAGCTCTTTCCATCCTGATCATACAGTGAAATGGCGACATTGGCATAGCGAACGCTGGTCAAGAGAGGTACGCCAAAGATCGTGTTGAGCGGTTCGGCTGATAGCGAGGGTTAGCGGACTCAAGGAATGAAGGACTTCCACAGAAGCGGAGATGCGCCAGTGACGGCAGGTGAGTGAGTCATGCAGACTCTCGAAGTCACCAGTCGCTGACAAGACGACAGACGTTGGAAGTGCAACGATACCTTTTTCTTCTTCACGTTTCGCCGTACCACGCTTGAACTGCCTCCACCATGAGGTGAGATCTCGCTTGCTGGCTGCATCCTCATGGGACACCGCAACCGGGGCGGGTTGCGGCTCGCCATTCTTCCCACGCTGCGCTGACAGCATGGCCTTCTGTGGCTCTTCTTTAATCCAGCTCTTCCTTTCAGATTCCCGAAGCCAAATACCTGGTAAGATCTAACAGGTACGAAATGACACGAAGTACGGGTCGCGGGCAAGGCTGTGGGTCGTGACGAGATCAAGTGTTGCGGGCAAGCTGAGCTTGTGCAGTGTAGGAAGTAAGGAGATCTGACTGAGCGAATCTTGGACGAACTGACAAAGAGCAACGATGAGATAGCTAGCAGATGCGGTACGGATGCGGTCGAAGGATCAATGTGTGTCGCTAACGCGACTATGGGGGCTGAGGCTGTAGCGACGCAAGAAGTGTCCTGACTTGTGCAGAGAGGCTCAGAAGTAATACAGAATGTTGTAAGAAGGTGTTGCGACCTCCACAAGGGCAGGCAAGTGTTGAGTGGTATTAAGACCGGGGGTGTTGTGGAGGTGGAGTGCTTCAAACGACAGAGGTGGATAGGCAGAGATGGAGTGGAGCGGTAGCAGCCGGCTTTGCCAAGCCGTTAGAACCAACCTACGTAACCGCCCGTTTCCAGTGGGCCAAAAATATGCAACAATGTCAAACGCAAAGGATCAATATTCGGGGATTCACAACGTTTTTCAGGCGCGCAATGGAATCTCACTGCCATAAGTCTTGACCATTTTGGCTGCCGCTTGTATTGTTCGATCGAGCTGTACATGTGGCTGATGGCGGGAACCGCTCCAAGCGCGTCCAAATTTCGAGGCTGGTAGGATAGCAACCGTCTGCTTTCTCAACTGTTCCAGGGACACTGCAAAGCCATTAGGTAGTGGAACTTCAGATTGCTTTAAACACATAGGTCACACAAGTGAATTATGTCTATACTCTTGCCATAATCTTTACATTGACTGTAGCTACTGTCGCTGGCTATGACCACTGCAACAACAGCATCCATTCTAGAGGGCAAGCAGTCCACTCAGAGCTTTCATGTCTTTTGGGGACCTCAGTAACTCTGGGTGACACGACGAAGTCAAAGACTGCGCTTCTGCGGATCCGTATACACACAAGTAGCAGTATTAAAAGAATATTGACTTGCCTGCCAGCCTAAGCCAGGAATGCTTGGTTTTGGAGCTTGGACCAGGAAAGACAGCCACCCAAAACTTCGTAGCTTCCCGAGCATGTAACTTCTACGATCGCCGTGACACGCAGTGTTCATCTACTAAGAGCGTCAGATACTCAGCACGCAATCATCATCATCGTGGTTCTCACTACATTACCACCCGAAGACCACGCTTGATCTTATAGTATCATCATGGACGGGTGAGTACTGTATGAACACTCTTCTCGACAATTGCTAACGGCAACAGCCTCAACAAGAACGAACAGATTGAGCTAGCCACCCGTATGGAGAAGAAGCAAATGAAGGAGTTCATGAACGTATGTATCCTTCACTATTACCATCTTTCCGCTACGTAGCGTTTTTCAAAGATTCAAGCTAAACCATCCCCCTCAGATGTACTCCAACATGGTACAGCGTTGCTTCGACGATTGTGTGAACGACTTCACTAGCAAAAGCCTAGGATCGAGAGAAGAGAGTTGCGTCATGCGCTGTGTAGACAAGCAATTGAAGAGCCAAGAGAGACTCGGTGCCCGGTTCCAGGAGCAGAATGCGATCATGGCACAGTCAGGAAGCCTTCCCGGGCGTTAGGAACATTAGAGGTCCTTCGTGTCACCAAAAATCAAATCCCTCCATATCATGACCATGTCCTTTGAACCATCTGTATTATATGAAGCGTCCGCTCTATTTGTACCGGCCTTTAGAGAACGGACGCATCCATAACCCCAACACCAATACGTGCAGAATCCACCATAGCACATCATGTACATATTAATTCATAACAAACATGCTTTAAATGAACACACGATGTAACATGAAAGTATACAATAGGTTATTATGTATGGTGAAAGTCGTCCAGCCTTTAGAAGACCAAGATACTTCATCAACCGCCAAGCCAAGACCTGCGAGGACAATTCAAGAGCAACGTCCTGTTGGCGAACGCAAGAATGACTTAAGTATCCTATCAAACAAGCAGACGAAGTGATCACATCTTGTGGCGTGAATAAAGAGCAACCGTCGACGGCCAGTAAATGCACACAGCCACACGTGGCGCTACAACTTCCCTGTTTACGGGTCTTGGTATCCCTTGGCCGTCGTCACTTCCTACGCGCCTGGTCACGTCCCACTGCCTGGTTATAAAGTCAACACCAGACCTCACGCCATTCCTCAACTCTATACCTTTCATCACAAAGCAAACCCAAACCTTCAACCTTACTGTGCTTTCAGCAATTAGCAAATATACAACATCATGGGTCTTATGTGGACTAAACACTGGGGCGGCAAACACGGCGGTAAGCCTTGAGCCACGATCGCAGCTTCAAAGCCTGAAAACTAACATCTCGACAGGCGGTGGCGTTGTTGTTGACAAACATGGCGTGCGAAGAGCTCCCTTCCGTCTTAGCTGTGGACACTTCAGTTGCTTCAAATGATTGAGAGTGGGAGGCACTATCGACGCCCGTATGGTTACCTCTCACAAGAAAGTTTCATTGCTAATCTTGCGCATAGTTGACCTTGGAAGCTACGAGCTAGCCAACGATTTTCTTTTCTTTGCTCAAGTCCCGCAACGACAGCGATGGTTAGATACGGAATGTGGCGTTGGAACAAAGCGAATAGCATAACGGCCATCGTAAATGTACAGTGCAAAATAATTGTTAAGTGTTTTAGATTAGCAGACATTTGATCCCGAGGGGGTTGTCATTCTATCTACTGGGACCTATCGAAATTTATGCGATACGTAGCCTTGCCAATATTCTATTTCTGGAATCTCGCGCTTCTCCTCGACAATGTCAGTCCTTATCCAGCGCTCACATCTATTCCTCTAGGATAGATTTGCCTTGGAAGATACGTAGTTTATACTTATGGGTGACTTCAGTGTATAGGTCATGTAGTTCGAACTACACAATAGACCAAGCTGCATTGTACCTTAAAAAGGTAGTAGACTAAGCGACGTCATTAGTCCCTAAGGTAGAGAGTCGGCCTTGACACGGACTTAGACTCTCCGCGATGGAACGAGTAACGATGTTCACGCCTTCTGTTTCAGTAGCTTTCTCTCCGTCAAGACTCGGTCTCCTGCTCAGATTTCCTCGCCTACAGACTTGTATTCTCTTCATGACCTTCGCACCTAGCATGTGGTTTCCAGAGTATAAACGTAAAGCGTCAGAAGAATGGGTGCGTGTTTAAAACGAATAAGGCAATATACAACTCTCATCGGTAAATATGTTGCCCGTTTTACATGGCCAAGCAGTACTTACAGCCGATGACCTATCGCCAATATAGTATCCTCCAGTCTGCAAGAACTTGTTCGGACGTCGGTCCCGTTAAGAGACGGAATGAGCACTAACGAAACATATCTCGAACAGCTCGTTTTGTCACAAGTATCACTGACTCGTCACTCAATTCAGATCTGCTGTAACTTCAGACGGACCTATGGACGTCTTCCCTCGATGTCGTCCGTCACACGTAACAGATCTACTATTAGCTACATGTCACTCTTTACAACAAGCACAACCTCTATAGACTTACGAAAAACCCACATGGCTCTCTTGATCGACCTGATCTCCGGGCCTTCCCGGACGAGTAGTTCATTCCCTTCCCCAAAGGGGCACAGTCTTGCGTGACATCAGCCCACTAAATTACGGACAAGAGCTTCCTTGACCTTATAGGAAGTTGGCGGAACTATACCTTCAAACCAACCCCATTTATAGGGCTATATAATGGCGTCTTGGGGTCATATCGATGAGGTTCTGCATCAAGTGTCGACTTCGGCAGAGTAGCCGCTATGAAGACTTTCACATCACTCACTGTTGCCCTCCTGGCATCTGCCCAAGCGGCGTCAGCATTCCAAAGCTGGGTCGGATCAAACCTTTACTATGCCGCAGGTCTCGATACGGACCAACAAGACACCCTCCTCTGCGCCCTCTCCGAAGCCGGTGTCAAGGTCCTCCGCGTCTGGCTCGATGGCGAAGAAGCGAACCAAAAAGGGACCCAGCACGTGGCTTATCCTTCGCTCGAAGTAGACTACATCGGCGATTGGGATGACACCGTACTTGAGCGCTACGACGACTTCATGGTCAACGCCAAGGATTATGGCATCAAACTGCAGATCTCGCCACATAGCTGGAATGCGCTGGACGCAGGTGATGTATATACGGAGAAGTTTGGCAGGGAGGGGTTTTATAATAGTAGTGAGGCGGCGGACATGTACAAGGGAAGGATTGCCCATGTGTTGCAGCATGTAAACAAGAACACGGGGAAGACATGGGCAGAGAGCGGGGACATGATATTTGGATTTGAGACGCAGAATGAGGCAATGAATGGGCTTGTGAGTTCTTTCTTCGTTAATGTTCTGGAGAGAGAAGTTACTGACGAAGATAGGGTGCCGATTTTCTCCAGCAACATAGCTCCTGGCACTGCGACATCGCCACTGCTATCAAGTCTGGCCTTCCTGCCTCGACCGGCGAGGGTAGCATCCCACTGGTCATGACCGGCGGTGGATGCTGCGACGATACCTCTGTGCAAGACGCCTACTTCGACTGCGAGGCTCTTGACGTGATTGCCATCCACACCTACGGCCCGTCAGAATTCGCTACTGATAGGCTGACCCCATTCGTTGACAAGGCCATAGACGCTGGCAAGAAGCTCCTCTTTCAGGAATGGGGCGTGTGCTACTTCGATACTGAGAACAACAACTGTCCTGAAGGTACTGCGTTGAGTGATGAGGACAGAGCGGCGAATCTTACAAAGTGGGCTGGCGAGATTGGAGAGGCAGGTATTCCGTGGATGTATTGGCAAATCATTCCGAACGATGATCCTCACTACGGGTATGACTTCGAAATCGGGACGACGGAGAACATCTTTGAAAGCTTCAAGGAGGTTGCGCTTGCTGCGAGGGAGTATGAGACGCCTTTTGACTTCAGTCCTTGGTTGTTGTAGGATTGGAATCTGGAGGATTATCCATTGTATATAATTATAACCCGGGAAGATTAACTTATGCGGCAATGAAGTGGAAATTACAGAGGGCATGTACATAAAATCACGTTTTTATTGGTCTCAAGTCTGTTGGACAGTATGTCACCTGAAATACCCACCCATTCATAGGCTTGTACAATGCCATCCATATAAGCGCCCAAACTCCTTGTGCCATCTTCAACTGGCTGTAGTAGAACAAGTAGATGTAGATGTAAAAGTGATCGAGACCTTATATCTTTACGCTTGCCTGTGCCTTCAGAAGAACTTTGACTAGATCACCATAGGTCTCTTTCCACTCGCTTTCATCGCCATCCCCGCCCTTCTTGCTTGTGCTCTTCTCAGTGAGCATCACTACACTGGTTGGTCTTTTTGTGCTTCCTGCGGCGCCGAGCTCGGCGCGTGATTTGACATAGATGTACGGAATATTGTGGTCCTCGCAAAGAACGGGAATGTGTGAGATGACGTCCATCGGTGAGATGTCAGCAGCAATTACGACTATGCTGGCTGGCGAACTATTGGCAGAGGAAGCAGGTCCGGATGAGGTGGTCTTGCGGAGCGACTTGACGACTTCCTTCACACCACGGCGGATCGACTTGTGCTTCGCGGCTGAAAGCTCGTTAGTATATGAGTTTTCATCAAAAGCCGAGTAGTTGTGTTGCAGAGCTTGCGACCCGGACTAGGTAGTCTGAACATACCCTTCTTCACACCCTTCATGACCTTCTTCGTCTGTTTCTCGTCCGCAAGCGGATTCGCGAATGGCACGAGCGCTACTGCGGGAACATTGATCAAAGTACCATCCTCATTTACTTCCAATTCTTCCATGTCACTGCCATCATTGTTCTGCGTCTTCGTTACGACAAGCTTGGGCTCTGCCGCTTTCTTGGCCTCCAGCTCCTCAATCAGTGAGTCTGTGACGGCCGCTCCAAGCTTCTCCTTCTTCGCCTTCTTCTCCTTCTTGTCTTTCTTCTCTTTCTTTACGCGACCGCTGTCGTCTACCTTCTCTTTGCGCTCCTTCTTGGAGGAGCTAGACTTTTCCTTCGACATTGTGGGGGAAGGTTGTTAATACGATCCCTCTATGCGTATATCAGATTGGTCGAGGAATACTTGTAGTTGGACGGTAAAAGGGAGAAATTGTAGAAGTCGCGTTGTGAGCACTGGCTGTTCAAATTCTACAGCTTCGAGAGGCAGAAATTTAGAAATTTGGAACACGACGCTATACCGCATGCAAACTAGCAGCGTATGCACCAATCCACGCTTTCTAGCTCTTTGTGGCCTTAGGCAGCATACGTGTAGTCCTTCGCAATACTCCTCATTGCTCTCTTTTATTACATATAAAGCTCTTTCCAATCATGAGAGCATGTCTCTCACGTCTATTCACTGCACGCGATAGCGAACACGAATGTAACCATTGTAGCCGTCAAACAACTGAGGATGATCCAATCTTTGACTAAAATTTGGGTTGGTCAACATTATAGGGAGTTGCATGTCGCGATCTGTGATGGCCAAGTACGTGCCCATAGATACACACGGTATGACTTTTCTTTTGGAGATGTGACCTCTTCGTCAATATTCAATCAGAGCAGCTTGAAATATCCTTCCATTTGTTCACACAGCGTACCTTCTTCGCGGTATATAGAGTGTCCAAAGATTTCACATTTCACGTTTCATCATCTCTTGATTCACTTGCATGGAACAAGGATCTGCGTACTGCCATACTGGTACACATCGAATTTTGTTTTCATGCGGGTCATGGAACGAGACGATCGTAGACCCTTTTTCTCGTTTTCAACAATATAAAACTTGCCTCCAGAAGCAGGGGCTTTCTGATTCGCTTCACTAGCTCACAGTGAGAGTAATTCTTCATGCGTCTTATCAGCATCGTCTTTCACCGCCGCCAGCCTGCGATTATTCCTCATTGCGGACGGGTCTGAGTACAACGCTAATTTGTGGCTACACAACGACAACTCCCTGCTGGTCTATCCTCCAACCTTCCTCCTAATCGCAGGACAGGCATAAACTGGTCGGCGATGAAGTTAAGAGATATGACTTCGACTACTTCGAGCCGCGTCGCACCAACAGATCAATCTCCCCCTGCGGACATTGTCGCAATCGAAGCATACCTCGGGCCTGCCGACTACAGTGATACTCGTGATCACGCCTACGCGATACAAGCAACTGCAATTGCTCTCGTGTCATGTGTGATTTGGATCACAGTTTTACGCATTCTTGTCAGATGGCTCATCGTCAAGAAACTGGCGTTGGACGACCGTATGTGCTTGTGTTCCGTCAAAATTTGTGCTAACACTGCATAGTCTTACTTTCTATTGGGACCTTATGCACTATGTGCTGTTGTGGGATTACCATTCATGGTAGTATTCCCAAAGCAATATCCGATTCTTTTTGCTAATGTGCGCTAGCCGTCAAAATAGCTGGTTTCGGTAGACATTGGTGGTTCGATGATATCCACGACCCAGATATTATACACCGCTTTGGAAATGCCGTCAAGGTGTGTATTCAAGATACCATTCAGCTGCCATAGTGATCACTAACACAACCAGGCCCTATATCTCATGTACATCTTCTACAGCATTGCGGCGGGGTTCACAAAGCTCTCAATTATCGTATCGTACGTTCGCATTGTTAAGACTCCGAAGTTCAAGTATTCGATGTATACAATGGCATTTGTCGTCTGCGGCCTTATGGTGTCCGCCATTCCCGTTATCGTATTCCAGAGAGATCCTCCAGCCTCCGCGTGGGATCCCCTGCAAACACCGACGGAGCGTAAGCTCAACTACATGGTATATCTGTGGATTTCCGGGGGGCTTGGTATAGCGATAGATGTCTTCTTGACAATTACACCAATCCCGGTATTCTGGAAGATACAAATGCCAAAACGGCAGAAGATCACTCTCACAGTTCTTTTCTGTCTCAGTATATCGTAAGTCCCATACTACACCGATCCTGACGTTGAAGCTTACTTGTAAGTGCGGCAATCGCGGCAACTTTTCGTCTCAAAACTGTAAACCAGATCCAAAGAGGCAAGGATCTATCATGTGAGTCACATATCATGAGGTTACAGCAGATTACTAAAGTTCATACACAGTCAATGCTGCGACCAGTGCCCTGTGGTCCGTTATTGAGTGTTCGATAGGGATCATCTGTGTCTCAATACCATCTCTTCGACCGCTATGTGACGCCGTCACTAAACATAAGTTCTTCAGATCCTCGGAAGGAAAAGATTCCATAGCAGAACACCAGTTCGACCTTCCGCTATATTCACTCCAGGGGAGGAAAGGCTGTCCTCGGCAAAATATCAAGAACAGTTCAAGGCATCCGAATGAGACCGTAGAGACAATCGAGCCGGCTGAATCGCCTCACCCGTCAATGTCATCATTATGGACGGAGGGAGAAAGATGGGTGTGAAACGCACTCACTGGGACGAGACATACTGAGCGCCACTTTCATCACACATGGATATCAGGAGATAAGCATATCTTTGAGTTTGCTACAGTGGAAGCTGTGGATGATGATGAGATCATGGGTTCATGTTGATAATCCTCAGATAGGCGTACAGAGCGAGCACGGATGTTATCTTGACGTTATCGCCTTTCTTATTATTGTTGTGGCGAGAGTTATTATATGTTGCCACTTCATACATAAGAATGCTCGTCATTCACAAGGCCTGTTAAGTAGAATTTTGTGAGCTGTTGGAGCAGGAGAGCACATTACGTCCCGCCATAGTGTGTAGCAACCGTGCTAGCCTTAACTTGGTTCTAATACGTGGGCTGCTTAGTCGCTTCTTTCTACTGTTCACTGATGTCTATCTATTTTCGCGCTTTATCACTTATGAAAAGCTACGCTTATTTAGTTCGTCCTCGGTAGGGTCTTGTTGAGGCATTTAAGCGCGATGGTGAAGACGTTGATAATGAGTGGCTTGTCGTGCCACTCTGGAGAGTATAGAGGTGCTGGTGATCTGCGATTGGAGCATCGAGAACTGAAATCACCCAAGGTCTGTGATTGATTATCGAGGTCATATGCAATTGAGAGTTATGAAATTCTGCGTGTATTTGACCAGTATATCTTCAGAAGTGCACTTCGTGTTCCAAGAAGTGAGTGACCGTGGCCGTCACATAAGCCGAATGAGTAACAACACTCCGTTACATTTTCGGATCCAGAAATTACATATCAAGAATCCATACCCTGTTCGATTGAGATCAACGGAATCCCGTGCCTCCATACGCCGCAGCCTGATAAGTTTCCTGCTCGATATCCTTACCTATCTGGTTCAGCTCATGCCTCCATTCGGCGATCTTGTTGACCTTCGCAAAAGGATCAACGTTGATCGCCTCACTGTCGACATATACACTCTCGCCGAGCTTCAGTGTGCCACGTCCGACAAAAACCTTCTCATCCGGCTTGACTGATTCAGGCTTTTCCTCACCACGCTTCAAGTCCTCCCAGACACTGACGCGGAACGTTGCTCGAGGTCGGAAGAAAAATTTAGAGCCGTGGGCACGGCCCGATCGAATTTCGCTAGTGATAACTGCTGCTCCTTTGTTTAGCTGCACGAATTCCGAGTCGTTCTCTGCCTCACGGAACAGAGTATCTGCGGTTGCACCGGTTGTAGCAAAATCGTAGCCCTCTGAACCGTTTAGACTCGACGGCTTTGCGATACCAGACTTTAAGTCTGCTGGGTCGCGCAAGGGCATGTCAGCAATGCCACTATCAACCATATTTTCATTAGCATGACCATTGGTGGGCGTGGATGCCAGCTTCGAAATCTGCGAAGGCTCAAAGTGTTCGTGCGAAATTACGGCGCCATGTTTAGAACCAATCTCGTCATTCGGAGGAAACGGTTGCATAGGGTTTTCTGCAAAATCTTCAAATATGAGAAGGAGTGGTTTCTTCCAGTGTTCTGGCTCCAAGCCGTCGATGTCTAGTTCACAACGGCCTGCGGAGAGCTGAGTATTTGGTGCTTTAACGATCACGTGGTCAATGTTAGCTTCAGTCGCTATATCGGACATTAGATTCAGTTCATACTACGTGTAAGGAAGACCTACGACTGCCGTATAGGTAGAATGGCATGAAGTCTTCCGGATATGTATCGAGCCGGAAGGCAGAATTCAGGGGTCTGCTGACTACTTTTCCGGTGATCTGTACTTTTACATCTTTCAGTACAGTGCCACTGTAAGAATTAGACTAGATGACTTTGGTACGTATGTTGTATATCGACTTACGATGCTTCTGTCCTGATTTGACCGACGAAGGTTCCTCCCCGTTCAGATGATACGATGTCTGGTAGCTCAACTTTAGTCTGTGTGACAAGGATCATTGGCTCGGTAGGATTGTGTTGCTTCAAGGACCTATACATGGCTTTCGACTTTTCATCCAATTCAACAGAAACAATGAGCTGCTGGCGGTGGTTTGCGACATGAAACATAGGCAGGTGGATCAGGTAGACTTGTTCTGTCCCCTGCATCAGAAACTTGTGGAAGTCTTCCGTGACTTCGTTACGTTTCCGAACAATCTACGATATCCAAGATTAGCTATACCCGTGGTATGAATGTCAATGCCAGTTCTTACTGAGATCTCAGCCCTCACGGTCTGCTCAAAAACCTCACACATCTCTCTGATGAAGCCCCCATCAGAGGGGAACGGAGACATGACAACATTGCGTAGAACCATCAGATTTTGATTGCTTGGCTTCAGTCCCAATCTCCGCATGAGATCCGCTTTGCAACTGTCATATAGCTCATTCGAGAACTCAGTAGAGGTCAGATAAAATGGAATCTTCGTGGGGTCGTCGGCAGGACTTTCGACACTGAAGGCTTGTACAACCCGTTGCATCAGATAATTGGCTTCCTCTATATCGTCATTGACTCTGCCATTGGATAGGGTGAAGTTTAGGCTGAAGGCATTGATATTCACTGAAAACAGTTAGAAATGTTTGGCAGACCTCTATTGCGTCTTGGTGTTGCGTGCTGTTGTCATATGAGAGGCTGTGTGGTGGACATACGGTCGGACCCGAGTTCCCTAAGAAGCTTCACCGCTTTATGAGAATCAGGACGGCGGCGATCCTCGTCCAGGATCTCAGTATTAGACTTATTCACGATTTCACTCTTAATCCAAGCCTTTTCTGCCTCGACTTTCGCTGAAGTCGATCCAGGTGCGCGCTCCGAAGGCAATTTGTTCAATGGAACACATATAAAAGGCGTGCTTGAATTCGATAGGGAAGCCCATTCCGCAGAAAACTATAAGTGAGGTCAACTTTGCGACTCTGATGGTCCTCTACAGATACTCACTCGACTGCAAGTCCATGTCACCTGAAAACATTAGTCTATAAATTAGAGATACGCTCAAGAAACTTACTTCTCCAAGAAGTTTACCGTAGCCTTCTTGACCCAGGCCAATCACTTTGTTCGAGAGCCAAGTGGACACTGCTGCGGCGCCAGGCTTACTGAAATATTCATCAGAAGCTGTCTAAGACAAAACACAGTGGTAGCACTCACCTTCCCTCCACCCCATATATACCGATACTGGTAACAGAACCTCTAGAGAGGTATGGGCTCGTCCAGGTGACCTTTAAACAGTCAGTATAAATGCTCTGCGGGAATTCATATCTATTAATACCAAAAACCTCATACGTCCGTCTCTGTAGCAGAGACCACCGGCAGGATATGGGATATAACCAGCTTTGTGAGGATCAACGGTGATAGAATCGGCAAATCGTAGAGCAAACAGATCATCCTGTGTCTGGGCACGCAAACAAGCATCCGGTACAAAGCCATCCCCGTCTCCCATCTCTGTGGGAAGATTAAGGACGTCTCCTGGAGCATAGTTGCGTGGTAGCATGGAGCAGAAATACCCTCCCCTAGCTTCTCATCAGCTTAAACTTACGTGTTGACCCCATCCTACTTACCAGGCCGCGTCCCCGTGCACAAGGAATGAAAGGCCTCGGGTCTGATATTGTTTCCTCAGAGCCAGAATGGAGCTCAATGGGTCTACAGCGCCCTCTATAGATAGTGTCTGGTCAGTAGTCTTTCCCACAGCGGTCATCTAGCGCTCACCTTCTGTAGACCCAATAATTGCAACGACCGCCAAGATTGGCCGTTCATCTTTCAAGCTTTCTTCCAGTCGGGCTTCCAACGCTGCGATATCGATACGTGCCTCGTTATCAACTTGAATGCCAATGACATTATCCGAGCCAATTCCAGCAACAGCTTCGAGGCAGACAATTAGCTTTATTTGGCTGAGCGAAATGGAGACTGTTACGTACCTGCCCCTTTGGGCCAAGAATAATGCCGAGTGGTAGCAAGTAGATATTGAGCAGGCCGGTCCAACAAGTCAAAATCACTTTCAAGTACACCTTTGCCTGTCGACTGGATGGTGTATTCTTCCATGACTTTCGATAAGAACACGTTAGAGACCCCATGCTCTTGATACAGACGGTCAGGTATATCAAGGACGTCGGAAGGTTTCAGATTCAATAGCTCCCATGTGGACAACTTAGAGAACAACTTCTGTTCACCTTGGCAAGTTTCGATATGGAATTTCTTGCCTAGGAATCCCAACGGCTTTTTCCCTGTGGTCATTGCTTTGAAAATTGAAAGAGGATAGAACTTCAAATTGCGCGCTAGAAGCTGTCAGTGGACATGTCAGTATGATAAGCTTGGCACTGCCTCACCAACCCTATAAGCTATAGTCAGCAATTGCTATATTTGACTGGTCAGAATACTAACCACATAGATTCCAGGTTGGCAACAGTTCCGCCACACGTGACATGGCCCCAGGCTGTCGGGGTTTCAAGATCATCTTCGTTGATGTTGTACCCAAAGAGCTCACAGAGTTGCTCTCCAACTTCGATCTCTGCCACTGTAGAAAATGGGCTAGCTTCCAAAGCGACATTGTTGGGATTATACATCATTGTCATGAAGTACCCAAGTAGCGAAGCCATACTCAAGTCTGTGCACCTGCCAACTTCGTCAGCATGATGGATACGGCATATTAGCTATTCATTTGAAGACATACATATGTGCTTCATAACGGGGCGACCAGCATGGTATAGAGGTTCTGCCTAGAATGTTTGCAGTCTTCTGGACAGCTACGCGAAGCTTCTGCATCTGCTGTCGGAACGCTGGAGAATCTTGTACATCTTGGGTAATGAAGCTCTGCTACTGTCAATATACGGAGTTGCAGCTTCTATTCATGTGATTCATCTACCTTGTCTTTGGGGAAGTATCTTGCTCTCGCCTTCTCCAATTCATCAAGAATTGTGTCGATATTTTGCTTGAAGTAAGGAAGATTCTCTGATTGGGGACCAATGAAATGGGAACTGATGATCTGGTGAGAAGCATCTCCTTGGGTCTCGACCTGAGTAGATTGATCCCCTCCGATGGGCGTCATGATGTTAGGAAAGCGACAGTATTCGGTCGCTCTCAAAATCAAATTTGGTGAGAATCGAGTTCCATCAAATCCCAAGGTCTATTCCAGCTATTTGTACGTTTGGCTACTGCGTCATTATGCCAGTGTTGCATAGGTGAGCACACCACTAACGTGAGCACAAGATGCGTTCTCCACCCAGACTTGTACACGTCCATGATCTGTTACTCTCCCTGCCAGATACATCACGGCTTGCCGTCTCCCTCAGCGAGATCGATGCAATCTGTAATGGCAAAAGGTCCTGATTGGACATCTCAGAATTTCGGAAGCAACGTAGTGGGTCAGCGCCAGCCATGGATCGACGGGACACTGCAGTACTCTAGTCTCGGGGTGGTATCCACTCAGCAGAACCTTGGTAGCACCAGAGCTTGCACTTCGTCAATTACAGATTGCAATCGATTAGACATTGACATCTAGTCAAGGCCTAATCCATATTTGGTAATCATACTATCGGTAGTATCACCAGAGCCGAACAGAGCCACGATTTGAGCAATCAAACGACCACATGGCAAGTTAGCTGAGGTATTGGTTTTTTTTTGGCAGGCTTATGCAAAGTCTCAGATGGGCATAAACGTAAAACCGCGCAACTGCATTGCATCTTTTGTGAAGGACCCGAGGAGATCAATGGCGCCCACCATATCGCAGCAGGTATCCATTGGAACATGGGGGTCGCACGTTTGTCACGGAGCAGCTATTCGTTCGGGTTACTTTCAGCTGCGCCAAACCGACGACTTGCGGGGTACGTGCACCTAAAAAGGAATTCATCCAGAGGATTTGGTCTTAGCAATATGTCGCTTGTGGATCCCAGCATTGTCGGTTATGAAGGTACCAGATTCTCTTGTATCAACGACAACTTTACGCGCTCTCCCAGCTAGTACTAGTATTCGGTTTATACACAGCTACTGCTCCCGCGGAGGCGTTCCTCATGTGGCTACTTGGTCGTACAGCGTGTACAGCGATGAGCTGATGTAGCGGATCTTTGATTTGTTCTGGCGGAACGCCACTCACTTCAGCTTCTCTCTTAAGACACGCTTGTTTTCTGTGCATCCTGCCGGGATATTTCCATTGATTGTCTGGCAAGCACTAACACCAAGGATTTCCTGTTCAATATCATATGAGTCGACCAACGCACGGTAATTGTATCCACGGAGAATTTCGTAAGAGACGTCGTAGGTTGGAGTGCAACAGAGGATAGTCACCTCATGTAAGCACTATGTCTAGTTGACGAAAGATTGTGATGGGGTTCGAAGGCATTATGGTAGGAGTTCTTGAGCTGTTTGATGTCAGAAGACCTCGGAACAACGAAATCGAGAAGATATCAGATTGATCTCACAAACCATGAAGGCGGGACAGGCGCCTCCCTCCCCACTTTGATCCACCTAGCTATGGATCGTCCATGCTGTTTTAGTCCTAGCATATACCTTCTCATTCATAGGTATAATTAGCTACCTTTTCTTTCTCTCTTACGATCTAATATATACTATAAACATTCTTTACACGTCTCTAGGCAGGTATCGTTTTAAAAAACATGTCTATTTATATCCGTCTGTAACTTTTTCAGCGCGACTCTTGGCACACGTTGCGCGCGCAACATACTACTTTTTCTCCTATTCTTAACACTTACCTTTTCCCTAATATCTCTAGAACTAGAACTCTAGGAAAATTATTAATTATATATAAATACACTTCTATATAGTCTCTTACCTTCTATATAAGAGAATTAATAAAAAAAGAATAGATTAATTAGTTATTCTAAGAAAAGCTCTATGAAGTAGATAACTACTAAAGTACTAAGGTATATAGTAGAGAAAATAAGAAAATAGGGATTTTCTCTATTATTGTTAGGCTATGAAAGTAGACTAATATTAACATCTAAAGATTTAGGGTTGTTATGAAGCCATATAAGTGTAGTCATAGTGCATGTAAATAGGCAGTGCGTCGTAACGAGAGCTGTGGATTCAAATCACTTAACGTATTTTAGAAAACACTTTGCTTATTACAACTAAGTGGTTGTTTTGTATTGGCTCTAGTTTTGTTAGTCCAATGCCTACCAGGTCGTGCCAGTCTGTCCTCACCTAGGATGCTGCGAAGCCTGCGAATCTCAGGAAGATTGAACTTGCGTCAAGCTTCACGCTACACAGCTCCACTGGTTAGAGCGACGCCCACGTATGATTTCGTATACAGGACCATTTCCTTTGGATATATTCTCACCTTCTTATACGCGAGCATGCTACCTACCATCGTTATAGCGAGAAGGAACAATGAATTCGAGATAATGCTAAGATAGAGTAACAAGGCATGATTAGACCTTGGATTTTACCTTCATATGAGCTACAGTAACGGGATATTAGTCTAGGGATACTTCGCTACCTTGGGTTTGCCTAACATGTCCCTAGACCAATGTCCTAGTACTGTAAGGTGTTGCCTGACTACTGTTATAGTGCATTCTCCTAATTCTAGATCTGGAGACAGGGACCTTGTTGAATTCTTCCGTCACCCATGCTTTGAGACACAAGTCGAGGGATCTCATATCTCGCATACTTTACTCATCTAGAACGATTTCTTCAGTGTATATATACATTGTAGTAACATATAAGACTGATTATCAAGGGGCTTCGCATCACGCCTACCGACTTGAAGCTAGATTCCACGTAAAATATCGGTTAAGAAACGCGGGAGTGACTCGTCAGCTCGTGGAGGCATCCAACAGTGGGTATTGTACAAAATTCAGTCTGGCGGGCGCCTGCATTTTTGAATGGGAACACATCAGCTCTCATTGTAAGAAATATATGCGCCCGTCTAATCATTACACAATGCTGGATTTTCAGTCAGCATAGAAACATCGTCTAAATGAGCTGTCATTTTCGACTAGCTTCGAGTTATACCTTGGACCCCTGTCCTAGCCTTTACATTGGCCCATCAACTCCCTTATTTGCCGCGTGACACATAACATAGTGTTCAAACACTTTCCATTCCACCTTATGAAACTTTGTCGAACATTGTATAGGAATCTGCCCAATTTAAATGCGTGCTGCTATGGGTTGAGATTTGGGGCATACTTGACTTAAAGTCATTTGCTAAGCGCATGAGATTCTTGATCTAAAGGTCCATCTGATATCTGTCAAAGTTTGATGCAGGATGAGTGAAAATGCGCGGCGTTACTGGTACTCGCGCCCGGTGTTGCGGCGGTACAGACCACAGAAATCTCTTCTCTCTGACCGAAATTTCATTCGTGTACCGGCAAACCCATAGGTCGTGGTGAATGCAGCATCTTTTCACAGACTTGGACTGAATTCACACGAGACTGGGACGTCACGCCCATCTTGCCGGGACATCCCTACTTACTGCGACGGCAAATGCTCTTGTCAGCTGTGGCACGTATTCCTACGTTACTTATGTCTTGTAATTAGGGTAGAGTTGCCGACTCAGTCGCTGTAGTCTTCCAATATCTTTTCTGCAAAAGCACACAAATTTGATCAAAATTCACAAGACAAAGCTCCTTATTTTCCTCACGTCGCCTTTGAACTGTTCACTTTTAAGTCGGATATACCAGTCAAGCAAAGCTTAAAGTCTTTAAAAATTTCACCCTCACCTATTCACGCAGCTCGCAGAATCCTACCTCAATTCCGTTATTACATCTGCTCAACGTCTTAATCCTACCTCACACCCACTTTCGCCTCTGACATAGCTACCTGAACTGGTACAACGCATGCAGAATTATACTTCTCTCCATCGGAAGTCATCAACGGTATGGCAACCGACATTTCTTATACTGCGTCTGGACGTAACACTAAAGGACATGTCGGCGACATTCCGGATAACATCAACGGAGCACAAAGTCAAGGAGACAAAGTAAAAGATGGGTCCAGAGCCGAGACCCCAATAGCAATCTGTGGGATGGCTATGAGGTTGCCAGGCGGAATTCGCAATGATCGGGATCTGTATAGATTCCTATTGAACAAAGGTGATGCCCGATCGATCATAGGTGCAAGTCGATACAACATTGAAGGGTTCTATAGTCCTTACGGAAAAGAGGGGACGATTAACACAAGACATGGCTATTTTCTCAACGACTTAGACTTTTCAGATATCGATCTATCAATGTTCAGCTTTGGCGAGGCAGAAGGCACCGAACTTGACCCGAACCACAGGCTCCTTCTTGAGGTTGTGCGAGAAGTTTTTGAGAATGCCGGAGAAGGCGACTGGAGAGGGAAAAATATTGGCACTTACGTTGGTCTTTTCACTGAGGATTGGCAAGAACTAGCACACAGGGATGACCTCAAGCATAGCATTCATCGCATCCTTGGTTCGGTTGACTTTGCGTTGCCGAACCGGATCGCATACGAGTATGACCTGAAAGGCCCAAGGTAATTCCCCAGACAGACTCACGCCGGTAACCACTGAGAGTAACTAATCTTTTCCATAGTATGGCCATCAAGACGGCATGCTCCTCTGCAGGTATTGCGTTGCACGAAGCTTTAGAGGCTATCAGGGGGAAAAGAATTATATCTGCCGTAGTAACAGGTTCAAACCTTATATTCGGTGAGTGCCTCCAAACCAATAGAATGTCGCTTCCTAATGAAGTTGTGAAGCTCCTGGACTTACCATAAATATGACCCTGTTGGGCTCACTGTCGCCAGAAGGTTCCTCAAAGTCATTCGATGCTGCTGCCGATGGTTATGCCCGGGGTGAGGCAGTTTCAGCCCTCTATGTCAAGCGCCTCGATGAAGCTCTCAAAGATGGCAACCCAATCCGTGCTGTTATCCGATCTTCGGCAATCAATGTGTAAGTTAGGGCTCTTCCTGTCACCCACCAGTACAAACAACGGTCAAGGCACACCCGAATTGCGTAGTCACTTTGGAGTCTCAGCGAACGAGAAAAATGAGTAACAAGAGTAACAGAGATGGCAAAACCAACGGCATATCTATGCCAAACGGGGAGGCGCACGAGGATCTAATGCGCCAAGCTTACGATGTTATCGGACTGGGTATGTCAAAGACTGCTATGGTTGAAGCCCATGGTAAGTGTTGACTGCAAATTTTCTACTCGAAGCCATTAGTGCATCAAATGACAGCCTCAGGTACCGGCACTAAAGTCGGAGACCCGATTGAGGCTTCAGCAATAGGACGATGTTTTGGAGGAGAAGGTGGAATCTATATGGGCGCGGTTAGTAGCTGCAATGACCTTGAGATTGAACTCTAACAGTATATTCAGAGCAAGCCAAATCTAGGACACAGTGAGGCTGCGGCAGCTCTTACTAGTATCTTTAAGGCAGTAGTGTCTCTTGAAAATCGCATCATTCTTCCGAACATCAAGTTCAATGAGCCTAATCCCAAGAGTATGTTGGAATTCCATTTGATAGTGGGACGCTCTCTTATGGTTAAATGTTATAGTACCATGGGACAGCCATGGGCTTATAGTACCAATTGAGCCAACCGTCTGGCCAGTCAACAAAGCTGAGCGTATCGGTGTAAACTCGTACGGCATTGGAGGGTCAAACGTCCACGTAAAGAACAATAGACGCTCTCTAGATTTCGCTAACCTCTGCGATAGTTTGTGATTGATTCTGCGGCATCATGTGGCATCAAGAACTCCCACCTCCATTCTGAGAGCAACAATGAGCCTCGTAAATCTTCGAAAAGACTACTTTTGTTCTCGGCAAACCATGAGAGATCTTTGGACAACGTATTTGAGGGCATTAAAGACTATCTGAATCAGCAACCAGGTCGCTTGCATGATGTAGCTTATACTCTGGCAAGAAGAAGAGAGCACTTGGATTTGCGGACCTTTGCAATATATGAAAGTCCTTCGCAATCCTTGGAAGCTTCAGTCCGCATTAGATTTCGGGGACCTACTCAAGTTGCCTTCATCTTCACCGGACAGGGTGCACAGTGGTGAGTTCCTTTCAGTCTAGACTTCAGAAACCGGACTGATTCTTATAGGGCTTCCATGGGCCGTCTACTTACCCAAGAGTATCCAAGCTTCCTGCAAGACATTCGCTCGTTGAATGCTATAATTCATAGTCTACCACACTGCCCCACATGGAATATCGAAGGTAACTCATGAACACTTATTAATACGGATTCATCAAAAGCTCAAACCTTTTCCAGACGTTCTATGCACGGCAGCCAGCGGGAAGCTTCTCCTAGAGGCGCAATACTCACAGCCCGTGTGCACTGCTTTACAGATCGCACTCATAAACCTCTTGGCTACCTGGAACATCGTTCCCTCCGCGGTAGTTGGACATTCAAGCGGTGAGCTCGCTGCGGCGTACGCTGCAGGGGCATTGACTGCGGATGCCGCAATCATCGCCGCATTCTATCGCGGTCATGTGTGTAAAGAAGCCAAGAAAGCAGGAGGTATGGCTGCTGTCGGTATGAGCAGAGAGGATGTTGCACCATATCTCCATTCTGGTGTCTGTATTGCCTGTGAGAACAGTGGCTCTAGCATTACGCTCTCAGGGGACTTGGACGCATTGGAACAGACGATGCTGAGCATTAAAGACTCTAATCCACTTACTTTGGTCAGGAAGTTACAAGTTGACATGGCATATCATTCCTGTAAGATTCTACTTGTCAGAATGGTTATATATCTAACTCTATGCTAACCTGATTAGATCACATGGGTCTCTTCGGCCAGGAGTACTATGAGCTTATTGCGAAGCACTTGTCACCCACTTCACCTACGGTGCCATTCTATTCTAGTGTGAGAGGCACAGTCCTCCGGTCAGCTTCAGACTTTGGGCCCCTATATTGGCAGCAAAATCTAGAGAGCCCTGTCCTTTTCCACTCGGCTATTAAGTCATTGCTGGCAGACTCTCCGGAATGTAGAGTGCACTTGGAAGTTGGACCTCATCCAGCGCTTTCTGGGCCACTAAGACAGATTTATAAGGCAGCCGGCACAGAGATAAACTATGTCTCGGTCCTGGATCGTGGTAAAGACGATACCATATCATTCCTAACTTCGGTAGGGCTCCTATATTGCCATGGTGTTAAAATAGGATATCCACACGGGCCTGAAAAGGTTGTTCATGATCTTCCAAACTATCCCTGGAACTACGAGAAGAAGTACTGGTCTGAAACCAGAATACAGAAGAACTGGAGGTTCCGCAAGCATCTTCCACACGACTTGCTTGGCCTTCGGATCGTAGAAGGATGCGATACATCACCCAGCTGGAGGAATATACTGAAGATCACGAACGTACCTTGGCTACATGATCATCGCGTTGGCGTTGATGTCATATTTCCGGCGGCGGGCTATATTGCGATTGCTGGAGAGGCCATATTTCAGCTCAGTGGGAAAAGGGACTTCACCGTACAAGACATGGATATAAGCAAGGCTCTAGTTCTATACGCAGATAAAGCTGTTGAGATGGTGACAAGCTTTCACACAGAAAAACCTATCTCGGCTGTGGGTAGTCGCTGGTTCTCTTTCCAGGTCGCCACGTATGACGGTACTACTTGGAATGAGCACTGTTCCGGGAGAGTTTGTGGTGGCTGTTCATCGCCACTCCCACAGAAAGCTCCCTCGATCCTTGATCGAAAAGTATCGTCATCTCGATGGTACACTGCAATGGCACGGGTCGGTCTGAACTATGCCGGGAAGTTTGCTCGATTGAAGAATATAGCGGCGAGTGTTACAGACCAAGTGGCTTCGGTAGACGTTTTGGATGAACAGGAAAGGCATGAATCAGCCTATATGCTCCACCCTTCGACACTTGACCTTGTATTTCAGTCATTGACTGTCGCAAAAGCAAAAGGTACATATCGAAACTTCGACACATTGTTCCTCCCTACACACATTGAAGAGCTGTACGTCGGTGATGGAGCCAGAAAGTCTATACGAATCAAAAGTTCGGCAGCGACGAGAGGTGATACTTTCACGGGGAATTCATATGGTGTCACTGATGGTGGTGATATTGTCTATGTCCTGAAGGGCTTTCGAGGCAAGGCTATGAGGGCCTTGGACTCAAAAGAGCCGCCAGACTTACACACTTTACGGCTTCAATGGAAGCCACATCCAGATTTCCTCCCAGCAGGTGACTTGATGCATATAACATCCAATGTGCGGGACTTGATACAATCCTGCGAAAGACTGATGGTCCTTTGTGCTATCGAAACGAGACATGCCATCGCCAGCCTGACCCCAGCTCAACCTCATCTGGCCAAATTTCGATCTTGGATAAATGCTCAGTATGAGCGATATCAGAAGCCAGATTATCCGTTGGTAGAAGACTCTATGGCTCTGGTGCAGATGTCTCCTAGCAGACGTCAACAGGTTATTGAAGAAAATTTCCGGCAATGCGAAGCCGCCGGCGCGTGGGCATATTCAAATGCGATTTACCGAACATACAAGAATGCAGTAAGTGTATTTGAAGGTAAAACGAGTTTTCTGGACATTCTTCTCGAGGATGGTGTCCTCACTGGAATACACAACTGGTATAACGATATCCGAGAAATCAAAGAATATGTGCAGCTACACGGAAACGCCAATCCTCAACTCAGAATTCTTGAAATTGGTGCTGGCACTGGTGGTATCACAGCTAAATTCTTGGAGCATCTGCGCTCTGATTATGGTGAAAGACTATATTGGAGATACACTTTCACTGACATATCATCTGGATTCTTCATCGCAGCTAAGGAACGTTTCAAACACTACGAAGGTATTCAATATCAGGTACTCGACATATCAAAGGACCCACGCAAACAGGGATTCGTCGCCGGGGGATATGATATCATTGTAGCTTCGAATGTAGGTTCTCTAATTGATTAGGGAGTCACGGGAATATCTAAGACTTTTTTGCAGGTACTGCATGCGACACCCTGTCTCCAGGACACTTTGACGAACGTTCGATCGCTTCTAAAGCCTAACGGTCAGCTTTTCTTGCAAGAGCTTTGCCCTGGTAAATCCAGCCAATCGTAATCTGCCCTGAGTTCTGCTGATGTAAATAGTGACACAAATGATGAGTTATGTCATGGTAAGTCAGTTCCGATAATTATCGTGTCCTCTATCTGCTACAGATATGAGATATTCGTCTAACGGCGCTGCGAGCAACTCCTCTGTGCTCGGATACCGGCAGATGGATGCTCTACTAGCTTTGCATGGTGTCCTTATTCTGAGGGAACTTCAATACCATTGAAGCTTGATACTCAAGTCATAGTTCGGAAAAGACTACTGACAACTGGAATAGGGCCCAGTCGCTGGTTGGTGGTTAGCCGAAGAAGATGGAAGAGTGCAATCTCCCTTTATCTCGCCAGAAGAATGGGACAAACGACTGCGAAGTGCTGGCTTCTCCGGGTGCAAATCTGTTACTCTTGACTATGAGCCGCCATATGTGTTGATGGCAAACAGCGTTGCAAAACCAGCAATCCGTGAACTGGCCCAACACAGACTCACGCTGCTACGACCAACTGTAGAGGTTCCACTTGTGGTTGAGCTCGTAACATTGCTTCGTAAACGGAACATTGAATTCGACATATGCATTCTGGGTGAGACACTGCCAGCAAACCAGGATATCATATCCCTCATCGATCTTGGCGAGAAACCAGTACTGCAGGACGTGAATGAAGAAGACCTATCAGAGCTTCTTAAGCTTGTGCAAAAGATGCAAACGAGGAGCCTCGTATGGCTCATGCCTGCTGCGCAAATCAATCCAGCAAATCCATCTACTGGGATGATTCTGGGCTTGATGAGAACAGCGAGATCAGAGTTGGCAGCATCATTTGCTACCCTCGAATTGGGAGACGGAGTCGGAGCTGCGCAAGCTGCTGTTCACGTTTTAGATACCATTCGTAGATCGAAAATCGAAGATGGAGAATTGGATGTGGACATGGAGTGGATATGGTACTCCGGTACTTTGAACGTCGGTCGCTTTCACTGGATTCCTGTGGAGAAAGATCTCTGCGACACTGTGGAGAGTCAGCCAGTGAAAGCCTTACAAATTCGAACCCCGGGTTTCTTGGAAACACTACAATGGACGAGCCAGGCACTGGAAGATCCTGCGAAGGATGAGATACACATTAAGGTGTCTATGGTTGGTCTAAATCAAAGCGACCTCCAACTTGCTATGGGTATCGATATCAGTGCAAGGACCAATAGGTTCTTCGGTGTTGAGGCCGTTGGTTACGTTGTTAAACTTGGATCCAGTGTTACTGAACTCGCACTTGGCGATCGTGTTATGACCGTCGGAGGAGAGTCTACAGGCATTGCTACTATCATTGCTAGGGCGGCAGAATTGTGTGTAAAGATTCCACACGGACTCAGTGACGAAGAAGCGGCTACCATGCCGTTTGCATATACAACAGTTCTGCTGTTTCTTGTAGAGAAATGGAAACTACAAAGAGGGCAGTCAATTCTAATTCACGCCGCTACTGAAGGTGAGTTAAGCTATCTTCTTGGCAAATAGCATTGCTGATATACCAAGGCATTGGCATCTGTGCCATCCAAGTTGCTAGGTGGATTGGAGCCGACATATTTGCGGCCGTTGATAGTGAAGAGAAAATATCCTTCTTGGTTGAGACATTTAATCTCCCACGTGGTCGCATCTTCGATTTGCGAGACGGCACGTTCCCGGCAGACATCCTTGAGGCTACTAGCAATAACGGGGTGGACGTAGTTTTACATACATCGCCGAATGAGCACCTGCAAGACTCCTGGAGATGTGTTGCTGAAGATGGCGTAATGATTGATATTGGAAAACGCGATAGTGAGTATCTGTCTTCTGGAGAAAGACCCAATATTGATACAAGGCAGCACTGGTAGGGAGAGGGCGACTCCTATTGACCCCTTTCGAGAGAGACCGGACCTTTATCGTAGGGGACGCGACTCGACTCATAACCACCAATAAGTCCAGGACTGCTCGTCTGCTCCGACTAGCACTGGATAAATACGCCACAGGTAGCTTCGGACCGGTGAGACCCATCACAAAATTTGATGCCCAAAACATTGCGGCTGCGTTTAAGCATTTCCAGGCAGGGTCTGGCATAGGCAAAGTTGTCATTATGTTTCCGGATGAACACAGAATACGGTCAACCCCGAGTGTTCCCACTCCTAGGTTTCGCAAGGATGCAACATATGTACTCGTTGGTGGCCTGGGCGGCTTAGGTAAAGCAATCGCCAGTTGGATGGTCGAACATGGGGCACAGCATCTGATGTTCCTTTCCCGCTCTGCCGGTGAGTCGCTAGAGGACCAGGGATTTCTGCGCGAGTTGGAAGCAATGAACTGTTCACCCCAAGTCTTCTCCGTCGATGTTGCAGATGCTACCGCCATGAAGCAGGTTATAGCTCTGGCAGCCATGCCCATAGCTGGCGCCATGCACATGGCTATGGTGCTAGCTGATGCTGGTATTATCGATATGGATCTGAGAACGTGGCAAAAGGCAGTGAATCCAAAAGTGCAAGGCGCATGGAATCTGCACAACCTCCTGCCACGAGAACTTGATTTTTTCATTTTATTCTCTTCCCTCGGCGGAATCCATGGATACTATGGACAGTCGAATTACTCTGCGGGAAACACCTTCCTTGACTCGTTTTCTCAATACAGACAAAGTCTTGGACTGCCTGCTTCAGTAATAAGTATTGGTCCTATCGACGACATAGGATTTGTCAGTCGTACTGCATCCGTCAGGGAGAACCTGAGACAGAGCTTTGCAAGCCTCTTGACAGAGAAGCACTTCTTGGACACTCTTCATCTTGCGATCTGTCGCTCATCCATCACCCATGGTCCCAGGTCCTGGCCCAACACAAGCCCCTACAGTGGCTTCCAGGCCTTCAATCATATCTTTCATTCAACTGAGTCTACTACACCAATCATGGACAATGACAACGCAACATTCTGGAAACGTGATCCTCGTATGTCGATCTATCGAAATCTTCAGAGAGTGCCTATGGCAGAGAACAAGACTAGAAGCAGTCAATTAGACCGTTTCCTCTCAATCATGGCCAAAGACCCAAGCAAGCTTGACGACCGATCATCAGCGAAAACAATTGCTGAAGAGCTCGGAAAATATATCACAAACCTCTTGATGAGAGGCTCCGAGATGGAACTATCCCAGAGCCTCGCTACGGCTAGCATTGACTCGCTTGTCGCAATCGAAATTCGGAATTGGTGGAAGCGGAAGCTTGGAATTGAAATCTCTGTTTTGGAATTGTTGAGTGGAGGTAGTATCGAACAGCTCGGTGTCGTAGCTGCACAACGTCTGAAGACTAAATTTTCTAAGTGACTTGAGCACTGAAGATCTCAACCGCATCATTAAGGATGTTGGAGATTTCGCCTTGCTTGTCCCTATCTTTCAAATCTATTGTGTTCTTCATTATACAATATATATCCGTCGATACGTATCTTTCATTGTCCTGCTGGTTCAGTCAAATCATCAGATAATAGTGCCCACATAGTTGCGAAGACGTTTGTAACTTATTGAAGAGCCGCTACCGATCTGCGACCCGACTTTGGATCATTTGGCACACGGTACTGTTCACGCGCAGCGGAACAATTCCGGTGGTGTCATTAATCAAATGTGTGGCTGTAGAATCACGTATGGCATAGCATACGTGAGGACCGGAGTTCGTCTAGGATTTTTAGGTCAAATAGGGAATCGACGATGTAAACATAACTAAGTGGGTCCCGACACTACCAGGTAGGCGACCAAGCAGCCCCGCATTTGGCGTGCGATTGATAACTAGTTACCAGCCTCTTGCCTGCAACCTTGTGCATTGAATTAGATCTTCCACTCGATACTCACACTCCAGTGACATGAATGCCTCACAAACTGTTGATGTTCCACCGTCGAGTCTCACGATACCCGAGGTCCTCGCTGAGAATGTGGTAAATAAATGACTGTATCACCCCACTTCACCTTGAAGCTAACATCCACTCTGAGTCGGGTGGAGAATTTGACCCTCGAGACTATGAGGGATCCGGGTCAACTCCAATTGAGGTATGTATAGCGTCATTGCCGCTAGCCCCACTATCCTGAAGAAACTCTTTTGATACAAATGCTGAACCTTCAGGTAACATTCGGCGTAGGGTCACCATACCGCCGTAAATCATCCTTAAACCCTACCATGGCAGCTCGGCCACAGAGCGTGCGCAGAACCACCGACTGCTATGTACACTCGATTTTGAACGAACATAAGGGATCGGAAGCGCCAGACCTTAGCTTTCAGGGCGCCACGGAGGAGAAGATGAGCGACAAGGATCCGCATGGTGACAAGAACCAGCGCAACGAGTCGAGACTGCTTACGAAGAAGCAGATTTCGGACATGGCGTTCGGCATACGGGAGCTTGCAAAACGTCTATCCAGCATCAGGGTCAAAACGAATGTGAGAAACGTTTTTGTGCTTTGCAAAGCGCACGACGAAGGTCTAATCAAGAACACACGGGACGTTACTGAGTGGATACTACAAAAACAAGATGGGCTCACTGTCTGGGTGGAAGAAACATTAGAGCACAATGATCTCTTCGATGCCAAAAGTTTAAGAGAGTCATGCCCAACCTGCAAGGACAGACTGAGGTTCTGGAATGAAGAGCTTTGCGCCAAGCGACCGCAGACCTTTGATATAATCGTTGCACTTGGAGGCGATGGTACTGTACTGTACGCGAGCCACCTTTTCCAACGCATCGTGCCTGCGGTCATATCATTCTCACTCGGCTCACTTGGATTCTTGACGAAATTTGACTACGAAGGGTATCCGGATACTTTGACGAAGGCATTTCACGATGGTATTACTGTCAGCTTGAGACTGAGGTTTGAAGCAACCGTGATGCGCTCGCGGACGCGGGACAAGCCGGACCAGGATTTAGTAGAAGAGCTTATAGGAGAAGAGGCCGATAATCAACATACCCATGTTCCAGATGGAACGCACAACATACTGAATGAGCTCGTGGTGGACCGAGGACCAAATCCAAGTGAGGTCTATAAAACTGTAAGAGTGGCAAGTGCTGATAGTTGTAGCAATGTCAACTATCGAGCTCTTTGGCGATGATCAGCACTTCACAACGATACAAGCCGATGGTATATGTATATCCACACCAACCGGCTCAACCGCGTACAACCTTGCAGCAGGTGGCTCATTGTGCCATCCTGATAACCCGGTGATTCTGGTGACCGCTATTTGCGCTCATACACTGTCATTCCGACCTATCATTCTGCCTGACACAATTGTAATGCGAGCTGGCGTGCCGTACGACGCTCGGACGAGCTCATGGGCCAGTTTTGATGGCCGAGAAAGGTAAGACAATATTTCAGTTAAATTGCGTTGGAATTAATCAGATATCCTAGAGTTGAGCTGAAGCCTGGCGACTACGTGACGGTATCCGCGTCACGTTTTCCGTTTCCGAGCGTCTTGCCTCTGGATAGGAAAAGCAAAGACTGGGTGGACAGCATCTCAAGAACGTTGCAATGGAACTCGCGGCAACGTCAAAAGAGCTTCAAGGAGTGGAGTGACAAGTAAAGAAGTACTCGAATCGTACATCAGACTGATAGATGAAGGTCCAAGGTTGCCCGTCTGTCCGGTACCCTGGATGGAATTGGATAATGTAAATAATATAGAGAGACCCAGGGCTATACTACATTCACATATACATGAGTAATAATGAGACCCATTTCCATTATACAGAAGCACCCACAAAGCCTGTGATCTAAACGTCCACAAGCGCTCAATCTCCACAAATCGTCAAACACCACGTGACGAGATGATTATCAGGGTGCTCTTACTCATCCCAATATCTGCTGCCTCACAAACTCTAAAATTTATATAGTAGGGAAAGAATTGCACAGAGTTTAGTCCAGTTGCATTACCACCGTATATTGAAATGGGCCGCACAAATCCACACTTCATCCCACCACCGCCACAATCGATCCGCCGCGCCCAACGAGCCAAAGAAGCGAAACACATCATCAACAATGTCATCCCAGCTCTTCTAAAAAGCGATGCAAGAGCAAGAAAGGGTGTCGACACGGCAAGACTAATCGTCGACCCGCCCTTGCGGTTTATAGGCGACGCAGACACGGAAGCACGTGACACGCGAGACGACGATTTCGGAAAGAAGGGCAAAGGCAAGGGCAAGGGCAAGGGCAAGGGGCGGAAGAAGCGGAACGATGACAGCGCGGACGAGGTAGAGGACGACAGCAGCAACAGAGGCGATGCGAAAAAGAAGAAAGCGAACAATGATGCCCGCAATACATCTCAGTCTACATCTACATCCGCCTCCCGTTCCTCTCCACCCCCTAGCATATCAATCCACATCACGGACTCCCTCAACGCTGCCCGCGCCCTGCTCTCCCCATCGCCCTCCTCTTCCAAGTCAACTTCCAAGCCAGCAAACATAGCTCTGCTGAACATGGCCTCCCCGCTTCGTCCCGGCGGTGGCGTGTACCAGGGCGCCACAAGCCAAGAAGAGCATCTCTGCACACGCACCACTCTCCTCCCCTCACTACGCGAATCATGGTACCGCCTACCCGAGCTCGGCGCCGTGTACACGCCCGACGTGCTCGTATGGAAAGTGGGCGACGAGGAACTCAAGAAGAGCGGCGGCAGCGGCGGGCGGTTCTACGTAGACATCATCAGCGCGGGTGCAACACGGTGGCCGGACGTCGAGGACGCGCCGGATGGCAATGTTGTAGGCAAGGGCAACGGGAATGGCACAGAGGAGCATGGCGGCGATGCGATTGGCGAGGATGAGGGACCGGTGCGCAAATGCTATGCCTCGCCGAAGACGCGTGCTCTGATGCTGGCGAAGATGCACGCTGTACTGCGTACCATATCGACGTATTCGCGTGCGACGCGCATCGTGCTGGGTGCGTGGGGTTGCGGCGCGTATGGACATCCTGTGGGTGAAGTAGCGGCGTTGTGGCGGAAGGCTATAGAGCTTCACTTCTCACGATTGGCGGATGGGTCTGGAGAGAGAGCGCGAGATATAAGAATGGTTTTCGCGATCTCTAATCCAGGGCTTGCGTATGCGTTTGCGCGGGCTTGGGGCACATCGCCAAACATAGATGTCCTGGAGTGTCGAACAGTCAGAGATGGAGATGATAGTGGTAGTGACTCTGAAGAAGCCATCGCACAACGCAAGCGAGCTGAGCTGAACGCGAAGATCCTGGAGATGGAGGGACAGATGCGGGAAAGTCGTTATCCGGAGCGAGTACGTGGCGTACTGGAGGCGTTGAGGAAACACAGAGATGAAATGGGAGATGAGGATGAAGATTCAGATCGGGACATTGATGATGGTGGTGATGATGATGATGATGATGGGGATGGTAATGCAGGTGGGAGTGATCGCGAGGGAGAGAGTAGCAGTGGTGACGAGAATGAAAGCACAAGAGACAGTGACACATACGAGGGCTCGGAAACGGATACGTAGACATTATATCCTGTGTCGATTCCTCATATCATCAAGAATACGTACGTTATACCCTACTCTTGTACATACGGACCCAATGCTCTCCATTAAAGAGAGATGATAGGTCACCTGCTCGCGTCTTGAGATGACGTGAGCAAAACAAAGTGTGCGCCACAAGAGGTATAAAAAAAGTAATGTGCCAAATGTACGGCGCAAGAAGATTGATGATGATGATTTTGACAAAGGGAAGTCCAACCTGCTCCGCCCATGCTCGCTATAACAAAAAGTCGATGGAAATGCTACTTTGGTGTTTTCGCTGAAGTATTGGTACGCCCAAGTGTAGATTGATGCCTGCTTATACGGTAATCGCTCAAGGAGTCTCGTCCGCGAATGAGCGGTACGATGCGATCGAAGCAGTCGAGGGCGTCTGTGATTGTCAGCCCTCAAGCAAGCCCTTCTGGCCTTTTCCGAGAAGCTCGAGACATTTTCTCGCGAGACCGACGACTTCTCCCTCCCCGTCTTCGTTATCTTCATCATCGGATTCAATCGTTCTTTCAGCAATTTGCGAGATCATGGACACGAGATCGTCAGATTTGGCAATCCGTTCCGTCAATTTCGTGTCCTCTGACTCGAGTAGTTGCAAGAGTGTCCATACAGCGATGTGCTGGAAAGTTGGGTCACCGCTGTTGAGGAAACGTTCAAGATAGCCGTGAATTCCACCATTGGGTTCTTTCCAATTCTCCAAAAATTTCCTGTAGTCACCCACTAAAACGTGTTAGCACAAGCATCAATGGCCTGGCGGATTTCGAATATACCTTTCGAAGAAAGATTGCCCAGTGCAGCAGCACTGTTCCCTTGGACCTCGATACTTTCTGACTCGGTTAGAGGAATAAGGACATCAAAGACACCAATGTTCAAAAGGTGGGTTTTAAGCTCATCACTCAAGGCAAGAACTGCAATAGCTGCAGTCATTTCTGACTGCACGCTGAGTGGCACATTCAGCACCCGCTCTATGCACTTCTGAACAGCACCAGCGTCCAACACGAGCTGCTTGTTCCGATCAGAGCTAGCAGCAAGGTTCCGTAGCGTCGATATGGCATGGCACTGAATTTCCTCCGAGATGTTGGGGCCCAGAAGGTCAACCAGAGGCGGGAGAAAGCCAGCATCAATGATAGGAGATTCATTTGCGGGATGAATGGAGATGTTGCGGATACAAGCGACAGCCGAATTCTTAAGAGGCGGATATTCCGATGTGAGGAGTTCTAGTAGTGGCGGTAGTCCTTGGTTCCGCACGATCTCTAGTTGATAGACTTCATCTGAGGCGAGATTCCTGAGCGCGAGCGCAGCCTGCTGCTTCACTTTGGGAGGTGGTAGACTGTCTCGCGTCCGTGGAGAAGAACCCTCTCTTTGGCGCATGAGAGAAATCAAAGCCTTGACGAGGTGTGGTTCAGTCTGTACCAGTTTGGCACGATTGGCTGAGTCTACTGCGATGTTACTCAAAGCAGTGGTGCAATAGTATTGTACATCGACGTCGGGTGACGATAGGAGTTGCACCAGGACGGGAATTGCCCCGGCCTTGACCAGTTGCTGGCGATTATCATCTATAATCAATAAGCTTTTATTGCCTGAGCTGTAGCGGCCTTAGATAGGTACCTGAATGTGTCATGTTTAACAAGGCACCTGTAGCGTTACGCTGTACTCGCATATCTTTCGACTTTGCTAGTTTTGTGAGGGGCTGTAAAGCTCCAGACCGGGCAATACGAGCTTTGTTATCTTCATGTGTAGCCAGATTGGTGATGCAGCCGACGGCGTTACACTGGACTTCGACGTTGAGGGAGTTCATCTGCTTGATCAACGGATTCAAGCCTCCAAGCTGTACTATCGCGACTTTGTTTTCCGCTGCTTATATTTAGCATAGGGATCATGTCCGGTAGATACGAGGTATCATACGATTGACAGCCAGGTTCCCGAGTGCCGCGCTGGCTGCTCTCTGTACTTCGATATCGGGGTTTGAAAGGAGAAATAGAATAGGTTCGAGAGTTTCACGTCCAACTTCTCGCACATCTGCCATGATTATTCAATATATATAATTTTCGAGTGCGGGTCCATGTGACGTACTTCCTTCTGTTATCTCAGCAAATGTGAGACTGGCGCTCCGTTGAAGGTCAATATTTTCTGAGTAGACAAGGATGCTTAAAGCTTGTAGAGGTGGACCGGAATAGAAATCCGTGTTCGCTCTCTGCTCCCGCATGTCAGTGAGGTGGAGGGTGAGAGAATTTGATTCAAAGGACGCACATCTTCTAGGTAGCCAAGGAGGTCTGCTACGGCTTCTCTTTCTGAATCTGCAAGAGCATTTTCGTAAAGCCCATCTTTGGAGCGAGCTGGAGCATGCGGGTCAGCATTCTGTCAGTAATACTCATCTGACCAAGACATACAGCCGCAGCACGATGCGAGAAATGCACCACAGAAGCCCATGGTCTGTGAGGTTGTCCAGGCACGGTGGCCGCGGGAGGAAGGATATGACGAAGTTGGCAGACGGTAGTGCTGGGAGAAGGACTGGGAGATAGATACAGCGCTTATCGGGCGATAAGAGATGCGGTGAAAGTATGCAGTGAGAAGGGTATTGCTGGGTTTAAGAAGAGGCGACGCGACAGAGTTGAAGTGTGAGCGAAATAGATGGGATGAGTCTGCGTCAACACGGCGAGAAAGCAAGTGGTGTTGAGCGGGAGCTGTGCAGCAAGCTCCAGGGCTAAAAGGGCTAAAAGGGCTGTACCGTTGTAGGTACTGAAACCCGCCAGGTTAGGATTAGGCATTAATACCTAGGTGTTAGCTCCACAACGTGCCTGCCAGCGATAAGATGACGACGATGACCACTCCCCCATTGCGCTTGTACCCCCGTCTATCCTCTAACCTATCTACTACATATTATCGATACTCCTCCGGAAGTACAGTCGTCCCTCTTGCTTGTGGACTAGCCTAAATACATCAAAGAGTACGATGATCGTTTGCCTCAAGCATCAATCCGTGCCGCCTGTTCAGCAGCACCTCATTATAGGACACTTGCCGTGTCTGAGAAAAGCTACTTGGAGAGAGACATGTGAAAACGCGGTCACGTTCAATCTCCCAGCAAGAGGGTCCGCGGGTGTTTTTGCGAGGTCCAGCTGATAGGTACGGTACGACTGCTGAGCTCAGCCACACAGCCTTGCTCTTCTACCTATCTTCCAGTGGACAGTGGGTGGCATCCATCAAGTGGAGACAAGACCCATTCTTCTCGCCTCTTCGGAATGACGGTGAGGGTGCAATGCCAGTACGTACCATATTTTGTTGAATGCCCAGGAGATCTGTCGATCTCTGGCTAAACCAACACTACTCTATAGCGAGTCTGTGCTGATGAGAGGTGTTTCAATTAGAACAGCCAGCACACACCATAGTTATATATACAACCAAGGCAGTATCATCCAGCCTCTGAAAAAAAACAGGCCAGACTTAACTCGCATCGCTGTAGTTACCAGAATGCGTTGACACAAAGTGGCAATATTAAAATTATTAATCGGTCCACTATCACCACCACCAACACTACCAACGATTCTTCATCCACACACTGATGGAATGAGCCAGAGAGACATTAATTGAATTCGACACTATCTACTTGGCCTTATGGAGACTCATGCGTTGCACGAGCCACGGAAACGAGGTGCTAGGTTGTTCCGCTACCTCATCCGGCTAATTGTTGGGGGGTTCAACAGGCGGAAGATATGAAACTGAAGCTGTGGAGCATAACTTTGAGAGATGCAAGGGACAAAAAGATACAATGATGTCGTGACAGGACCTGTGAGTGGTACACAAATACGGCCGGCTGCAAGATGACGAAGACCCTGCAGCGTGCATTTAAGAATTGTCGGTTGTGGGTTGTGGTTTGGTGTTTCGGTCTCGGTCCGCGAGATCCTGCAGCATCTTCCTCGCTTGTTCTGTGGCTGATCCTTCTTTGATGCTAATTAGAGCCTGTCGTCATTTCTATCTAACCACCGCAGAAGTCAAGCCACACGATGGACTATCGTGGCGTGGCTAAAGCAAGGCTTCCGTCTCCCGCCTTCCGTCGAAAGAATCGTAGTCAGCAGGTTGTATTTAGGATTCAGGATCCTGCCCTGCCTAGTGAATGATAGAAGGCGAGAAGAAAGTGAAGACACATTAGACCGATGTCTCCCCACGCTGCACCGCATTTGTTTCGGCTGGGGTTCGGGCTTGGGCCTGGGCTGATCAGTGCATAACGGCATGTAGTACTACTCCAGGACTGGGAGATGGTGAAAGTCTCTCGCGCCGCTTCCGCCTGTTATTCGGGGTCGTTGGATCGCATTTAAATGTGTATGGGTGTATTAACACCTATGCTGATAGCATGAGGGAAGCACAGGCTCGCAAAGGCACACTTGTTAACTACAACAGATGTAAGGCGCACAATTGGCGCGCAACCCGTAGAAGCATTACTAGCCTCTTTTACCAGAGACAGTATGGCGATGCAGGCCGAAGTCATTATTATTATTCGTATGCGTGACTGTACATACGTGTGTATACACCAGGTACAAGGGTCACACTGCATCTGGCTTGGCGTGGGTCATTCCGGCCATTCCCTTAGCTAACTCCATCTCCATCCGTAACGAACTACTTACTCCCGGGGCGCTGGAGATCCAGGCCAAGACCGTAGGTAAACTTCCTCCGCCTTTCGCTCCTGACAACACTCTCCTCCGCTCACACGCACAAGCTGAGTAGTCACTAGGACAAGCTCTTGATTGTCTTTACCCTGGTCTATCTGTGAATGCCTCGCCCTAAGAGGTTCAGCAAACATTGAGCGCAAGCGCGCTTGCCATGCACGCGCCAAATCACAGAGGCCTTACTAGCATATCGGTCACCTCCGTACACCCGTTCCTCACATCCCACATCGAAATCAAACTTGCTTCGTTCACATACCTCGTATATTCCATAGAGTCGAATGGCACCTGCGGAGACCTCCAGACTATTTGCGAAGCTGAAGCTTGATACAACGTCCCCAAGACCAATAGCTGCAAGTCCTCTTTCACGCCGGGTTTCTCACGGGCTTGCCATCGCAGATGAAGATTTAGACGAGGATGCTGCACTTGGAACTCCTAAACCAGTCCGACCCCCAGCCTCAATAGCAGAGCGATCACCACTGCTCGCCCCAGACGCTCTCGCCTCCGAACGTTATGCCTTGCACGACGTACAAGAAGGAGTAGTACAAAATTACCATGAAGTAGAACATAGCGAACCTCAAAATATACCTGGCAAGTCAGCGCGTCTGTCTTCTGGAAACTCGGACTGCGGCAGTCGCAGCGGTAGTCGCCGGTCATCTGTCAGCTTCGCTTCCGACGTAGTACTCGAGGATGGCAAAACCTTCGCGCTCGAAGAGGCTTTGCCAAAACCAGAAAAGCTACCTAGGATTAGAGGGCGGTCGATACTTCAAGAGTTGACTATCGCAGAAAATAGGCATAGAGCGAACAGCGAGTCAAGGAGAGATGACTATGACCCACGGACAGGTCAACGCTTTGATTATCAACGAAGAGACCCTCATGGCTATCATCAGGGAGTTATGAGGCATCCGCTACTTCAGACTACAGTCGATGATTTGGCACGCCGTCCAGCCATAGCTGATGAAAGGGTGGCTTCCCTCACTTCTGATGGCACTGCTTCACCTTTGCCTGACGAAGTACAGACACCATCTGAGTACGACGCTTTGAGCCCCCAACCCATACAGGAGACTTCATCTCCACTTGCCGCTTTCACCTCGAGCTCATTGCCATTCAGCCGGAGATCATCACAGCGCTCGAGGAGTTACCGAGATGTTATAAGAAGCGATGGTCGACGACCTAGCCGACGAAGCTCCGCTCGCTCCAACTCGTCTAAGTCGCCTGCTGGCGCATTTCTGTCTTTGTGGGCACGAGATGATAGCGCAAGCAAGGCTGAACTCGACGAGGAAGGCCAGGAAATTGACAAGACAGGCTATATAATTGGTCGACAAATTGGTGTTGGTGGTTTCAGTGTGGTCAAAGAAGTTTTCAACCTCGAGAACGGCATTCGTAGGCGACGAGCCGTTAAGATTGTACGCAAGCAGGTTTCTGGCAAAGGCGAAGACGAGAACGAAAAGGTGCAGGCCGAGTTTGAGCACGAGGTCTCGATCTGGCGCTACGTCAATCACAAGTATATTCTACCTTTGATTGAGTGCTTTGAAACACCGTTTGCTACGTTTTGTATCACGAAGTTGAACGAGGGTGGCACTCTATTTGACCTCATCCATGCGAGGCGCAAGGCTGGTGCTGGCGGCCTTCCTTCTTCCCTCGCGAAGCGTTACGTATATCAACTCGCTTCTGCGATCCGGTTCTTACACGAGGATGTGCATGTAGTTCATCGCGACATCAAGATCGAAAATGTCCTGATCGACATGTCAGATCCCAATGCTGCATGCGACGGCGGTAATATTCTACTTTGCGACTTCGGGATGGCCGACTTTGTATACAACGAGCATCGTCTTGATCAAGAGCCATTCGATCAGGAAATGCATATCGGCCCCAGTCACACAAGCACGTCTGTTACAGGCAGTCTTCGTTATGCAGCACCGGAGCTACTGGAAAGTCCATGCCAATTATACAGTACAGCTGTGGACATGTGGGCATTCGGCAACGTTGTATACGCAATGCTCATGGCCCAATTAGCATTCAATGACCCATTCGAGCCACGAGTCGTCATGCAGATTCTAAATGGTGAGTGGGACGAGGCACCCTTATACAAGACCAACGCAGTTCTTGAAGAAGGCTCGACAGAACCCGTAGAGATGGTGAAGGGGTGCTTGCAGAAGAATCCAGAAGAGAGATGGACGATTGCGGATGTCTTGAGGAGTACATGGTTGGAGGGATGTGCAGAGCTGTTCGAGCCAGATGAAGGGGTCTGGGATCAGTAGGAGCTTTCAAGCCTCTACTCCTACATCAGAATGTTCTCTCACTTCTCAATTCCTTTGCACCTTTCTTCTACATTACACGCTCTTTTCTCGCCCAAAAATCTAGTCGTTTTCGATTTCATCATGCCTTTCTTTATATCAAGTCGCTGAATGTCTTCTGACTCTCGATTATTTTTCAATCATGTCCGTTACGACTATTTGGATACCCAGTTTCAGCTCAGCAGCATTGTGGGAGATATACAGTTCGAGGGCATACGGCGTTTAGCGCAGTATCGTTTGGCGTTGATGGTCTGCTCTCTTCTCCCTTGTCGTTCTGCGTTGCTCCGGGATTTGTTTCTATCAACGTTATCAGCTGGAGTCTTTTAACATTTGTGGTTAGTAAATATCAATTTCAGGGTACCTATGAGCGGTATTGACATTGACCCGCGTTGCGCTGCTTGACTCTCCGAAATCTACCACTGCGAAACAGAACGTCCGCGCCAGATTCAACATTCTTACGTCATCATCGTATCCAATGCAAGTGCTTTGAAGAAGCTAGTCACAGTAGTCATTTAGAAATCTATCTGTAGTGTATGAAGCCTTACTCCTGGCTTTCTAGCTCAGAGTGCTGCCGTCTCGTGGCTTGGCCGTTCCAAGCTGAAGTTGAAATCACTCCACGCCGTGTCAACGACGGAAGTTCTTGACCATACTCACCACAACGTTCATGCTTCTCATCATGACATTACGAGCTACGAAATGACCCAGACGCCTTCGTCTTCCCTTGAACTGCCGCCTTGACTTCACACATATTCGTAACAGGGCTTATAGTCAGCGACACCGGGCTACAAATGAGTCTCGATATACCAGTACTATGGGATATGTGAATAGGTTTGCGGGCTGTGGGTGTAACTGCCTCGATTCCATTTTCGGTAGATAGTAAGTCTATTTCTCTTAAGATTCCGTATATTAACTAAAGAGATCTTGAGAGGGACGTTCTGTATTTTGAGGTGTGGGGAGATCATGTTGTTTTCTACGTAAATGCGCTACTGTATATGTTGTAACGATGTACCATTCGTTCAAATTGTTCCACCGAGCGGTTATAACTCATGACTTCCTTGCTTCGTCAACAACTATATCGGGTTTCAAGACTATAGTATACTAAGTTTTTTGTATTTCTGAGTGGTCCACTACAGGATCATGGGATATGAGATTACACTCATGCTAAATTCGTAAAGCTCGATCCTAACATCGAAGGACGTAAGTCTAGTTATCTCGATTCAAGCAAGATGCTTTCTTACACAGGACAATGCCGAAAGATCTTCCAGGTGGCTGTACTTTACGGCGACTTATGGTCCGCCGTGGATATCAACTCATGAATTCCGTAATGCAATAACACCGGATCTGGTTCCTTTAACGATAGCCTGTGTTCAATATCACTAGGAACCCCAGTCATACTTTCTTCTCTGCTCTTTCGTTGACGTAACAGGTGATAAACCACCACTAGATGAATTAGGTCAAATATTGCTACGTAAGAAGAGTGCCTCACTCATAAGAAAATATGAATTCCATGCCTGATTTACATGAGCAATATCTCCCGGACTTGTGGAAGAGAGTAGGTGGGAGTTATGTTTCTTGAAGAACATGCGACTGGCACTTGATCTTGAAATTAGAGCTAAAGGATAGGATGCCTCATTGGAAGAGCTGATTCTAAGCATCTTCGAGAACCACATTCCTAGGTTGCTTGAGCTATTGGATAGTCAAGAAGGAAGGTGAAGCCGTATCTGGTGCATGAGGATTTGTGGCGAAGGAGGGCAGCGGAATAGACACTCTGAAAGCAGCGGCTGATGCTCGATGCGTGTAGCCCCCATATAAATATCAATTGTAAGACAGTCGTATGCTAAGTCAACCAGACGAACGTTGATTAACACACGAATTCCCCGCACGCAATGGCTTTGGACAAAGCTACATTGACAAGTATATCGAATATATAGGCAAGTCGGAGCCATTGTAAGACTACGATAAGAGTCTAGATCCATATAAGCTGCAATTATTTCCATTTCAGTGTCAAAAGAGTTTTTGTGGATTCTACCAGACGGTGTATCTGCTATCTTCCCCGAAAATCGTGGACTGAAAGATCTGTGAGCTATTACTTATTCAAATGTGATCATTGTTACTGATATCATCGCGTAGGATGCTTCTAGGCGAGTGCTTCAAGGTTAGTATGGGTGTTTACACTGAGACGACGGTGTCATTCCCAACATGACCATTTACTGAGAGGAGTAGACAAGATCATTTTTCGCTCATTTGCTAATTCCAAAAACGCTACGAACAGCCGCCGGCACATTCGCCTGCTGGGGTACGTTCCCCTGGTAGTCTAAAAATCCATCCTTTGTCGAAAATACAATTACATGGTCCAGCTGAGCGCCCGTTATGACCCACACACCCACCATATCGAGATGCCATATGCCACATTGATTCGTAAAGAACACTCCAGCGTCGCCAAGCTCTGCATTTGGTAGTTCATACCAACTTTAACAATTTCAGCGCAACAGTAACGATGAGATATCAACCATTTTTCATAGTTCAGGTGACTCACTATGTTTGTCGATTCAATTTTGCTCCGATCGCCTTGATATGCTTCTGAAGATCGTCCGACGTAATCTGCATCTCGCCTTCTTCTACATCCATCCAGCCAAGCTCTTTGATCATATCCTTGTAGGGTTTGCCTGCTAGTACTGACATTGTGACAAAAGTACAGTTCGTGCCGAGGCTTTGTGGGTTATGTGGGTTCTCGGCCATGGTGTTTTGTAGTATAGTATGAGTATAGAATGTACGAGGAATATTTCATGTACGAATATCCGCTGGATAGAGATGCTTATAGAAGTATTATAGTCATGGGACGAAGGTCAGAGCTAGTCTTTCAACAGCATGCTATATATTGTACAATTTGAGAACTAGAGAGCTCCCCACACGAGAGTTGCATAGTACAGCAAATCACTCATTTCGGTTTGACAATTGTCATTCGGACTCGCCAAGTCGCTTACACCTACAGTTGTCTCAACTCCTCCACCAGTCCATGGGTTTCTCTGCGAGTTAATTGGAATTTCTGAGAAGAGTTAGCGCCATGCTCGTTGTGCCAAAGTTACAAATTCTCTGCTGCAGCTCTTTTGTCACGTAATGCGGAAAATACGGTCTCGAATCGGGTTGTTTACCAATCCAACGCTATCATATTTATCTATTAGAATTCAAGCCTAGAATCCCGCTGTGGCCCATGCGGTGAAGTACTCACGAGGTACATACAACTGGTCACTATCTCGCGTAGTGTTTACTCGCCTAATATCATCATGTGATTGGTCCAGCATAAGTTTCCGGGGCTTTGAAATGCAGCCACTCGACAAGGCTGTTCTAGATTGAGATGGTACGTAGTAATGATTGGTGACGCTAACGGCTATACTGGAACTGGATCTCAGCCCGGACTTCATGTGTTAGTAAGGCTGCATGATCAATATTTGATAGGAATGCAAGCCCTTGATGGAAATACATAAAGCTCTCACACGCATGATAACAAAGTAACAGCCATCTTTTCTATCTCGCTACCTAAGACACATCCACTATGGTGCACCTTCTCAGCTTTCCTCTCTTTTCTCTAGCTATTCTGCCGCTTATCTCTGCGGAATTCGTAGAGGTCTCCGTGAAGTATCGAACCGGCAATTATCCTCAAGCACAAGGCGAACCTCATAATGCCGCACTTGACGGCACCTCATACCAAAGTGATGGGCTCCAGACCATTCTTGTGGACACCCAGCTTAATTGCTATAAGCCATGGGGTGAGTATGGTTTCATCGTATATCTTGCTCTAGGCTAACATGAATCTAAGAGCCATGTCCGGATGTTATGAAGGACTGCTGCGGCAACGACGAATTCAATCCACCGAAATGGATCTGCGGGACGAATCCAAAGTGCAAGTCGGGCCAGAATTGTTGTTACAAGGCATGAGCACGTTAGCAGCTCCATGTTAGGGAGCATGATATAGTCTATAGTGAAGCAGGCCCAGGGAATCAGAATATACTTTGTTCACCAATTGCTGTGCGTCAGTGGAATCATTCACATGAGACAGAATTACCTAGTGAAACGAACATTAAGAGAGGTGTAGGGCATGCCCGCGTTTTGGGCGGAATTGGAACCCTAGAATGTAAGGTCTTTAATGGCTCGTGTTCAGTAAATTTGAAGTTGCAGTACTGTTCCATGCAAGCACAGGCCCATTGAATGGCTATTGTGAAATGCTAAGCATTTGCTTGGGACGGTTGTTAAGTGGGCTTGATCCATTGCCTAGTCATATTCAGGGGCCAAGCGAGGTTGGTGTAATACTGTAGCTTCCAGACGCACGACCCACTTGCTAAAAACGGCCCGAATCACTCGAACCGTGCCAAGCTCCCGTCACCAGTGTCTCCGTGTCCACTACCCGCTTGCCCCTGTCTAGGCGGCGACTGGCCAGTACCAGATTCTCAAGTCTGGGGCCGACTTACTCATTCCCCATGCGTAGGCGTCTGCAAGCCTCTTTCACATATTACGGTATGCATCAGACAGTCAATATTAAGTCATGGCGCTTACAATGTGTCTATCGGCAATGCCGGTGTCTAGATCCCGTTCTATCCCAAAGTATTGAGAATCTTCATTGAATTCTGGACGTGTGATCCTAAGCCACAATATATGGCCGTGCGATTTCAGTATTGTCTCCATAGTGTCAATACTATAAACCAAGTCGATGTCTAGTACCATGATTGATCCTCAAGACTATCAAGGCCTTAGATTCGTGCCATGGCTCCTCTCCCGTCACAGCCAGCATCTGCAGTGGAGCTTCCGAACGTTCAAGTTGCCAAAGAGGCAGACAAAGATGCAGCTGTACCAGCAACAGCAACACCGGTAGCTACGACAGGCCAGGAAACTACGTCCGACTCAACTGAGGGAGGTGATCTAAAAACATTTAAACCCGAAGATACCACAACACCATCCAGCAGAGATGAATCTACTAGTGAGAACAAGTCCGACGATGCGACTGATAAGACTCCGGACCAAACTCCTCTGAAGCTAGATAAAGACATTGCATGTGAGTCGCGTCTCTAGAATGCTATCACTTAGGTTTCTAAGATAAATTTAGCATTTTTCGACAATGACTTCGATGTCTACCTGACAGAGTTGAGCGTAGGGGATAAGAAGACAGAGTTCCTAAGTAGCGTTCTCATACAGCATGATCAACTAGTATCATATGCGCGAAATGCGGAAACAACACTCCGAGGTCTCCCACTGTCCGCCTTCCGCTCAAAGTAAGTATCGGCATACCATGATCACTATCGAGATCTAAAGCAGTTTAGATTTGCCCACGGAGTCTTCTGCCTTAGTAATAATGACAAAGCAGAGATAAGTAGTCATACTACGCTCGCTGACTATGTAAAGCGAGACAACAGCGCCGTGAGTTGTCTTGAACGTCATGTTGATTGACATACTAAGCAAGTCCTCTATAGGTGAAACTTGGTAGCGGGGACTCCGCTCTGCATGTTTTCTGGCGCCGAAAATATAGTCGGGATACTAGCTCCCGCAAGGCTGATGATGTAGATATTGGGCTTCCTGCCCCTGTAAGAGTCCCCTTGTCAACTTTGAACATTTGCACACTAGAAAACTTACTCTGTCCTTCGCCTCAGACCCCTGACGAGAAAGGAAAAACCGGCTCTGGGAAGAAGACTGCAGGTGAGAAGGGTGCTCGAGACCTAGATCCCGCTATTGGTGTTGAAAAATTCGATGCGAAAGCGTACCGGTAAGTTTACTACGCTGCTCGTAATGAGAGCGGGGGCGCCATATAAGCTGGCTTGCTTATACACTCTATACAGGCCTGCCTGTGATCTCACCGAGGTGGAGTGGAACAAGGTTGTTGAAGGCAACGAGCTACTCTACGGATTTCAAGTCAACAGTGTCGAAGTCTCTCGCCTTAGAAGTATCAATGCATCGTCTAAGGCTGAATCGAAGCCCTCGGGCGGTGCACCGACAGATGGGTCGAAGGATGCTGTAAAAGATGTTTCGCAACCGGCCTCTCCTGATGGTCCGGAAAAGCAGTCTAAGGAGGAAACTCCTACTGCAAAAGTCACAGAAAACTTTGTCACAGAAGCAGCAGCACCAGTGTATAGAAGTACTCGACCAGGTAAGTAAATCGACGGCTTTCTTCAATGATGTTAGATACTAAAGCTACGGCATGCAGTCTTCATTCTACGTCCAGACTCTGGAATTGGAAGCACAAAACGTGACAGTGGAGCCGACAAACATACCCACGCTGGCTTGTTCTGGAGCAATTCAAAAGCATTAAGCACGACTAATGTTGCCAAGACCACCAGCAGCGAAGAAAAATGGAGTATGGAAAGTGGCATGAGCACAAAATCATTTAAGCTGGGCACCTCGTTTCCGATCAAGCAAGTTGACGTCGGGGCCAAGTTCGGGTTTTCAAGACAGAAGTCTCATGAAGAGAGTGAGAATCATGAGAATAGTGAAGCTGAGCTTGTAGCAGTTCATATCGTGCCTGCGGCTCAGGTTAATATCAACGAGACGACCGTCAAGCTCAGCCCCGACGCTGAGGAGGATGTTGCAAAGCTTCGGAAAGAACGTAGATTTGAAGATCTGCTATCGTTCTATGAGAAGTATGGTGCGTAGATCCATATTGGAACAATATCTACCTAGCTGACACTGAGACTTGTAGGCATGATGGCATTCAGTACCACCACCTTGGGTGGTCGGCTTTTCCACAGTCGCAAAGCGGATACTACTTCCGAAGCAGATACTAAGAAGGATGAGGAAAATTTCAAGACCGGAGTTAACGCAAGTCTTGGGATTGCTAAAGTGTTTTCGATTGATGGAAAATTTGCTAAAGAGACGAAAGAGACGACCGCAAATGGGGTATCATCATCGAGCACTACTGAGTATATTGTTTGGTCGAGCATTGGCGGAAATCCTGGAGATACTGTGAAGTATATCTTGCTCTTCGGACCAAATACTCGGCACAGCCTTCACTGACACTCGCATAGTCCTCCTCAATGGCGTCGCTCATTGGATGATTTCCGAAACTGGCGACCTATCAAAGTGAGTTCACATCATGACGAAGACAGCTCAACAGCACACTAACCCGTGGCTTGTACTTTAGTTCGAGAATCCTCAGAGCCTTGAAGTACTCATAGGCAGACTTGATGGATACGAAGATGTGCCAACATTATTCTCAGACATCTTGGCAACTGGAGTTCTAGATTCCAGCATTGTTGCCATTCCTCCAATAGGCCTGCGGTCAGCCACGCCGCCCCAGGTCAAGTGGCCAAATACTACCGGTACTCCGGCCCCATTGACAGTACCAGTGGAGCTAGGGACTGCCCTAGATGCTAAGACCGGACAAATCGTAGGCAACATTAAGATGAAGAACGACGTACAGACAGAATATGTGTCGCCAGAGGGCTTTTCATGGACGGTATTCTCTAACCATCGCGACGTAGAGCGTGAGATCCGAGCTGCCTTGCAGACAACCCTCAATGTCAAAGTGAATATTTCGATTGTCCCGAGATATCTGAACTCTCTTCGCGTGAGCGAAACCTCCTTCACTATCATGCTGAAGTGGACCTCACAGACAGAAGAGAAACGCTCAGACTTCGAGAGCCCAGCTAATGATATTGGGAACTACGCATTCGTCTCAGTAAGGTCTCGATCCTGGCTGATTGGCCTTTGGACCGTGAACAGCATAAAAGCAGACCAATCAGATATTTTCAATGAGCTCCGACTGCGAACGCTTCGGAAATTCAGAAGCCCATGTGAGATCCAAGAAGGTTGTGATTTCATCTCTGAAGCTCTCGACAAATCTCCAAATTTGTCAGTGTCATTCTCGCTACTAGGTAGCGACCGTATCAAGAACAACGAGACGGTGCTCCAGGAGATGGTGTCGGCTCGCCGCGCCTCGACCTTCTTATCCAGAGGTCTTTACCTGAGCCCAATCAACATGCTTCCTATAAGTGGAGAGGTAAAGACTATCAACAAGGTCGATCCCCCACTTCAAGAAGCTGCTCTGATGCTCGCAACCGAGGCACAAGTGGCGCTTCTGCTTCTCAAAGTCAAAATTGAATCCACTGGGGGTTCCCTGGACACAATACAAAAACTGTCAAATCAGCTTAGTGCCTCCAGATCAGGGTCAGTTTTTGACAAGGACAAAACATTTGATGTCACCCTCTTCAGTTCGATTGATAAGCTTGACCAGGATTTCGGCAATGATGACGACAAATAGGAGAGCAATGGAACAAGGCCTAGTTAGGTTGATCGGCTTTACTTTCTGTTATTTTGTAGTATTTGAATTCAAACCTATTAATACTGATTTCTCATGTCAAACTCTAGTGTATCGCTTATGTTTGAGGACTGTCTATGCTCTACCCTATGATTGACGATTGTATTCGACCAAGCCGCCCCTGACATCCTCACATCATAATTTCCCCTCTTGCACTCTTTCCTTGCCCTTGAACCTCCTCTTCGTATCGAGTACTAGTACAGCCTGCCTCGCCAACACCACTGTCTCTCCGCTCTCATCGCCCAAAGTCACACTCATATCCATCCTCCCTTCCCTCAGTCCGTCCACCACGGTTCTACAACGAACCCATCTCAGCCCTTCATCCCCAACTCTCCTCTTGTACTCCGCGTCCAGGGTCAAAGTACTCATCCACGTCTCCGCCCTCTTAGCCTCCTCCATCTTTAATTCATACCGCACCTCAAGTCCAGGATTTTCTCGCGCACCGGTCGCAAATGTCTCATGAATTCGATGCGCGTCGAAAATACTCCCAGTTCGTCGCATGGTATCGGACAAGGAGGGCTGCATATCACACTGTAGCGCTAGATGTGTCGATGTAATACGTTCAGGGTCGGCGAATGACATCCACATATCATGCACGCCGGTGATTGGAAAGCCGAGTCGCGGGTAAAGGGTATGGATGCGATTACTAAGCCCGACAACTTCACTGGTGTAGCAGCCTGGGAGCCAATTCGCTTCGACTTCATTTGCAGCAACTTTTTCGAAGTCCGGGATGGGCGTGAGTGGCGGGTGTAGCGCGGCTTCAGACCTTTTGGTGGGTCCAAAAGATATGTCAAAGTTTGTGGATGTGATTGAAGCAATTGCTCGGAGGATTTTGGCTTGCAAGACGTGTACTTGGAGGAAATTGGTGCCGCGGCCTGTTTTGGTGTCGGTTATGCTGATGGTGAAAGGTTCGTGTGCGCCTAGACGGAGGAATTCAACGTGCATAGTATGTACGTCTGGTTGATCAAAGGAGGAGAGGGTACTTCTGAGATGGAGGGAAGCTGCGGCGTGGATGATGGCTGCTATGGAGCCACCATGTACGGACGGCCCAGCGCTGTAGTCATCGTGCCATGCTGCGGTGTATGTGTGTGGAGATTGTTGTTGAAGATCTAAACGGTCCTTGAGGAGGTTTGACATGGTTAGTCAAGTCTGAATATGTCTCAATACAAAGCCGTTTGATGATGAACCATGAATGGAATAAAACGGTGAAAGGCACGGGCATACTCGTGGGTATAGGTAGAAATAATATGACTAGCTTCGCGAAGTTTTCCTGAATTGGGTAATTCATTCTAATCCGAAACCGAAACCGACTAGTATTAGGTTGGTGTTGGTATGAGGATGATACCATGGGGTTGTTACTAAGTGCTCACTTCATAGCTCGAATCTGTCAGCACTATTCCGACTACGAATTGGCGTGAACATAATTATACGATATTGAATAAGTCACATGATTACGTTACGCTGTGCTCGCTTATGTTCCATACATTTATATAATGACATTGACAGTGTTATTGGCAGTCATATGACAAGAGTCAATGCTCATCAAAGGGGATTGACATTGCTACTGATGCTTTACATTGCACATTCCGTGTGTGTATATACCGTCATGTGTTAACATCAATGGTGTAGTTACTTATCATATTCATACTAAGCCTACGCACCAGCAGCCAGCTTCCAGAGGGCACTGACTATACTCGATGTAGCAATAACATGCGCAAAAGTTCTAGGCGGACCAATGTTCAAAAGGTATGCTGGATAGTAAACACCCAACTTTAACAACACATGCAGCCCAAGTAAGTTGATTAGCTCCTTATTTCCCGGCGCTAGGCTCTGCGTAAGTGCTGCTGCAAGAGCATATCCCGCAAAGTTCTCCAGTAGTCCCAAATGAGCAGAGCGCATGCGCAACGGCAGACCTCTCATATCGTTGAGGTGCTGACGTGGGTGATTATTGTCAAGACCTTCCGACCTCGACATCGCCTGGCCAGCAGCACTGACGGCGCCAGTGGCTCCAAATGTGAGAAACATGTATAGGGCTGAGAGAGCGGGGATGGTGCGGTCGGAAGTCAGGGTGTTACTAAAGCCAGGAATGAGACGCGCTGTACCTTGAACAAAGGATTCGAGGGCTCCGGTAGATGCGAGGTAGTTCCTGTTGATGATCAGGATGTATCATATTATATGGTGAATAATAATAGACTTACGTTACTGGAATGAATGCAAGGTACAGACCAGCGAAGCCTGCAACAGCTGCACCGGACGGGTTGGCGACCCCATCATCGGCAGCTTTTTGCTTGATTGTGTCTGCTTTCTTCTCGACTGACATTGTGAGGGGCGTATTGTCTAGAGTCTTGACAACAGTGGGTGTGAAAAGATGAGGCACTGGGAAGAACTCATGGGAATATGACGTCCTATGACTATCCCTAACCCATGCATGCCATTATCTATAGATGACGCAAAGCTCTGAAGATCCAACGGACCATTAACCGAGGACAAGTAGACGCTATGCCTGATGAGGTAAATAGCTGCTTATCAGGGTACATGTAAACAACGAATGTAGTGAAACTCGACACCTGCATCCATATGTGCACTTGGTCAAGTATATAAGCAGTCAATCCTTCCAAAAATACAGGGACGGGATATGTCGGGACCTGGACTGAGTATAAGACATCTGAAATCTTTCGTTCTATCTTTGTCAGTCTGCTGAGCAATTACTCTATACTTGCACGCGATTGAATTGACAGTTTGTTTACGATTTGTAATACAGTCGCAAAATATCTGCTTCTTTTCAGTTTGACGGTGGAGGTTTGGCATTTCTACTTAGGTGCAGCTGCTTGCGGCCGCTCGGACTATTCGTGTCTGACGTCATGGAGCGACTGCTGCATGGCCAATGTCAAGCTCCACTCAGTTACAACCTAGCAGGACATTATATTGTGCCTTAAGCTAATTATCTTTCCCAGTCGTACAAGCCAAACTTTCCATGTGATTTCTCTCTGCACGATGCCTCGCGCCACCCGCTCATCTGGGCTATCGGCGGCCGCCAAGACAAAGCCATACTCAAAACCTTCGCAAAGCAAACAAAAAGCTTCTCACAAGAGCCAAGGTGGCAAAAAAGATGCCTCTCAAACAGATGAGAAAAAGGAAGAAGAGCCGTCCACAATAAAGAAACCAACTCCAAAAGCCAAGGACCCTAAAGCGTCTCACCTCTACACTGATGACAACCCATCCACAACAATCCACGGGACAGGCTTCAAAGACGCCGCTAAAGCCCACGAAACTATATCCTTGGTTTCAAAACGCAGTCTTCTTTATCAGTACCAGACGATCAATACGATGTACCACCGCGCTACGCACCATCCACATATCTCCACTTCATCTGACATGAAGGCAGCGCAGAAGGTCTTCCGCGAATGGCTGGATGTCACATATCCGTCTGCAAAGGATTCTGAGCCCACTTTCCCTTTACTCAAGAAAGATGTTGTAGAGGCCTACTTGCCGCTTATTGAGGACTTGGCCGATGAGGAGGCGCTGGTCTGGGCCGAGAAATATGCAGGACTGGCAAAGGGGAAGAAGTTGGCGAATGTATTGATGGATGAGAGTGTGCCAGCTGAGAGGGATATGGCTATTGTGCGACAGGGAGTACTGGAGGGCATTATGAAGGAGAAGAACAGGGGGAGACTCCCAGAAAGAAAGGACGTCGAGTTCCTGTGGCAGACAGATCAGCCGGCTTCGGGTCTGAGTGAATCTCACTTACGATGTGTTGCGTATGGATGGAGCCCATGTACTACGGATGTCCTGATGAAAGCACTAAACGATGGGGAGAAGAGTGCCTGAGGAAAAGCCAAATGCAGTGGGGACAGCAAACCCCAAAATACTCCAGTGTTGTCATTTCGGCAACGTCATAGCCCCGTGATGACCTTGGGTTATCGCATCTAATAATATGCTCATGAAGCACGAACATATTTACAATTATCCCATATAGCAAATCGAGACTCACTACTGAGGACTATGAAACTGTTGACGGAGATCAGCTGTAGTATCATCACCCCTGTAAAGATTTTAAGCAGGCTGGTGTACCCTATAGACCTAAGATTAGACAGTAGTCGAAAGATAAAGCAAGCCTGTCTTAAACCTATACGCTTGAATATCTACTTAGAGTATTTTAAGCTTATCACTCTAGGTAGTGAATTATATTTATTTATAACACTACAGCGTTTCAAAATTAGGATTTTCTCGTAGAAAGATAGAAGACGAGAAGTGCATATGTCATATATATATATAACGAAATCTTATCTGTACATATATTTATCTCTATACACTCAGCATGCTATGTTTCAAAGAAGTAGTGGGTATAAGCTTATAGATACTGATATACCATATATCTCAAGTAATCTTACATTTGTTTTAACCAATATTGGAGATACTAATACCAAGTCTCAGCTTCACCAAGCCTTAGCACTGTGAAAGAGCAACATCAACAACTGTGATACATGTGGATAGATTTATGAGATGAAAAGTTAGAGTTGCTTATAGAACTAAGATGACATCCCTTCATACTGCCTTAATGTCATAGTGCCCGCATATCTGGATGCTGTTGAAGGATCAAGGGTAAAGTGTATTGACTGACCGCGTGATAGTTCCAGATAGATAGTATCATATACACCGAATTATGCCAGTAGAAGGCACTTTCACTGCCCTTCAATGCGGTTTGATGTAAGCAAATGGCGTGACACGCACTACTACATTGTCAGTAGAAACTATGTGTGTGATGCTGATTAAAGAGAATCTGGTCAATTCATTCTTTAAAGATCGTCTTACAGAATAAATTCTAGCAATAGATGTTAAATGTAGAGAGTATATTATTAGCGATAGCACGCATGCTTTGATGGTTGGTTCATGCACTGAAGAGATATGGACTACTGAATATATTCAACGAGATTGATTATTATAGTATCTGATTATACAATCATGTGTACACACTTTCTATCCAAATGACCAAATCCGTCCCACTTCTGACAGGTATTATGTCTATAATCAAATCCACCATGCGCACATTGATAGGATGTCAGTTAGGCGACGCCTTCCACAGCCTGCCAAACTCTTATGTGCCAATTCCGTACACCGCTCATTCTGCACTCCACTAACCCCCAGCCACGATCTCCATAAAGAGCTTCTCTCTCCTCATCAGCAAGCTCGCCACGAGCCCCAGAGCCCCCGCCACAATTACCAACACATACGCATTGCTAATGGCCTTCACAATTGCCTCAATCACCGCTTGTCGCACATCTTCACCCACAGTCTGAAACACAGTACTCTTCGTGCCCGTTAACGCTGCCCTGATTTCCGCTGGTGAAAAGTCTAGCCCCTTTAACGCTGCCTTGACGTGCGCATATCCGATATTTTAGAACATCGCGCTTGTAATCGTCAGTGCAATGACGGTGGAACCGATCTGGCTCGTGTTGATGAAGCCGATGGCATCAGGCACGCGGTGCAGTTCGACTTTGCTTGCAGCGACGCTGTAAGCTGCTTGTTGCGCGAGACCGGCACCGAGGGCCATGAGGACGGAGAAGCCGTAGATTGTGGACTTGGACGTGTGTACGTCGACGAGGGCGTATGTGAGCGCGCCGCCGATTGTCATGAAGAAGAAGGAGGCGATGTACCACGGCTGGTAGTATCCGAAGCGAGGCATGAGGGCGCCGTTGAGCATGATGCTGGTGATTGCGACGACGATGAAGGGGAGCAATGCGACCGCGGATTGGACGCCAGAGAAGCCGAAGACGAAGGAGAAGTATAGGGGGATATAATAGATGACTATGAACATCGTACTTGCGACACAGGAGGTGGCGATGTACAGTAACACCATGGTCCGATCCTTGAGGAAGTCGACAGAAAAAAGTCGGTTCTCAGGGGTTGTGAAGATGGAGTATTTCTGGGTTACAGCGAAGAGGATGAGTGCGGCGAAGAAGACGACGTATAGCGTAATTTGCCGGCCTTCTGTCCAGGACCATGTTGTACCGCCCAGCGTGAGTGGCATGGTGTAGAGCACGTAGACTGCGGCGTTGAGGATTACCCCAAGCCAGTCCATGTTGCGGAGGCGTTGGCTAAGAGTCTTGTCTGGCTGGGGGAGGTAAGATTCCAGTACAAAGACCAGAACAGGGCTCACAAGCGCGAATAGGATGAGATTAATGTAGAATGCCTTTGCACGGTCAGCATAGCTCTCGGGTTGCACTGGAGATCAGTATCGAACTCACCCAACGCCACGTCGCAGCCGAGTCCGCAAAAGCACCGCCAATTACAGGCCCTAGAATACATCCAGCCCCCCAGAAGAGGCCGATCAAGCTTGTGTATAACGGCCGTTCCTTGTTGCTGGTGTTTATCGCCACAATGTTAAGAGCGCCTAGATACATGCCTGCACCACCTGCGCCGGCCCACACGCGACCGACGATGAGTGCATTCATGCTTGGTGCCCCTCCACATAGTGCAGAGCCTGCTTCGAACATGACGAGAGAGGCGATGAAGAGCCTGGATAAAAGTCAGTCCGGATATATCCATAACGAATACCACAGCAAAGGAAGGAAGATATATACCATTTTACATCAAAGACCCCATATGCTTTTCCAAAGCTCAGAATTGTTGCTACGCTGCCCAATGCGAATCCAATTCCAAGCCATCCGAGCTTTTCGACATCTCCAAAGTCTTCGACGGCAAAGGACTGGATGTCGGCGACGATGGTAGTGTCGAGGCCGTAGAGGAACGCGGATGAGTAGACGGCAGCGCAGACAGCGAACCAGGACAGGCCATGATATTTGCGAGATGGCAGTGGACTGTGGGTTGAAGACGCAGCGGACGATGGGGCCTTTTCCAGATCGATGGAATCATGATGGTCGTCTTTTTCTTTCACAGCGTCAAGGTCTGTCTGCGATGTCGTCGTCGAGCGCGTCAGTGTGGTCGTCATTGTGATTTATGTTTTGCTCCAGATGATGAAGAGATGGAAGAGAGGAAAGAAGGGGCAGAAGAAAAATGAGAGATGTAAAGCTCCAGCAAGCGAGATAGTTGGAAATGACGATTGCAATGAGAGAGTATATATGGAGAACTGTCAGAGCTGCTTTGTTCATCATATATGATCTATACTCATTGCTCCGACAGGTCACAGCACAACACAACACAGGATTAGTAACAGCCATGGATTTCTAACAACGTACTAGAGTACATGTCTAATCGTCACTGCTGAAAGCAGTACAATATGTGGGGCCTGTATGAGACACTGGGGTAGTTGGACCAATAAAGTCAAGGCACGCCCATAGGTGCCTCAGTCAGCAACATTTCTACTAGCTTCCTTGGTGTTTCGCAATGCTTCTTCACCTGGAAAGAGAACAAAGATAGGGATAGAGTTTGGAGTCATAGCCAAAGCGCCCAGGATGTCCAAATTATGATTAGTGGTTAGCCGGTGTACAAAGTGCTGATTAATTGTCAGGTAAATACGCTTAACTCCGGCGACCAATCAGAATGCGCTAGTAGGGATCGGAATAGTAAGTATAGGTCTACTTTAGTAATAAAACGTTCCTGAGTGCTGATCTAAATACTGTGTCCGTAGAAAGTACCGTTCTATGACGATGTGTTGCGCGCCTAGGTTGTTCTCCGGGAATTCATGAAATTCTTTTGCTTGCTGAGTGCAGCCTTAATTCGATTATGCGCGACGGACAGCGAGTACTAGCGCTGAGTGACAATGGAAAAGCTTTATTTCCACGAAGTATCGGATTTGTGACAGGCTAAAAGTCAAGTTTTTCGAGGGTCTTATCGTGCATATGCGGCGATACTGTGTAGCTCCAAGCACGTGAACTCCACGATGGAACGGATACGCGGCCATCCCTCGCCATATCCGCATGACCGTTGACATGCGAGAAGATCTTAAAACATAAACATAATTCTTCCTGTCTGAGTGGACAGAAGCGGCTCAACTTTCAGATCAGGTTTATCACACCTCTGGCTGATAGACCGCTTGTATTCAGACTGGGATGGCGCGAATGGTCGAGACCTGTATGTTGACGAATGAGCAGAGCAATGTATTTTCATGACTGCGACATGCCTTACATTCCTGATGGTTGCAGCTCATCTGAGCAAGAAGTAGACGGTGATTGACGGGCATTGTTAAGGCTTTGAGTAGCACAGAATAAAGTTGAAGCAGCCGAGAAGACTGAGAATCGGCAGATCGCCGGTTTCATGTGAAAGCTGCAGTGCAAGATCTAGTATGAGTAGCCAGCCTTGTAGATGATATTGAGCGTGATCATCAAATAAACACTAGCAAGATCGATTTGAATTAGATAGTCGCAATAGAGACAAGACGTCTGACATGGAGAATGGAACGTAATTGTATAGCCTATAATGGTTGTCGGAGATGAGTCGCGCCGGTAGTGAGATGGAGAGGAGCCGTACGGGCGGCGAGGTGCGATGGATGACTCGGTTTAGCTGTAAGCTTTGTTGATGATTTACCTGCTTGCCTGGTGCTGCCATAGGAGGTGGATTGTCTTCACACAAGGAGGCGTCCCTGTGGCATTTCGGAGTGCTGTTTCTCATGTAGGGTAGCATTCACAATTGTACTATTGTATCGATGTAGCGTACGTATACTATGATTTGTTTCCGAAGAACAGTAGCCAGTGGCGCTGAGGAACGAAGCGAGGATATTCGGAATTGCCGCCGAACTGCATGCTCTACACATTCGGCAGTTCTATGGGCTTGAGATATGAGAAGAAATATATGAAAGGTTAAGAATTCTCGCCTGGTTAACAAGTGGTAATCAGAGGCTATACGAGAGCTGAACGCGCAATTCCACCGAAATTACGCCGTGCTGACCTGGTAGCATGCAGTCAGACATGACAAATATACCAATCAGAGTTAAGGATAAACGAACACACCAATAACTGTACACGAGTGTGATTCCGGCTGTCCCAATAATGTCTATTCTTGTCCATACGCAGCCACACGCACCGCCATAAGTTCTCCACTGATGGCAGCATAAAGCTCCTTGGCTTCGTACTTACTTTAGACCGAGAGGAAGAATTGTCAACCGAGACTGCTGACCCAAGACGCTGTAGGCAACTCAAGCCACTGTTGTCATGGGCTTCAGAAGCATTCATTGTTCTCGATTAGAACAAATCATTCCTCTGGACCATTAGAAGTTAACATGGCTGTAGAGAATGCGTTATCTGTTGTTACGTCCACGAACCGCATACCGAATCCTCCACGTCAGAAGCAATTCAAGCATCGATCTAAGACAGGTTGCCGTACCTGCAGGTATGTCAGCTTGTGACCTGCCTGTGCTGCATAAACCTGATTCATCATCCATCACAGGACACGTCGTATCAAGTGCGATGAAACGAAACCTTCCTGTAAGAAATGCGTATCTACTGGACGCCAGTGCGATGGCTATGGTTTCTGGTCTATCACATATGACGCCAAGATCGACACGACTACTGTGGTCAAGAGCCCCCTTTTGGCAGATGTATTCCAAGGGCTCTTACCTATTGACATGCGATTTGATAAACAGGAATTCGATTGCTTTGAATACTTCCGGCTCATAGGATCGAACAAGCTTATCGGATCATCTCCAGGCAACTTCTGGAAGCAGATTGTCCCGAAATTCTGCTTAAACAACCGCGCCATTTTACACGGCGTGGCGAGTCTGGCTACTCTGCAGCGTGCACAGGAGCACGTCGATGATGAGAGCTACTCGCGCCTAGAAAAGGTATCACTATGGCATTACAATAAGTCGATTCGGCTGCTGCAACCCTTCTTCCAATCCAAGGACTCTGAGCATGAAAGTCTCCAGACAATTCTTGTATCATGCATACTCTTCATGTGCATCGATATTGCTCGCGGCTCATGTGTCACGGCCATAGCCCATCGTGAGGCATCCATAGCGCTTGTCAAGACATACCCATCCAAAATATCACGGGCTGAGCGAGTCCCAGCTTCTATCGACAAAGAAATTCTGTTAGCAGTTGTCCGCATGAATCTGCAATCTTGTATACTAGGCTATCCAGATATTCATACGATCCCGTGGAGTTATACTAACCTCCAGGACCTGAAATATCTCACGCGCTTTGCCAGTCTCCAGGAATCGTCGGAGGTCATCGAGTCGATTCAAGGCCAGATCTTTACTTCCTATCGGCTACTCTGGACAATCGACGGCGTATGCACGCCCTGTCGAGAGGGTATCAGCGCTTCCAGGAAATCAGAATTACAGGTGTTCCTCGCACGATGGCTCTTGCTCTTCAATGACATGATTGACGACCGACGCCGCCTGAATCCTATAGAAAGGTCTATCGCCGTGCGTGTATCACGCATGCGATATATCATGACATACATTTGGTTGTCAACCATGCCTGAAGAGGACACCATTTTAGACGAGATGGTCTACGACGATTACAACCCCGAGTTTCAAGCAATCATCGACGAGGCGGTGACATTGGACGAATACGTCAGTCCGCCACCGTGTTATTCGAACCCGAGAGAGTCTCGAAAGAAGTTTGTTATGGGATCAGGAATTATACCTCCATTGACTGTCACCGCCATGAAATGCCGCAACCCATCGATTCGCCGTAAGGCCATTGATTTTCTAGCGAGGACTCGGTTCAGCGAATGTCTTTGGAATGGCGCAGTCACTGCTAGCATCATGCAGAAGGTAGTCGAACTTGAGGAAGGTGACTTCTATGATATTCATTGCCATCCTGCCGCTGAGAATAAGCTGAAGACCCCCAAGCCCTGCAACTTGCTTGATCTGAGAAAAGGTCAGACGCATTTTAAGAACACCTTACCGCTGCCGAACACGAAACGATTCCGGCATGTACAGATCTTCAGCGACGCCGAACTGCCAATATCTACACCAGAGACATCTCATTGTACCGCAACCTGCAAAGGCTGGAGGGGCCGCGAGTGCTGCGCGTCGAAGATTACAGTGGACGATGTCGCCGTGCAACAGTCCAAGCAGAGCTCTGCCAAGAGAACACCATCGAAAAGTTACGTCTTTCTGTAAGCCACACCATGTGACAAGAGCGATCATTGACTCAGCCTCAATCTTGTACTTTGCCATAATCTCGCATTCGTGTATGAGATGTTCATTCATATCCTTCGCGTTACCAAGAAGACCGACGGGAAAACTTATGACGCCACACACGTCAGTTTGATCAATTTTACTGGCAATACTGCTGGCATGACCACCTGCAGCAACAAAGCCATCAAATCTCAACAGCCTGAACAGTGGACTGGAGTACATGAATTGGTGCCAGTTCGACGTTGAAAGAGGCTTAGTCTTGCATCCAAACAATCTTGAGCTCGTAGATCAACGGGCTTCCAAGATCAATATCGAATCCTCTGGCCAAACAGTCTGTATCCAATCAGACCTTACCTGCGCCGCTCTATTGTTTGCTTAAAAGTCAATTCATCAGAACTTGGCTCCTCCGTCCCACACAAGTCCGCAGCGAGTCAGTCCAGCCTCGGATATCGCTTGGACTGCCACTTTTGGCATAGTCTCATATCTTGATCATCCTCTCCCTTGAACAACTACACTGCTTTCACGTCTGCATGGATATCGCCTTGGGTTATAAGAGCTTGCGTGAATACACTCACTATATTCACCTCAACACGAACCCAGACAGTCTCATCTGACTGTTCGCGTTCGCAAATCCTGCACCGCTGGCACCAACTACCCAAGGCGCCCAGGAACACACTACACTGCTTCGCGCCATACACTTGGCCATACACGGAAATAACTCGCGACGCCGGCGAGGCTGACACCGACACGCCAAACCCAATTACCGCCTTTCGTCATAACCATTAACAGGTACTGCTATTATTTACCATAGAAACATGATGGTCAGCTCTTGGACGAGGCTGAGCCGCTGGGGCACAGTTACCAACACTCATCCTTACCTAGTGCTTGGTCATTTGGCCCCCGTCTTCCCGGAGTTGGCTAGGCAGCATCTGACCGTTGACGTTATTCGAGCTTCTGTGGTAATTACTCAGTTGCAGATTTTCCTGGCTGCGCGCATGCGACGGCACAGGCGGCGATTTTTACCTATAAATTGATTATGTGCGCTGCCTCCGCATTGTCAGAATTCATATCCAGAGCTTCTCACCAGCCGTCGAAATAGACAACCTACGTGTAGCACGATACGATCGTCAACATGAAGTCAATCACTGCGTCCCTTGCGCTCTGCGCTGCCACCACCGTCATTGCACAGTCTAGCACTCCCGCACCAACATCTGGCGGGACGACTGTCATGTCAACCAGTGCGCCATCTGTACCAACAAATGCCGTCACAACATCTCTGCATTACCTTGACGACGATTTCGGCGGCAACATCTTCTCTGCTGCCCTGGACTTCGACGATGTCACCTTCTACGGCTCCGTCGTCACCGTCAACCCCTCCGGCACCGTCGTCTCCATGGACTGTCCCTTCCAGACAGCGAATACTGACTACGCGTCTGAATGCGGGCTTATCAGCAGCATTCAGTACACCTTCCGTCCGAACACTGAATACATCAATTTCGACATTGCGACAAGCACACTAGGGCAAAGCGTCCGCTTGCAGCAGGCCCAGACCTGTGTTATTGGAGACAATGGCAATAGCATGAGCTGCGTGGCCACGGTCACGGCTGAGGCGGAAGGTATTGGCAGGCAAACAACGTCTCTCACCACCACTGACTCAAACCCGACTGAGGTGCCGGTCATTATGACTGCTGGCCTGGAGAAACTCGGGCCCATCCCAGAAGGTGGTAACGACGGTGGTAATGGTGGGGGTGATACAGGGAGTGCAGGTGCGGTACGAGCTGCGAAGACTTTTGGTGTTGGAGCTTTTGCTATTGCGGTCGCTGCTGTTGTACTGTGAGATAAGTGACTTTGATGCTAGAATGTAGCGTTCAATCCTCCAGCATTGTATCTCAGGATTAGTAAGCAATATATCCACCTTGATTGACAATCGCAGGCTCCAGACAACTCTCTTCCCAGCTACCTCTTGAGCGCTCCTCATGCACGTCGCATTTTCTATGCCCTTCCTCATGTCCTCAAAGCAAAAGAAAGCTTAGACGTGATGGTCAAAAGATAAGAGCGAGGATGCTTTATGAACTGCATCGCAACGGAACTACGATCGTCTGTAGATCAATGCAACCATATCTAGCTCTTGGCGACTACAATGCTGCTTGTGCACGGGATGAAAAAGGAGTGGCGTCTGTGCTTCCTGCAGCCTATTCAAAAATTTGAAATTGATCGGACGGATTTACGATCAATTCGGATGGATTCGATTCGTAGCAAAGAGCAAAGGATCCCGCACACGTCAGGTCGATTATTGTATGGTCGAACTCAGTTCAGCCTTGTGTGTCCAAGATGCAGATGGGCTGCAGGATCTTCCTGGGTGGAAAAGGCAGTGTGGGTGGATTGCACGATGCCTACATGCAGACGTCCAAGGGTCCTGGTACCGTTACCTTCCGGGAAGGACGCGCCGTGATGGATATCCATACGCCGAGCATAGTGACACGACACGACGCTATGTAAGATATTGCTTTTTCGGGTTGATCTGGACTGTCTTTCCAAAACGCCATTGCTGATATTTCCACAAGGGGCGGCTTCCAAGCCCGGTAAGCTCCGCAAGCTTGAAGACAGTGTTATATTCACGGGGATCTGACGGCATTAGTGCTTCGGGGCAGGCCCCGTCAGTGCATGACTGGAGAAGCACGCCGATCTGAAATGTGCTCTAGGTCACTTTCTTCCGATATATAAAGCTATTGGTGTGTATGGCTTGCGTCGTCCCCTATCATTCTCTGCTTCCAGGTCCCGTCAGTTGGAGACACAATGAGCGAAACAACACCTCTCATCGAGCGGGCAAAGAAGGTGGACCGAAAGGCGCCAATGTTCTTGGCCTTTCGAAGTTCAAAATGGTTTATCATCTTTACTGTGACTGCTGCTGTGTTCACTGATACGCTCCTGTATGCCGTGGTATGTAATCCTTTCGTAGGGATGTGCTCCAATTTTGACTCGCACAGGTTGTGCCAGTGTTTCCATTCGCGCTGCATGAACGAGCGGGTATCGACACGGAGGACAGTATGTAAACGTCATTTGCAGTGTGGACGTACAGCCTGACGTGTTCGATAGTACAATGGTGGGAGTCATTTTTGTTCGCTTTGTTTGGCATAGCAGGCCTGGTGCTCTCTCGTGAGAAGTGATACATCAGAAGAAATTCATCAGCTAATCAGCGTCCAGCAATTTGCGGATATATAGCCGACCGTTCAAGCAATCGACAAGTCCCGTTCGTATTTGGGCTCATCATGGCCATCCTAGGAACGATACTGTTTGGACTCGCGGAAGACGTATGGTTACTTGTTGCGAGCCGAATCCGTCAAGCTATAGCCTCTGCTATCGTATGGAGTGTTGGCCTCGCTGTTGTTATTGATTCTGTGCCCAAGGGAGAAGTAGGACAGTCAACTGGAATTGTTCTCAGTGGCGTTAGTGTCGGCTACATTCTGAGCCCTACCCTTGGAGGTATTGTATACGAGCACAGTGGGTACATGTCTGTTTTCGGCATGTGTGCTGGATTGCTCACCGTCGACATTCTTCTTCGAATTTTAATGATTGAGAAGAAAACGGCAGCCCAGTACATACCGAAAGACGAGGAAGGAAATGAGGGCGACGTGATATTCACAAAGGCTATTGGCTGTGAACCTAGCGTTCAACCTACTGATGGGCGACAGAACGGGGTCTCGAGTCCTGCGATGCTGCCGAAAAACCCCCCCAAAAAGCATCAGTTACCACTCGTCATACAGTTCTTCATCACTCCTCGATTTTTTGTGGCATTCTGGGGGTTTTGCGTGTATGTCGCAGTCTTAGGCGCATATGATTGTGTACTGGCGCTGTACGTGAAGCGGCGTTTCGGATGGAGTCCTATGTTTGCTGGGCTCATCTATCTGACACTTGCAGTGCCGAGTTTAACAGCACCACTGGTCGGGTCTTGGGCGGAAAAGTCGAAGCCGCGCTGGTTTGCAATTATAGGTTGCTGTCTTGCAGCGGTCATGCAAGCGCTGCTCATGCTAGTCGACCAAGAAGGGACAAGCAAGGTCTATTTGTTGATTGTGCTGCTGGTTGGTTTGGGCTGTGTGCACACTTTGATAGGAGCACCACTCGCATCCGAAATGTCTGCTTGCGTTGACCAGCTTGAAAGGGACAATCCGGCGGCATTTGAAGGCTATTCTGGCGGTGGATACGCCCAATCCTCTTCTCTACTCAACGTTGCCAATTCGATAGGTCTCCTCATGGGGACGACATTCGCAGGCTATCTCATGGACAACTATGGATGGAGGCTAATGAGCATAGGACTGGCAAGTCTTACCTTTAGTGGCGCAATTCCAGCCGTGGGTCCTCTCCTTAGACAAAGGAGGGCTTCATTACTGACATTCTTTCAGGCGGTGCTCGAGTTGAAAAGGGTAAAGAGACAGGGAGTCTGATCTACTGCCATGATAGCTGTCAATGCGAGCGATCAGAGGGGAAGCTTTGGAAGCAGTTGAGTGTAATGGCGTAACGACTAGGATAAATGACAGAGTTCCAGGCGTACGAACACGAGAATGGACTGGCAATGGAATTTACGTTTTCATCATGTAGAACCACTTCGCAGAGATGTATATTAGATGACGTTGGGCATATATGAAGGGGGGTGACGCTTGAGGCGGGCTTTTTCATTTGGAGCTGGAGCTTGGGCCCGCAGCTAAGCTTTTCGTGGAGCCCCGGAGACCCTAGGAACATAATCATCATCCATTCATAGAACGACCTGCTGTTGATCCATCTTGTCCAATCTCTGTCCGCTGTCAACGCACGATGTGCCTTCAATAGCGTGGGCGAACAAGCCGCGGAAACTTCACTCAACGTCATTTTCTTGCATCGCGGCATGCTTTGAAAGCAGGCCTCATCATTGGCATTTCTGGCAGCCTAAATGAATCTAAATGAATGGTGCTGTCTTGGCACCCATGCAGTTCGTACTGCTGCTAAAAAGCTGCGGAACGATGTACAAGGCACAGCAATGGAGGGTTCAGCTAAATAGTTTTGTCTCAAACGAGTATAAAGCGCACGAAAGTACCATGGCACATCCAGGTGCTCCACTGCTCCAATACACAGCAGTCTGATAAGCTGAGGAGCTTCAAGATGCGATTCTTCTTCATAATCCTGCTTGCTTTTTCAAGTACAGTTTCGGCAACATTCGATGGCAATCTCAATTACCATAGCCCGTCAAGGCGGCACCCAGCTCTCGGTATTGACGTACCGAAAGTTGCAAAGCGTTCCTCTGTGCTTCGCCGTCGGACGAACAACATCACCCAGAGCTTGAATTTTACCCATGGAGTGGCTTCTGGAGACCCTTTCCCACATTCAGTCATACTATGGACGAGGATAGCACCCCAAATCGACGCCGATAGGAGCAACGCCACTGTCTCAGGCCTCGTTCCACTGTACAACCATGACACGGAGAAGTACATCCAGGCGGACCCGCATCCAATTTGTGTCAAATACAATGTCTGGACTGATGAGAAAGGAAAAAATGTCATAGATAGTGGAACTGCGTATACGACAAGTGACATTGATTGGACTATTAAGGCGAGTTGACATGATATCCTTTACGAGACATATTGGTTTTGACAACATCTAGGTCGAGGCCAACAACCTACAGCCATTCACAAATTACTATTACCAGTTCGAAGTTTGCAACCAGGATGTCAAGAGTACTATAGGCCGTACTAAGACGTCTCCCACAGAAGATGATGAAGAAGCTCAAATAGGTTTGGCCGTCTACAGCTGCGGCAATTGCCCCAATGGCTATTTTAATGCATATGGTAACGCTGCACGCAAGGACGATATCGATTATGTGGTAGGTTCAGAGTTTATACGACAGTATGAGCTCCTCTGATCTTCCGTAGATTCATCTGGGCGATTACATCTACGAAACATCGCGCGGCGTGCTTGGTCAGGACCCTCGAGCCACAAATCCACCAAAGGAGATATTCAGTCTCTATGACTACAGAACTCGCATTGGTCAATATAGACTTGACTCGGACCTCCAACTTTCGCATGCAAAGTTTCCATGGATTCCTACTTGGGACGATCATGGTGAGTGATATACAGCTACACCAGTTCAACATAACATGAGTGCTGACAAGAGCGAAGAGCAAGCAAACAACGGCTTCCGTGACGGCTTTAGTAATATGAATAACACTGAAGACTCTTTCGTTAAGAGTGGTGGTGTCAGTGTGGATCAGCGTAAGATGAATGCTGTACGTGCTTATTTTGAATGGATGCCCATTCGTCAAGTCGATATGGACGACGGTTTGCGGGTCTGGCGCAGTTTCAAGCTTGGAAAGATCGCAGATCTGATCATTTTGGACACACGGAATTATGATCGCAGTATTACTGACCTCTCATACAACGAGGACTACATCTATGATATTGCGAACGATGCCGGTCGATCGTTGATGGGATCTCGTCAAGAGAATTGGTTCTATCGGTCCTTATCCGAGTCAGACAATCGGGGAGCTGTCTGGAAAATCATTGGAAACCAGATTATCTTCTCTCGCATCAATCAGACGGTCAACTATGGACAATCTATGCCATTCAATGTCGACCAGTGGGATGTAAGTAGTAGCTTCTGATGAATTGGTCATGCGTCTAATGAGCATAGGGCTACCTGTCTAATCGCAACCGGACTTTCTACCATCTCTACGAGAATAAAATCCAGAACACAGTCTTCCTCGCAGGTGATTCTCACGCGAACTGGGTCTCAGATCTCGTCTGGCTAGACGAGCACGCCTATGACGAGAACACTGGACTTGGGGCGGTTGGCGTAGAATTTGCGGGAACAGCTGTGTCGTCTTCTGGTTATGCGTCCAATGTTACAGATGGACAGCGGCGATCACAGTCGCTTGTGACCAGCAACCCCGAGCTTCAGTGGTCTGAGGGGTACTATCGTGGCTACTTCGAGCTGCATGTAACAAAGAACAGAATGGATGCCCGATACTTTGGAACACCCACTGTGGCCTTTGAGACCCCTCTAGAGCTGAGCCTCGCCAACTTCACGGTCCTTGCTGGAGACAACCATCTCCAGAGACCATTGTCGGGCGGAGTCGTCGAGAACGGCTATCTAAAGGGGGGCCAAGTTATTAGCACGAACGTGACCCTGAACACGGAGACCGGGGAGTGGAACACCACAAGTTTCCCAGTCAATTACATCCAGTATCCCCGTACTTAAGCCGACCATGTTAATCGACACGATAGAGAATGTAAAAAGATGCGATTGTCGTGTTTACATTTGAGCAAAGTCTAAAAACGCTACTGATGCTAGATGGGCTAATCATATTCATCATCGACCTTGCCAACAACAGTAATAACAGCGAGACTCCCCGGAATCTACTATTTACCATAGCAGGTCGACTTCATTATAACACGCTCTTAGTATCTCTGGTTGTGGTACGCACGCACCCGACGCAGGCCTCGTGATGCGCCACACCCAAAGTTACGTCACAAATACTAGGCAACCGGATCCCCGCCACACGAGTCCGTCCAACCTCTTCTCTGACCGTTCCTTCTCATCCCCTCATCCTCACACAATACATAACTTGAGACTCAACACAAGTCCTCTCATATTCCCACAGCCCTGCAATACAGATACCCAGCAATCATGTTCCAGCTCATCATCGCCTCCCTCCTCTTCGCCCTTGCCGAGGCGGCCCCCGTTAACGCGGCCGCAGCTGGCGGTAATACCTGGCAGTATGGCACCGGCGGTGGCATTATCGGGTTTATCGTCCTAATCCTAGATGTCATTGTGTTCAGTACGTACCCTGTCTCTCTCTTCCCTCAAACTATGAGAGTAGGCAAATGAGAGTAGGCAAGAGGCTAACCGTTTTGCAGTGGAGGTCCTCAAGTCTAACCGCCCTACGCTGCACAAGGTGCTCTGGTGTGTTGGCGTCTTTGTCTTCCCGGTTGTTGGTCTGATTGTCTACTATCTGTTCTCCAACCGTGCAGCACACAACAGTGGCAGTGGATATGAGGCGATCACGAACTGAGAGGGCGAAGCTCGAATCAGAAACTTGCCATGGTCAAGCGGACCCTGGAGATGAGGATGAAACTTTGGTGGGTGTGGCATGTGTGTGTTTTCGTACCATGGCCGTGGAAGTACGAAATGTTGGTGGTGAGATGGCGAGCAGTCTGACGGATTCCTGACGAGGCGTTTTCATTTAGCATGAATATTATTTATGTTATCGTGTCAATTTCCACGTCTATATGCTTACATTGCTCGCGCATTTGCGTCTATTTACATTACTAGGGGTGGTGACACTGGTATGGTTACCTGTGAGCACCAGCAGTCTTTTATGGGCAACGACACACTGTAACCACTAAGCGCCTTAGGATGGAACCGGAGTGATGTACTTCCTATAACTAGAAAGCATCATCGTCCGCTGTCGCTTTTTGCGGCAAGCTCGGAGCTCATATTGATGTAAATGACATACTAGGCACGTCCTGGTGTTGCCACTTGATGCTCCATATTGTCCCTTATTGTTCTGATCCGCGATGCCTCAAGATGCGATAATAGCACCACCCCTCTTCCTCTCGACGATCTCCCTTCTCAGTCCCTCGACAGCAACCTCCGTCTCAATGACTCTTCCAATTCCCTTCTTCCACGTGTCGTCCAATGTCGCCATCTCACCCGACACAGCCTCTTGTTGCGCCCGCCTCTCGTACTCAATCCGTTCAACCTGAGCGCGAGTCTCCGCCAGCTCGGTCTCAAGCCCCTTCAATATGTCCTCGAGTTGCGAATTCCCAATCAGCCATTGATTCTTCCCATACTTTTCCAACAGCCCAAGATTTGTCTGTCGCCAAGACAGATACGAACTCGACGCATACGCCTTCTGCAGTGTCTCACGCCATTGCGCAAGCAACTGTGGGTTCTTCTCGTCGCTATTAGGAGATGTGTTCTGCGGTGCCTCGAGCGCCTCATATCGGCTTAGATTTATGCCGACTTCTCGATCCGCGCCAGACTCTATGCGCTCGTGTTCCTTGGCTAACAGCTCCGGGTACCGCGGAGCGTATGCATGGGGGAGGAGCGGGTGTGTGACGGATGTGTCGACGGTCCGTAGTTCGTCGGATATGAGGTTCGAGACAATCACGTAGTCTGCTTCTGTGGGCACGGGGTCGATGTCTGGGGTTTGCGATCAGCAGCTATACGCGCAAGGGCCCAGAGTGAGGGAGGAAAGTCGTACAGATGAGGGAGTCGTGCGACTCGTTGATTAGAGACATGGTCGGCAGGAAGCAGGTGTAGTGTGGAGTATTCGGAATCGGATGTCTGACTGACTAGTACGATGTGGAGTGTGGAGGTGGAGGTGAAGGTGGATGAGTCTGTGAAACTTGATGATCTGCAAAGTGTATCAAGGTGTGGTGTGAAAGAAAAGTAGCTTCGGCGCCTCGGCTTGGCTGCCATCCATGCGGTTCCACTGGGTGGCTCGTGATCCTACGGGCTGTCCCTTGCTTGAACGTGCAGCTAAATTAGGTCGATCGATGTAGCCGATATAGCCCAATTTGCGGGGGCGGGCCTGCTCCAATGACGCCTCTAAGTCGGCCGCAACCTTGAATTCCGGCCTGCTAATGACCATGACCTTCCCATCCAAGAACAACACCACCGGCTCAATCTCCCTGATCACCACTCACATCCGACGACCGCCACTCCACCGAGTCCTACTCCTCGTCGATCGCTACCGTTAAGCGACCCTGTCTGTTCAACATTGAGGAATACAAAACTCCCCATGGCCGCAGCCATGCAATTCCTCCTAGCGTTGGTAGTGCTGCTCCGAGAAGAAAGATGGCTCGCACACACTTCATAGCCGCTCTCGCGGCATCTTGCCTGGCTCTTCTGGTCATCGTCCAACTTGCGTCCACACGAGGGCTGCCAGAGGTGGACTACTGGCACTGGCAGGATGAAGGCGCTACAGAGCGTGGAAGCACATATTCTAGGGTGCAATCGTTCATCTTTGGCGACAAGCATGAAGAGATGGTTAGACAAGCTGCAGGATCTGAGTACATGATCGGCGTTGGCAAGGCGGATATCACTGGGTATGTATTCATTCCATCACTGGGCGACAGAGTGGCTGCATAAGTCTGCAAAGTGGGACCCTGCCATCTAGAGCACCACTGAATACTGATGCGGATGCAGACCAGTTGTCGAACTAAACCTCATGGGATATGCCAACACTTCTCAAATCGGAAGTGGACTTCGGCAGCGGATTTATTCCAGGGCCTTCATCGTCGGCGACCCAGACAACACTGCACAACGGATTGTTTATCTTGTGCTAGATACACAGTCGGGAGATACTGCCATCCGGGATGGTATTCTGAAAGGTGTGGCGGCGCTGGGCCCGCAATATTCAGTATATAATCGTCAGAATATTGCAGTCACTGGAACACACTCTCATTCTGGACCTGCGGCATGGTTAAACTATCTACTGCCCACCATCACCAGCAAGGGTTTTGACAAGCAGAGCTATCAAGCAATCGTCGATGGCGCTGTGCTCTCTATCAAACGGGCACATGAAAGTCTGACGAAAGGCCGTCTCAGCGTCGGGACTGGCCAAGTCAAGGATTCTGCCATCAATCGCAGTCTATATGCGTACATGGCCAATCCATCAGCAGAACGAGCTCGGTACGCGGATAATGTTGACAAGACTATGACGCTTGTCAAGTTCACCAGAGACAGCGATGGGAAAGATGTCGGTGTTCTCACATGGTTTCCTGTTCACGGAACGTCTTTACTGGGAAATAATTCTATCGTGGCCGGAGATAACAAGGGCGTCGCTGCCTATCTGTTCGAGAAAGACATGCAGTCAAACTCCAATGCCGCCGAGGGCTTTGTCGCAGGCTTCTCTCAAGCCAACGTCGGTGATACCACGCCAAATGTCAACGGTGCTTGGTGCGAAGATGGTTCGAATCAGGAGTGCACTTACGAAAACAGTACATGCGGTGGTACAAGTCAAGCTTGCCATGGTCGAGGCCCATTTTTCGGTCTTAACGATGCGGGCGCAAAGAGCTGTTTTGAGATTGGCACTCGACAGTTTACTGGCGCGAAGGGTATCTACGGTGGCTCTTTAACGCCAGTCAGTGGTACTGGAATTCGATCGTTTCATACGTATAACGACATGCGAAACTACACGTTCGCACATCCAAATGGCACGATTGTCAAGACGTGTGCTGCAGCTCTTGGATACTCTTTCGCAGCAGGGACCTCAGATGGTCCTGGCGCATTCGACTTCACCCAGGGCGATGACGGTGAACCCAGCGCCAGTCCTCTCTGGGAAGTCGTCAAGGCTGTCATTAAAGAACCCGGTCCAGAGCAGAAGGCCTGTCAAGGAGAGAAGCCGATCCTTCTTGATGTGGGTGAGATACACATCCCATACGAATGGACACCAAATATCGTCGACATCCAGATGATGCGCGTCGGCCAGCTCCTTATCATCGTAAGTCCCGGAGAGGCGACCACAATGTCCGGTCGTCGCTGGAAAGAAGCTATCGCGAAGGCCTCTACAGACATTGTCCCATCTGGCTCAGACCCTGTAGTTGTGCTTGGTGGTCCAGCCAATTCCTACACCCACTACATTGCCACCGAGGAGGAGTACAACATTCAGCGATATGAGGGCGCATCTACCTTGTATGGGCCCCATACTCTAAATGCATATATCAATCTCACTAGCACCTTCCTCCCTTACCTCTCCGACTCGTCGACCTCTGCACCGCCTGGCGGACCAGACCCGCCTATCAACACCGACCGTGCACTCAGCTTCATCACGGGCGTTGTGTTCGATGCAGCTGGCGGCAAATCCTTCGGCCAAGTCATCACCGACGTCCAATCATTATATAGTAAGGGCTCAGCTGTCAAAGTCACATTCCAAGGCGCAAATCCACGCAACAATCTCCGTCTAGAGAACACGTTCGCGGCCATCGAGAAGCAATCTGGCAGTACATGGACGCGTGTCCGGGACGACCAAGACTGGGAACTGATATACGAGTGGAAGCGCACCAACGAGGCCCTAGGCTTCTCGGAGGTGACTATTACGTGGGAGACGAACAGCGCGACAGACGCTGGGAAGTACCGTGTTAAATACTACGGTGATTCGAAGCCGTTGTTTGGTAGCATCAGTGCTTTTGAGGGGACAAGTGGGGAGTTTACCATCTCATAGGTGTGCTTGTATATTCCTCTTCTATATGATATGACGTGTTCCATTTTCATTCCTCTTTGTCGATCTACAAGAGCGTGCCAATCTATATTTCTCCTTCCCAATATTCCTAACCCCCGAGAACTCAATCTTCAACATCCCATCCTCGCTTCTGTTCTCGCCCATCCTCGCCGATCGTTCACCCCAGCTCCTGCCCCTCGCCCTTTCCTTCTGCGCCCAGCACCCCCTTCGCCGCAAGATACCTCGCCGCAAACCCGACCGCAACCTCATACCCCCACACCCCTAACCCACAAATCACCGCTTCCGCTCTATCCGACAGAAAGCTCCTATGCCGAAACTCCTCGCGCGCATGCACATTACTCACATGCACTTCGACAAACGGCACCCCAATACCTAGCAACGCATCGCGGAGCGCGATACTCGTGTGTGTGAGAGCGCCGGGGTTGATGATTATGAAGTCGAAGGGGGTGTGAGGGGTTTGTGAGGTTGGGAGTTGGGCTTGCGGGTAGTGGCTGTGAAGGTGGTCGAGTATGGCGCCTTCATGGTTGGATTGGAAGGCGGTGAGGTGCAGGCCTAGAGTGGAGGCGTGGGATTTGAGGGTGGTGGTTAGAGCGGGGAGGGTTGTGGAGCCGTAGATGTGTGGTTCGCGCAGGCCGAGGAGGTTGAGGTTTGGGCCATTGAGGAGGAGGATGTGGGGTTTTGACATGGTGTGGTTGGTGCTGTGGATGTGGATGGGCTTGTGGTTGTGGTTGTGGTTATGTGACTAGGGTCTAGGAGGGGGATTCTTGAGATTATGGCTATGGCTTCTTGTTTCTTATCAATGCTGTCACTATGGGGTGGGTATTGGGTGCGGAGGTGTATTTGACGGCGGCAGTGAAGACGGGACTTGAGGATGTATCGAAGGGCGGATATTCACGGCATACTCCGGAGTTTGGTGAGGAATCGAAATCATGGGGGCATGTAGTATCTTTTCGACTGTCAGGGCAAGATTTTCGAATGCCAGTGAGGTCTGTTCGAGATCTTTTCATTACCATAGTGTTGCGACGGTCTATGATATAAAAGAAGAACTGAGGCATGAGAAGTTCTAGCGGGGCCCTCTGCCATTCACATTCATACAACCGAATAATCTTGATATCCAAAGAAATGAACTACGCCTCCCTTCTTCTAAATTACGATATGCCAGATATTTGGTATCTAGTAGTGCAGATGGAGGACATATAGTGCAGTAATTTGAGTAGTGACATCAGTATTAGGTTCTTCGCGAGTGACGAATGAGACACGGGCATGGGGTCGGAAGCGATGCTAGCCGTTATAGGTTAGCTTAGCGGTCTCATTTTGTGCTGGATTTCGCCGTTGTCTCCTCCTTGACAATCTCCTCCTTGACAATAATGCAACAAGAGAGCAATGAACGCAAATGGCTTTCCCAGTACACACCCATACCTCGAATGTGGTGCTCCCAGCATTGTCCATATCCTGACTGGGTGAAACTGACACATATCCTGCAATAGGCATTTCATATACTCTATATATATATATACACGAGTCAGGCGACGAAAATACCCAGCATTACCCCACCCCTACTCTCCTTGTCCCTGACATCTGGGATGGCATGCAACGCTAGAAGGCCGTCATCAGATTACCCTCTCATGACTTATGGTCTATTTACTGTTACATTACTTTTCATCATGCGCGCTTCCAACACCCTCGAGGCCCGGACATATATTTGGCTCCGGGCCCCTGGCCCCGGTCCTATTTAGGACGAATACCTGCGAAAGGCCTGCTAGAAGGTATCACTTCGAGGCACACGTGGCAGTTTTGAACCATTCATGCAGTAGTCAGACAGTAATATTTCTCAGGCTGGGGCTATTTCCGAGTTCTATAAACCAACGTGTTAATTATATGCCTGAGCGCGGTTACTAATTAGTTGTTCTGCCCAAAATATCACCCGCGCTAGCTGGCCGATTCAATTTTCTCCTGACTCCTGGATCCTAATATTAGACTGCGGGTTCGCGGCAACTCCAAAACTCCTTCTTTTGTTCTTGGCGTGGTTGGATACCACACGATACCTCCCACAGGTTGTCATCAACAGTACGAAGGTTGTCACTTGATACGGCTATCCACCCCAGAAGGCCTATCTATCCACATGCAGTCCTAGTCAGCAATCATTCTAGGAAAACCTTCTCCATGTGTAGCTGACGCCGGCATCACGGAGCCAATTCAAGGACGGGACAACGTCTAGACTGAGAACCCATCGCAATAAATGCCTGCTGTGTCAGGTCCGGACCGGTGCAGTACTGTCAGCTTGCATGCGCAAACACCATGATGTGTTCTCATTCGCTACATGCCTTCAGCTGCACGGACAAGTCTGGTATCCTAATGCCAGTGAATTGGCCGCCTTGAATACAGTAACAAAGTGGTGCTGTGCTGCGCCTCGAGGAATCAACTGCCGTCGTCGGATGGCTCGTTAATGGTCTAGACCTCAATACCGATATAAACGTCAAATGGCCGAGTGTGTGGTCGGAGATTTATTTAGATGCAGCACATCTATTAACGCGAAGCTGCTCACTTTTTTACATTACAATGTTTACTCTTGCAACTATATTCACCCTCCTCGCTGGGCCAAGTCTCGCAGTTCAGACTGTTGTAGACTTGGGATATAGCAAATACCAAGGTCAGGTTCAAGCAAACGGCATTTCGACATGGTTTGGCATGCGATATGCTGCACCGCCCCTTGGAGCTCTTAGATTTGCAGCGCCGCAGGATCCACCGACTACAAGCGGTACGCAGGATGCCATATCGGTAGGTGCTAATTCTCAGCTTTCGTAGGTCAGTGGTGTTTAATCATCTGCAGACCAAACGCACAGCCTGTATCGGAGTGGGTGATAATGTTAACACTCAAGACGCTGAAGACTGCCTATACGTTCATGTCTGGGCACCTACAGCTGCGACGACAACTAGCAAGCTCCCTGTACATGTCTATATCCAGGGCGGAGGGTTCAACGACAACGGTGACGGAAACAGAAACGCGACTGGTCTGATGCGAGCTGCTCAAAACAACATTGTAGTGGTCCAGTTTAATTATCGTGTGGGAGTATATGGTTTCCTGGCCTCATCCGAGATCTACAACAGCAATACAGCCGCCACAAACGCTGGTATCCTTGATCAGAGGAAGCTTCTCCAGTGGGTTCAAAAGAACATTGCGCAGTTTGGCGGCAATCCAGGCCACGTATTCCTTGATGGTGCCAGTGCGGGAGCAGGTCCAGTACCATCTGTCTAGCAGTTCGGTGACCATCTATCTGACAGCAAGCAGGTTCAGTCGCCATCCATCTGACAGCATACGGTGGTCGTAACGACAACCTCTTCCACGCTATTGCGTCTCAAGCACCATCGCTACCACCACTGTTGACGATTTCTGAAGCCCAATTTCAATATGACCGCCTCGTCGTAGCTACCAAATGCTCTGGAACCCCGTCCACTCTCGACTGTCTACGTAGGCAGAATGTGACATATTTTCAACAACAAGCCAAAACCGTCCCCACCGCATTTCCTGGCACGAATCAAGCACCAATATATTTCTGGGGTCCCTCCATTGACAACAGGATAATTGCAAACTATACCTACGGGGAACTCGACGCCAAACACTTTGTGCGCGTGCCAGCAATCTTCGGAAGCACGTCTAATGAAGGAAACAGCTTTGTTAATGCAGGCTTAAGGCCCCAACAGACCCAAAAAAACGCAGACGACTTCATCAAAGCCCAGTTCCCCAAGATCACAGACTCCGACATAAACAACCTCCACACCGTCTTCTCCGGACCCGGCTCCGACGGGACATACACGCAGTACGCGGCCGACATGCTCGGCCGTTTCAAATATATCTGTCCCGCGCTCTCTTTCGCCCGCGGGTTCGTGTATGCCGACTACCCCAACACCCAGCCCGCAAACGCAAAGACCTGGGTGTACCGCTGGGACGTCGGCGCCGCGACACATGTCGCCGAAATGGGCGACATATTCGCCACGGACGGCCACAGCACGCAGGCCGGCACGGATATTCAGAATTACTGGGCCAGCATGATTCGTAGCTATGACCCGAACACGTACATGCCCCCAGGTCGACCGCGCTGGGCGGCGTATGGAACGGGTGGGAGCGGGAATTATGGGACTAGAGTGCTGTTTCAGAATTCGAATACGGGGATGGAGACGGTGAGTTCGGTGACGCAGGGGCAGTGTAATGTGATTTGGCAGATTGGGAGGTCGGTGCGGCAGTGATGCGACCCGTTTGATACCCTGTTTCGAGTGGTGGGAGGTTTGAAGTCTCGTTTGCGTTGCTATAGAAGTGTTTGATATTCCTATAATTATCGATCTGTCTCGATATTGTTCCACCTCCGATGTCTTACTACCACGTCACACACCTCCAACTCCTCACCATCAACCATTAACCCGTTTTACATCTTCACCAATTTCGCCATCAAACCAATGACATGAAATAAACAATGTAAAGAGAGGCACAAGATCTATATAAATGATATAAGTGCTAACAATAGCTTTAACAGTTAGGCACAAGATAAAAAGTGAAGTAAAGTGTAAGAAATCGGGATTCTCACAAGTTGTCTACCGCTATAAACTTAGTGTATCGATCTCTTTCAGCACTTTAAGTGTGTGCTTAAACCACTAATTGTACTTTGGCTTGGAAGTATAGCCGTTGTTAGTGACCAGAATAGTGATGATACATATGGATACTAGGCCCATCAAGAGTACGATCAATAGTAGTGTAAGAAATTTTCTACAGCATCGTGGTTGCGCGAGGTATTAGTAATCTCTAATGACGTATGTATACTGAAGAGCGTCCCTACAGCGACCGCTGTTCAGTTGGACACTTCAGTACAGAAATTTCGCAGAGATAGAAATATAGCCAGATACAGTCCAGGGACCGAGAGTATCAGAGCAGCCTCTGCGGAGTCGCACTAGAATTATGACATCCCTGTACTGATAACAAATACTACTAATCTCTCATCGTCATGCCGTCTATGAGCCTGAAGAAGAATTTCTCTCTTGCCACTGCTGCATTCTTTAAGAGGCGCTGCAAGTATAACTAGCTCTAGAATCGTATGGTGATCATAATATAGTTTAATGAAAAAAGAGAAGGGTCTCTGGAGAGAGCTACTCTCAGAGAGGTAGCTCGTGTATGTAGTGTTTGAATCAGGAGATTGAAATCCTCTTCTCTTCCTCGAAGATGAAGCTATCTTAGTAGATATTGGAATTTCAAGGTTCGAAAACATACGACATTGCTCTTCTAGCCTATTTTATAGATCTCTAAAGTTTGTTACATAATGTAGACGTTGCAGTAGAGGTAAGAGGTATATATCTTGTGAGACAAGAAGCGGTCATTGGGAGATACAACACGAACACTGGATGGATATGATGAGTAGAATGGTAATAAATTCAACTTAATCTGCAAGGAGTGCCAGGACCAATGACAGAATAGGGCAGATATGGTCTAGTGTACAAATAGTTCTGTAGAATCTAGGTTACTGTGTATAAAAGGGAGGTGACTTGTACAGCTATGATAGACTACTATGGCCTTTGTAACTCATCAGTGACGAGGCAAGTTCTTCTTAAGGGGGGCCGGCATTATGATCGGGTTTGAGGGAGTGGTGCGTCACTCTGTCGTCTACAGAACTGATCACTGAGTTTATCGTAGATTGGACTGTACATTTACCTACAAGATTATATCGCCATCTGTCCAGCCGAGAATTGCTCTACAGAGGGTGGTACCTCTTGGCATTAGCAAGGCGTTTATAACGATGTCGCTATTCTGAAATGCTCAGGGGTTGGCGAGGCTGGTACATACAGGTAGATTGATGGAAACGTGTTGATTCTTCTGTCGAGTTTTAACCACACCTTCGACTATTTTTTACTAACCTTAACTTACCTTCGTTATTTCAATACAGCCTTGTTCTTTGCCCCAAATATGCGCCGTCCCGAAACAGGATTTCGTCCGCGCCAAGAATCCTACGTTTCTTCATCCCTGTTTCTCGCCAAATGACGTACCCGCGCAGCCCCTGTACAACAACCCTGCCCTCCAAACGTCAGAACGACGATTTGACAACGATACTCTGTAATATTCGACCAAAAATGCCATCACCACAGGCACAAGCCAAACCATCAACCGCGAAGTCCGATTCTCAACCTCCGTCCAAGATGAGCAATACGACACCACAAAATGCCCAACTCATCTCGGAGCGCGAGATTAAGCAGAATTCAGGCGCATCCGCCAGCATGGCACTGCAAGCAATGCAGAAAGCCTGGGAACTACGACAGGCCGCCAACGCCGCCGGCGACCCCAATGCGCGCGAGGAGATCCTCGCAAAGTCCATTAACAAAGAGATTGAAGCCGAGTCCTTCGGCAAGGCAGCCAAGTATACACAATCGGGCGCCTTCCAGGGCCTCGCTGCCGGAGCTGGGCTCGGAGTTCTGCCAGGTGTAACATTGGGCAAAATCACGGGGGCACTCGTCGGCGGGCTCGTTGCAACGGTGACGGGGCTATTGGGCGGGGGTATCGGCGCAGCATATGGGGCGCTGCATGGGCCGATGTGGGATCTGGGCCAGCTGGCAAGCCACGGGGTACGGAGCGTGGTGGGTGACTTTCCGAACTGGAGCTCGACGCCAGCACAGAAGAGGGCGTTGGAGAAGATGGTGATGCAGACCAAGGATACGCAAGCGCCGAGTAAGGAGGAGCTTGAGAGGATGAAGGCCGAGGCACCGGATGATATGCCGCAGACGTGGGCACAGTCGGTGAGGGACATGACGAGTTGGAGGCCGTCAGTGCCGAGTCTGCCAGCTATTCCTAGTATGCCATCGATGAAGCAGGCTGGTGCTGCGATGGGGCTGGGGGGACTAGGAGCTTCGTTGCCCGGTTGGGGAGGGGGTCCTACTCAGGGATCGCAGCAGACTGGTGAGAAGGTTCAGAGTTCGCAAAATACGTTGCCGATTCCGGCTTCAAGGCCTAGCACCGATGGACAGTCTTCGGAGCCGAAGTCACTGCAACCACAGGAAGCGCCCAGACCGAAGGAACCTCCGAAACCCAAAGAGGCGCCTCGTGTTACAAGAACAGACGAGACGAAGACTTCTCAGGGTGAAAAACGGCCTATGACGGCGCCAAAGAAGCCATCAAGGACTGAATCACAAAATACTGAGGTGGGCAAGCAGTCGAGCCCACAGTCGGAAAACAAAGAAAACAAACCGCCAGCGGTGTCGGCGCCTGAGAGACGAAAGCCGAGGAAGTTGGAAACAAGGAGTTTGAGCAGCAAGACAAGCTCAGAGAGCGCTACGAGACGGCCTCGAAAGCTGGAAACGCGAAAGTCGACAACGTAGTCAGGCAGTTGGTGATGATACCGGGAAGCAGACGTAGGGTTGATTCAAGAATTGATAATTACAACTCATCGAAATTGTGTTACAACATCTTCATCCTCACCTTGCTCAGTCAGAAGAACCCCTTTGTGCTTACTTCATTCGATAACGGTGTTCCTAGCTCTTTGTTGTTGCATTCTGGGAGGCTGTCTCGTAAAGTGGTGATGAGAGTAGTTTGATTATTGGTAATGATACTTAGGAGCAGTATACAGAAGAAATAGATGAGCACCTTGAAACATTTTATCAGTGCTAGGGAGTACTCAGGACTCCTTCCTTCGCAAGTAAGCCAGTCAATGCTCTCCAATAGGCTTAGCCTATTGATTCTATTTGCTCTTCCAATCAGTATACTAAGAGACTATGTATTTGGAGACATATATTGTGAGCCATACAGTATGAGTCATAGTCTTCAGTCCGGGATTTAAACCACATTATATATCAATATATGCTTATGTATTTACATACTATATATTTACTATATATATAATATATATCAAATATGAGTCTACGAATCCAAGCCTGGCTTGGCATGTAAGCTAAACCTAAATAAGACGACCTACAGGCTTCAAAGTCCAACTCGGGAATCGAAGCATTCTCGCTTGCTTAGCTTTGCTTGCTTTAGGATGTGTATCTCTAATAATACATCAATGGATACGCATTAAGAAGAGATCACTCTACTACTTACTCATGGTAATACTACTTCAAAACATTAACTAAACGGCATTAGTTATAGCATGAGATATATGTTATATTACTATTACGTTGTAGAAGTTTCTAGAGCCGTAATATATAATGACGCAAATTAGCAGGACAGTGTGTGGCAAAGAATGGACCTGTAAGCTATTTTGATTGGATCAAGGAGGGCATGAGTCATTAATTTCTCTGACTTTCAGGTTTTTTGGTGGCTGACTAAACCAAAAATGGTAAGAGTTTCTGCAGCCAAGTTTTGAAAAAAGATCATGCACGTGACTAGCATGATGGCTATATAAGGGCCAGTTATTCCCACCCTTTGTACGGTAGAATTCTTACCCTAAAAATTCTTATATATCAGCTTAATAGTTGGTAGCGTATAAATATAATATATCCAAGCTAGACTCCGTTTGGTAGTCTGTTTGCATCCCTGTACGTTTGGCAGAGCACTTCTAGTTGTAGTTTGGATCTTGGAGAGGAGACCAGGTGTTGCGTAGTACAGTGGCAAGGCGCGTCTGTCCGCAGAGCCAAACACCCCCCCTCCCATCTGGTCTCAACACTTTATCTACCTACACGACCCTGGCAGCGCAACTTCAACTCCACTGACTAGTGTGAGATCTTGAGTTGCCTCGTGCCATCTGACTATAATGTCGTTTACGGCAATCAATCTGCGGCCCTCTGCCCCGTCTTTGTCGACCGCTAGAAATTCACTCCATACTTCTCATGGGAGTACTTCCCTTGCAACACCTACCCAGCATCAGCCTGAGCCAAATGCAACAATCCGAGCACCTTCAATAGCTGATGAAGATCCTGAGAGTGACGATGATGTTGAGCCATTGGACTCTGACGAGTTCAAGGCGAGTTGCGCCCTTCAAGAACCGTCTATTGTGAGGCGTAATATGGAAGATCTAATAAGTGAGTCTCCGGATCTTCTAATTTAACTTTACTGATGCTAATTTATCACGCAGCCCTACTGAATACCACTTGCCTAGATCTCAATCCAGATTACCAACGCGACGTCGTTTGGACCCGTGAGTATACCTCTACCCACTCTTGCATGGGACCATAACTAACACGTGCCAGGCAAACGCATGTCAAGTCTCATTGACTCACTCATAGAGAACTACTATGTGCCTCCAATTATCTTCAACACAATCAGAGAAGACGGTCCGAACGGTCCTCTAGTGAGACGTATATGTGTCGACGGTAAGCAACGATTGACTTCGGTATCGCTGTTCATGTCTGGTCAGATACCATGCCATGACACGGACCGTCGAAGTTGGTACTACTGCCAGCGTCTCGACGACACTTCTGCTCGCCGACGCATCCTGCCTGACTCCTGGAAGAGGACTTTCCGGAACAAAGAGTTCATTTGCGTTGAGTATGAAAGCCTGTCAAGAGCCATGGAGGAGGAGTGCTTTGCGAGGGTCCAGATGGGTGTGCCGCTTTCACCAGCTGAGAAGATCCGAGCGACAAATGGTCCTTGGCAGGATCTGGCAAGGTCTTTCGAGGCCGAGTTCTCTGACATCGTCACTCTCGCATCAACAGACCGATCAGGCGGCTTCAGACATGTTCTCACGTGTTTTGCACAGATCATTGAGATGTATCATTCGTCGAGTCCAGATGGCCAGCCTGTCTTCAGAGGAGCTTACAGCGCCTTGGGCACTTTCGTCAAGAATGCGCCGCCGCTAGATCCACCTACAAGAAATCATATGCGCAAGGTCTTTGAGATCTTCCGAGACATAAATCATACATACCCCTCGACCTTCCAAAATAATGGATATTCGCACGCGAAGAACTTCGCGCCAATTGAAATCATTGCTGTCGCGTGTCTCATATCGAAGCACCATGGTCGCAGCATCGATCTCTTGAAGAACGACATTCTTCTCATGAGGCGGCTGATACGTCAAGAATTTCAAGCATTGACGACCAACAGAAAGATATGGAAGACTGTATGGAAGTTTATCGAAGATCTGGAGCAGTATAGCGGCGCGACCGATGGCACTACTGTGCGTAAGGACGGAAAACCCAATGCTGCGGTGCTGAATAAAAGCCGTGCATCTCATCAAACGTCCCCAAAAACGCCATCCAGCAGAGCGGGAGCAAAAGATGTAACAAATCGGACGTCGGGAGTACGCACACAGGCAGTACAGGAAACGTCGCTTCAAGATGTCCCACCACATACGGTTGTGACACATGGTGGTCGTTCCATGAACATACCGTCTACAGCAGTCCCCACAAGCAAAAGTCGCACCAGCCTTGAGGCAAGTCATACTAGACTTACCGATCCTGCTCGCATACAGAAGCTGCCTAAACTAGATGAGAGAGCGCTTCTAACCCCAGCGCCTTCGGACAGCACCAGCCCCAAATCACCTGTTTCTGCAGATGATACACCGGTATCGGTCGCCTCGAAGTCATTAACACAGAAAATAAATCCTGCTCGCTTATCTTCATTTCGAGCCGTCGCCTCCAACAAGACGACAGCGGAGCAGAGTCCGTTCACTTCACCCTCCAAGTCCACCGGTGTCCCATCCACACCAGCGGTACCGTTGAGGCCAGAAGGCCAAACACTGCCGGCTAATCTGGGAAAGCCACGCACACCAAGCGTCATGGCACTGCAGAAATCGCCAGATGCACTTCCATCGGCTCAAAAGAAGATGCCTGGACCAGCATACGCTCGACTGGACACTCCTGACTCTGAGACGGAAAACAGTCCGGAGATCCCTAGCGGGGCCCTTGCCGTTCGACTGCCTCAACGTACTGCCTCAACTCTTCCTACGGATAATGGATCGTCATCACTAGACACGCATAAAATACCCCCCTCTGGAACTATGAAGGATACCTCCGTTCCAGCGGCACCGCAACCACCTGCTCACATGGCTCGGATGGCGGCCCCGATGGTTCCAAACATGATGGCCCACAGACCGGCGGCCATGAGTCGCCTCACACCCACGTCCAAGCCGAACGATCAAGTCACCACATCAAAACCCTCAGTGGCATCAACCTCGCACCGCTTCAACCCCTTCCGACATCCCAACGGCTATCCCCATAATCCTACCACACCGTCACAGACCACCTCTCGACCGCAACCCACTCCCGCAAATGGCACAGGAACGCCACTCAATCCCATCAGCCTCGACTCGGACGACGAATCTGAGACCGCCTCTCAAGCCCTCGCGCAGTTCCGCAAAGGAGCTTCATCTCGCACGCTCACCCTGCCAGATGGAACGCCCGTCAAGTCTGAACCTGTCGAGCGGAATGCATTAGCCACCAAAGGCCAGAATTATGCTCGCTATGCGGGTGTAACTGGCACAACACAGAACACAATCGCCAATGCAATCAAGAATGCTGCACTGAAAGCCGAGCACGAGAGCGTCCCCATGAAGAGGACGGCGTCGGAGGTTCTGCCGCAGGATGGTGTGCGCAGCCCGAAGAGTCCGAGGCAGTCGTTCGTTCGAAAGCCGCGTATGTCGGGTGCGCCGAATTGATTTATGCTGAGATCATATGGTACATACGTGCAGAGACTGGGGGGTTTTTTTTTTCAGTATGCATGCATCCTCGACGAAGGAAATATGCGGATATGGTCGTGCTTTAGCTTTTGCATTTTTCTTTCTTTCATCCATAGCACCTTTTACACATCACTATACCCGGCTCCCCCCTCTCCCCTCCCCCCACCCCACGACACTGGACATGAATACATGGGCTATTGGATAGCTTCTGAAGCGATACATACTATCGCAGTTCCTATTTACGGATTTGGCTTTAAATCGAGACTTGGATATTAGGGGGTTTAGTTGTTATATATCACACGATGGCTGATGCAATGCGGGCCCGTCCCGAATGAATAACACGGATAGGCATTGATAGATGGGATTAGATGAGAAATGAATTTATGAATTTGATGATTTCATATGTGTTTTGTTGTGTGTGTTTTGTTGTGTGTGTTTTGTTGTGTGTGTTTTGTTGTGTGTGTTTTGTTGTGTGTGTTTTGTTGTGTGTGTTTTGTTGTGTGTGTTTTGTTGTGTGTGTTTTGCTTTTCCTGTGTTCTTTGCTGCGTTATTTTGCTGGTCCGTGGTTTATCCTGGTCGAATTGATTATCTATCTACTTAGTACCTCGAAATTGGTCCAGTTTTCCTACGTTCTGTGGTTTCTCTGATATCGTCTATTAATTTTAGCTATTGACTAATCTATCTATCCATAAACAGGTAATCATATATTATACATATGCTATCTTATATCTTATATATAGTATACTCTGAATACACATGCTGTAATGCTTGCGCTACAATGCCTATACCTTTACCCGATGATGCCCACTGCACGTTATAAACCCATACTATATACCCGTGCTACATAAGTATACCACACTGTATACTACACGCACATACATATACATAGATAAGGTAATCCCTAAACGTAGCTTATACATATCTACCTACCTACCTACCTACCTACCTACCTACCTAGGATCATTTATTATTCCCCTTACGAGAAAGAGTCTCTATACACACACACACACACACACACACACACACACACACACACACACACACACACACACACACACACTTACATATGCTCTATACATAGTATAATAAGCAAAATTCACGTAGACGCAGAAGAAGTGCTACTAACAGTACGTCTTCTAGGTGGACATTGGAGGAGTTCTGGTCGAGGGTAATGGGTACGGAGTACGCCCTCGGGACCTGGGTAAGAGGGATGGGAGATTTGGAATATTGATTAGATTTACACGTTTTGTTCCTGTATAATTGCTTAGAAGTTGGTTTAGGGAGCGGTTCTGATTTGATTCTTTCGCTTTTGTGAGGTTGGTTATTTATTAGTGTACTGGCTTCGTGCTGCTTGTGGATATGTGTGTACAGTTTTTCTTCAGACAAAGTGCATTCTTTTGTAACATCGTCAACTGCCATGTTCAGTCAGCCTCGTGCGTAAAATCGAGCCCCTACGCACCTCTCAACTCCATCCACCACATCACCCCCCGTTCACTGCAACACCTCAACACCAGCCCCCCGCAGATCAACCCTTTCTTCCCTCACGTCTTCAAGATATCCGCCGCCACCCGAATCGCCCGCGCCGTCTTCTCGACCCACTCCGCCGCAAGCCCGAAATCGCGCTTGTCCACCGCCTCGGTAATGCCAGGAAACGTGACCGGCGCATACCCAGTATCCAGCCCCGGCGCATAGATCGCATGCTGATAAAACTCCCTGCCCGGCAAGCCGCCCTGGCTTATGAATCCGCGCTGGAAGTCTCTGAGTTTGGCATTCACGATGGAGATGAGAGCTGCGTCGTCGGATACGAGGGCGTTTGTGTATGCAGACGTGATGTCTGTGATATGGGATTGGAAGTATGTGATTGCGGAGGAGAGAGGGAGGGTGTCGAGGGAGTTTGCTGCGCCGGTGGATTCGAGTGTACTGGTGAGGGCGGAGAGGTAGGTGTCGAGTTCGGTGCCCCAGGCGGTGATGTCGAAGGGGATTAGGGCGTCGGTGGAGAGGTGGTAGAGGAGGAGCGAGGCGTATTGGCCGACGGCGGCGTGGACGTGGTAGCCTGGGTCGCCGTAGGTGGTCATCCAGTGGTATGTGTCGTAGCTGTCGGTCTTGTCAGAACACATTGTGAATTGAAGAGGGAGAGGAGAAGGGCGGGCTTACTTGGAGTGATATGGGTAGACGGGGTCGTTGCCGCCGCCTCCAGCGCCCATGTCTACAGCGCCGATGCCGCGGTGCACAAAGGACGTGTAGTCGGAGCCGCTGCCGAGGACGCCAATCTCGCCGCTTTCGGCGGTCCAGATGTCGTAGAGGGTTTGGTTTGATGGTGCGCCGCCCGGGAGCGGCCAGAGGACTTTCTTCATGGTGTCTTGTACGAGAGTGTGCAGTTCGGGTGAGGCGGAGACGTCAAAGCGTGGGCCGGAGCACGCGATGTCGATGTTGAGATATGTAACCGCCGTGTTGGTGAGCCAGGGGTTGACAAACTCTTCGACCCTGGAGAAGTATATGTTAGCGTTTGTCTTTATATCCCTATAGGGAGGTTGGTTTTTACCATTCGGTTGAACCAACAATGCCGTATTCCTCGGCGTCCCATGACGCGAACACGATGTTTCGTCTCGGTTTCCAGCCTGTTTGCAGAAGCTTTCCGAAAGCCTTGGACATCTCGACCAGCACCGCAGACCCAGAGTTGGGATCCGCGGCACCACCCACGAGCCACGCGTCGCGGTGGTTGCCAATCAGAATCGTCTCCTCAGGATCTGTGCCGTTGATGAAGTCAATGACATCCCATATAGGCGTGATGGCGTCCTCCATTAGGTTGTGCATGTCAATGACAGCACCGGGCGCAGGGCCAGTACTGTATGTGACGTTCAGAGCGCCGATCCACTTTGTACGATTCACTTCTTCGCCAGAGACACCGTGGCCGTCGAGGGCGGCGAGGAATGGGATTGCGTTTCCATAAGAAATGGGGAGCGATGGGATGTGCGGGAGCACGTCAGAGGCATCGGCGCGTGGGGAGTCGTGTTTTGATGGATATCCTTGGCTTCTGGTCAGCATTGGAAATGTTCATGCTACTTGCAGCCATGTGACATGAAGACTTACCTGGAGTTGTCGGGTCACCTGGGTATATGGAAAGAAACTCGACGCTGCCTTTCTGCACTTGAGTCGGGTTCCTCGCAGGTCCGTCAGGATAAGGAGCATAACCTGGAATGCTTGATTAGGATGCGGTCATTCTGTAGATGACTGTACTCGCCATTTGCTTCGGTAATATTGCCGTCATCGCCTGGGTCAGAGAAGATGATCGTCCCAATCATGCCATACTCTTGGGAGTTTTTAACTTTCAGGCCTCTGAACGGGCCTCCGTATTTCGCTAAAGCAATCTTTCCTTCCAGTGAAATGCCGAGGGCTAGGAGGCGTTCAAAATCAACCTGCTGACCCCGTCTGGCAATCCGAAGGTTAGCATACTAACAGAAAATGTCGAGATAGTTTCTCACCCAACATAGACGTATTCGGCAGACGCATTACCACTTGCAGAGTAACCATGGAACGTAGGAATACGATTTGGATACGACGTAGTCTCGTCCTGCGCCAAGACAGCCTCTTCCAAGTCCGGCGTAAACACAGTACCATTAGGGAGAGTCAGAGTCAGGGCCTTTGAGACGGGATAGTTCAGATAAACCACATATTCAGCCAGATGAGCTTGGATGCCGTTCTCGGTCCATCGATCCGCAGTCCTGTCATCCATATGTTAGGAGCTTGCTGGTACGCGTACATACACCAACTAAACATAGTATTGTAGTGTTCGATAGTAGTGTTCTGACATACCACTGCGCCATAGTCTGATTCTTCCCAGCCAGATGCTCGCCATGCGTGTAGTAATAGCTCCATGTCTCAATTGACGCATTGTCGAATGAGTTCACCAGTATCGACTCATGCTCGGTTAGTACAGGCGGATATTGTGCTTGTCGTCGCGTGAGCGAGTGTGATTTCGGTGCTGCTAGACGAGGGACAAGGTTTTCGCGCAGGCAGGCATCGGCGAAGACCAGCACGAGGGCAATTGATGCCCAGCGTAATAGCAAGCTCATGTCGTTAAGATAGGGATAGCAAAACACATGTAAGCTATGCAATTGGGATGTGGTGGAGCCTTTAAGGCTTTAGCTGTGCTAGATATCCATATATTGTGGGCTGACAGCTCCAGCATGAATGCCATCATATGCCGTGTGGGCACCGCGAGCGGCATCCCACCTTACCATTGCAACGGTCGCTCGGTCCTGGTAGCCAGGCCTTCGACCAGTATGACTTCGACCAGGCTCCGGGTGACGGCGACGGGAGAGGATGCAAAGATGCCTTATGATGACAAGACCCCGCCTTGCCATGGGTTGTGCTTATCCGTTTCAGGAAGGTCAATGGCCGCTTAAAGGGCTTGGTCTTGAGGTATGTTGGCTGCAGGCCTGGGCAACGGATTCAGTGCAGGCTGACGGCGTCGGTCTACACAAGTTCGAGTAGGAGATTCGTGGATCTATGCTGTGCGGTGTGGTGATGGCACGCTGAGTGAAAGCCTGATCTTTAATTCGTCGCTGCTCATGCTCTTCGAGAATTCGGAGCTGGGAGCTCGGGTGCGGATTGAGAATACCATGGGGACAGCTTCACATCGGATATCTTCTTGTATAGAGTCTTACTGTAAGGTCGAATGTTTTGATGCTGAAGAGGCGATGAGGCGGATTGTGGCCATGGATGATGGATGCATCATTCGGTGCCAGTCTGAGACAGGTTAGCGCGATACTACCGATATGAAAGATAAGTCCTTGAGTCTTCAGTGGTAAAGCTCATACTGACATCTGAACTAGCGTAGAGGCAGTGAAATGTCAATGTACCCAGACTGAATCCATAGCATCAGTCAATTCCAATCGTAGCAGTATCTCATCTACGCCTCCTGGTGTCGCTTCAGGCTATGTTTGCGGCCGCGACCAACGCTGAGGCCCTCTGCTTGGCAGACGAGTAGTGAGGAGAAACCATCGGGACCCCGATATAGCCTGATGCAGTCTATAACAGGCGCTTCTTGTTGCTCATGTAGATATATGCTACGTTGGTTACGACTACATTCAGAGTCAAGTGGCTGAAGCCCGTTAGCCTCGCCATAGCAACTAGCAAACTCGAAAGCATTTTCTGGGGTACCACAACGATGACAATGCAGTTAATAGTGCGCTGATCCGAATGTGCTGATGTGAGCAAAGCCTGTAGATGGGGTCGCTTGTTCGTACGGGCCGTTCCTTAACGTCGACTTTCTCTTTTATGGGCTAGCAAAGCGGCAGATCTACTTGTCCCGGTGGTGATGATAATTGTGAGCAAGGTTTGTTTGAATCTTTGCCTATGATACGCAGGGTGAGCGGACGAATGTCGAGGTAGATGATGTAAGGCGCCAGAAAGGATACTGGATGCGTTCCTGAGTGAGTCAGTGGGCTGGATCTTGACTCAATAATGGCAGAGAAATCGGGCCAGCTCTGATTAAGGATAGCAAGTTGTACATGCTTTCTGCACAACCTCATCATTCATCTTTTCCGCGATGGTCATGGTTGTCGCAGGAAGTTTGCTAATGTCTTGCGCCAGTAGCACGAAGGGGGCAACGAACTGTCCATCCAGGCCTGGGCTTAAAGAGGGATGTACATGACACAACGAAATCCCTACAAATGGACAGTGGAAGAGGAGAGTCACAGATATATTCGTCTTGGTCATGGAGCACCATGTTGAACTACAGTGAGCTGTTACACATTTGGTCACACACTTGGCTCGTTTGGGAATTGGCGGCGCTGGCACAGTTTTATCAGACAGACGATAAGGCTCTGTACTCAAGGCTAATACATCAGGTCTATTCACTCTCAGTTTTGAATTTGACGTGCTACCAAAGCCCTAAGAATGTAAGACTAGGCCTATAACACGTAAACTGGTATTTGAGTGCTTCGAGCTTAGCAGTCAGCCATCGTTCTCGTATCGGATGGGCACCAAAGTGCAGACCTAGCCTTATAACATCACCCACATTTCGGTATGTAGTATATATGCAAGCCAAAGAGCCGGCCACGCGGCAGTAGGCATGCGATATGCACATGAGAGGTGCCGACGGGGCATGTTTGCGTGGGAGATGCTCGAAGCTCGTGGTCTCCTGCCAAAATAGTCATCCTTGGCGGACCGACGAGCGTAAAATGACGCAGTCAGTTCGGCATGTAGATATTATTGAGGAGGCAAGGAGGCCTAAGTCCAAGTCCCACGCGTCACGTCGCGGACAGAGCTTCACGAACGGCGAGAGCAATGGCCATGTGGACAGTTGTCTGCTGGTGGCTCGTGTCCATGACCTGGCTGTATGTGTCGCTGAATGTGGTAGATGATTTGATGCTTTGATGCTTCTGAACCGCATCGAGACTATGATGTGTAACGGTGGACGAAGGGTGGTGTAAACAACCTTATTGGCTGGCAACGCTTGGACGGTTCAACGGTCAATTAGACCACAGCGCGATGCTTTGTCTCACCCCGAGCCCAGGATGGGAAATAAATCATGTAGGCGCATTGCTGGAGAACATAGTAAAAGATAATACGTACTATGTAATGGATGAAGGAGTAGTAGAAAAGTTTGGCTGTCTGCGCCTCCCACGCTAAGAAACAGGGGCTCAAGCGCCCATCCATTGTCTGGGGCTGTGACCAACGAGCTTGCGCCATCAACGTCCATCCCCTTCATGGCTTTTCATTGGATATCTTTCCCATGCCGCCACCGTCCAGGGCTCATCCACTTGTTCCATGAATGTTTGCCTCTCTGTGTCGTGTTTGGTGCATGGCAAGCGTCTAATCTTTCGGGCTTGATGATACCTTCACCACTCATGGCTGTATCTGTGCACGCCATGGACGCCTCTGCGGTGGCGTGCGGGCGGACGGCCTAGATTACACAGTAGACGCTACGGTCGAATGGTCTTCATATCTGGACGGTTACGCCGATTTTTTTGTTACTGTGCGCCGATGACCCTCGTCGTTGAGGGCACGTTGCTGTAGACAATCCCAGCGATGTCCTGAAAGGTGCTTACCCCGAGACCCACCAGGAGCCCCAAGACCACCAAGACCCCAGACATCCAATGTCCTATCTTGTCCTGGAATGTACCTCAGCTGATGGCGACTTCTGGACTGTTATTGAAAACAATCAGTCACCTGCCTCCACTGGTAAGCAAGCTCTGGACTTCCATTTGAATAATGGGTTCAAGAAACATCAACGCGGTCGTTACACCCAACACTATCGCACTTAATGCTTTTATTTACGGCTATGGTGGACACTCACTGGTGACACCGCATTCTGCTCTCCAGCAAGTATGGTGGACGCAGGAAACGATCGAAGACACAGTCACAAAAGATTTTGTCACTTCTCGACTGAAGCTGGCTCAAAGAGAAAAGCTGGATCAACCCCTTGCCTTTGGAGATGGCCTCACATCTGATACATATCTCGAATGGATCTTAGAAAAGTGTCGTCGAATGTTTCTGATCCTGTCAGAGATAGGTGTGCCCGATCAGATTTTTGGGATCATCGATTCCTCGTGGGATGACGACGACCTGCCATTACCTATGGACACCGTTCAGAGACTCGCCATCACTTACCAGATGCATGAACAACTGGACCGCAAGTTCTATGACACGCAATTCAAGTTCCTCCTACGAGAACTTGAGGACGGTTCGCATATCGACTATGGTGCCAGCGAAACGGTGCCCCTCGAATACGTATATAAACTCCCTCCGGCTGTGCCATTGCAAGGCTGGAACAGAGTGCACCTCCCAAAGAAACCTAACGTTTTGTTTATGCGCCGTAAAGCGCAGCTAGGGACTGGAACTGGGAAGCTCACCGAGGAAGAGTTCGTTGCCGATATAGGACACGCACGGTTCATCGAACATGAGCACATTGCGCCCGTCTATGCATCTTACACGTGGAAGGGTAATGGCTACGCGCTGAGCACATTCGTTGGCGAGCATACACTAAAGACGTTCATTGATCACCGCACGGCGCCGCAATATATGCGACTCGCTAAGCATGATAGATGGGCACTTCTACTCGAATGGCTGCACTGCCTGGCATCCGCCGTCGCCTCTCTTCACATGAATGGTTCCACCCACTCAGCCATTCGACCTTCCAACATTATCATCGACTCCCGAAATCGCATTGCCTTCAGTGACATTGGCAGTCTAGCTACATTCCAGAAAGACAAGAAATCTGACATCACTGAAACATACAACTACTCTGCACCAGAAAGCCATACCTCGACCTTGTCTCTCTTGCTCAAGTCAAGTCTGAAACCCTCTTCAGACACAGCACGAGCAGGTTCGGTGTCTAGCAAAGGATCCTCGGGGCAGTCAACATCAACAGGATCGTATGAAACCAAGAACAGAAGGTTTTCCATCTCGAAACCGAGCAGCCCTTACACTGGGTTCGATTTTGGCTTCACTCCAAACGTCGCCAAGAAACGCAGCAATAGCCAATCTGCATCTAACTCCGAAGCTGCCGATATCTTTGCCCTTGGTTGTATATGGTTGGATATCATTACCTTCTTGCTGAAGAAGAAGTCCTCCGATTTCACCCGTCATCGAAGCACAAAAGTGAAGGATGGTAGTAAAAGCAATTCGTCTCGAATCGACTCATCCTTTCATAATAATCCTGAAAAGCTAGAGTCTTGGATGGTAATCTTGGAAGACCTTGCCTTTGCCCAGGATGACAAGCTATTTCGGGCAGTCCCACACATTCTCCGACTCATCCGACAAATGCTCGCACTGGAGCCATCTGACAGACCTACAGCGCGGGTCGCGCGAGACAGAATCTACGATGTCCTCGTCGGCTATGCTGGTATGCAACTTCTGCACTGCGCTGCACATCAAAATGAGATGCCCAAGGCTACCGTCACTGCTTTCCAGAACGTAAAACGTGGCCTGTATGGGCTCTCGCGAACACCCAAGGCACAAGTGTCTGAAAATGCTCCCATCACACCGAATGAAACGTTGGTTGCAGATTTCGCGTCCGTCCGGTCAATTACATCTCCAGCAAAGACGGTGCGGATAAGGCGCAATCCTGTCTTTGGGGTTCCCAGAGGCCTTGCGCTATAGACAGCTCCATCTTATAGGGCGATCACCTCTTCCTAATCACCACTTGAATCTGGAGATTCGGTCCGTAAGACCACGCCCCTATACCTCCTATCTCTATCACCAATCTGGCCGTTCTTCTGCCTTCCACATACGAACATTTCAACCTTGTCTCACGTAACGTATTCTATTAGCACGGTTTCAATCCTCTTCTGGCGTCTCGAGCGAGCTAATACCCCTTTTGTTTTCATCGATATTTGAAATAGAGATAATCACTGGCAATGAAGTGGGGGATTTTTCGATAATTCTGGCCAAGGCTTCGTAGACTTAAGTGTGCAGCAGTTGGTTTCTGGTAGCTAAAACTAAAGTAAACTGGCAATGTCAGGCTATGTAGCTATGCTATATGAATTTATAACGCGTTAAGATTACGTAGTCGCGAAGTAGACCCCATGTACATCCATTCTACAGACCCTTGGACACGGGCATGCAATTCTCGGCTGAGCTGCGGTTCTGCCTCAGGCACCTAGCCAAAAAAGTGTGGGGGCACGGACCATTTTCCTAGTGCTGCCGCGAAAAATTAATCCCATTCATTTTCCAAAGCACGACGACCTCGAGTAACATCGACTGCGCAAGAAGTCGCGGCTTGTTACCACAGCGCAACTCACTGCCATTCCTACCAGCCACAATGACTCTCTTCATCCTCACCGAGACCAGCGCTGGTTATGCGCTTCTGAAATCCAAGGACAAGAAACTTCTCAAGCGAGACGACATCGCAGAAGCATCAAAGACAGCTGAAGGAGCTTCAGAACTGTAGGGAAATGGTCCGGTCGTGGTGCATAGCTCATGTCTGACATTATGAGTATCTAGTTTCAAGCTCAAGCACTTTCACAAGTATGAAAATGCCGCCCAAGCGCTCAATGAAGCTGCCGCACTTATCGAGGGCAAGGTAAGAACTCTTCCTACCTTCACAGCTGAGGTCTCATGCAGCATGCAAAATTCCAGTAGCTTACTTGAATTAACACCAGGTCACTCCACTCCTTTCCTCGTTTCTCGACCACATCAAAGACGAGAAGAAAGTCTCGTTGGCTGTAGCCGACCCCAAGCTCGGAAACGCCATCAACAAGCTGCCGCAGCTCTCAGTCACTCCAGTATCAGACTCCTCTACTCAAGACATCTACCGTGCTATCCGGGAGCATATGTCGGCTCTGATCCCTGGACTCGCTCCATCTGATATCCAGACCATGTCTCTTGGTCTATCACATTCGCTATCCCGCCACAAGCTGAAATTCTCACCGGACAAGGTCGACACAATGATCATCCAGGCCGTATCGCTTCTGGATGACCTAGACAAGGAGCTCAATCAATATGCAATGAGAGTAAAGGAATGGTACGGGTGGCATTTCCCGGAGATGGCCAAGATCATCAATGACAACTATGCCTACGCTCGCGTGGTGATTAGCATGGGGATGAGAACGAACGCTTCGAAAACCGACATGGCCGACATTCTGCCTGAGGAGATTGAGGTAGCCGTCAAGGGTGCTGCCGAAGTCTCCATGGGTACTGAGATCACGGATGAGGACTATGAGGAGATCCACGGCCTCGCTGAGAACGTTGTTGACCTCACGGAATACCGACAGAACCTTTCCAGCTACCTCACGACTCGCATGCACGCCATTGCACCCAACTTGACTGCTCTCGTTGGCGAAATCGTCGGAGCGCGTCTCATCGCACACGCAGGAAGTCTCATGAACTTGTCCAAGAGCCCTGCTAGTACCATCCAGGTTCTCGGAGCTGAGAAAGCCCTGTTCCGTGCCCTCAAAACGAAACACGACACTCCCAAGTATGGTCTCATCTACCACGCTTCTCTCATTGGCCAAGCAAGCGGCAAGAACAAGGGAAAGGTCGCCCGTATGCTCGCAGCCAAGACCGCCCTTGGTCTACGTATCGACGCACTATCAGACTGGGGCGCCGGTGGTGCAGGCAAGGACGCCGAGCCTACCGACGAAGACAAGGTCGAATTCGCAACTGGCGCACGAAGCTACCTCGAACGTCGGCTACGCAAGCTTGAGGGCAAACCACTAAAGAGCAGTGGGCTCAACGCCAACCTCACCCCGATCACCGAGCCCAAGCTCGGCAAGTTCTCCGTCAAGGAGGCCAAGAAGTACAACCCCAACGTGGACGGCTTAACAGGCGACGAGCCCGCCGCCACCATTGCAGAGGGTACGTCTACCAATGGTGCCCTGAACGGCGTCGAGACGACCGAAAAGAAGAGCAAGAAGGATAAGAAAGACAAGAAGGCCAAGAATGTCGAAGAGCCTGTGAAGCCAGTCGTTGTCGCAGAGCCAGATTCAGACTCAGACTCGGACGAGGAGATGGAGGACAAAACACCATCAAAGGACCTCAGCAAAGCAGAGCGAAAAGCCGAAAAGGAGGCTAGGAAAGCCCGTAAAGCAGAGCGAGCGGCGAAGCGTGCGGCCAAGGAGGCAAAGAAAGCAAAGAAGGCGGTAGAGGAAGCCCCGAGTTCGAAGAAGCGGAAGCACGACGACGACGGCGACAAGATCGAGAAGAAGAAAAAGAAGAAGAGCAAGGACTAGACGATGTCTGTTGTATTTCCTGTTCTTGTAAGGTCACCTTCACATTTCTTTTCTCCATGTCTGGCGTTCTAGGGCGGATTGCGAAGAGCAATGGCGTTTGAAAAGGGAACATGTATAGTTGGACAGTACGTGTGCTTGTGTGTAGCCATCTGCTGCCGTCAAAATACTACGTGTCAAATATTCATCACGGGCGCAGTCATAATGGAAGACCTGTGAAACTTCATGATCATATTGTGATTTATTATGATTCTACAGCACCAGCAGAGGAGGCATGCGCTCTTTGATGTCCTGCGTTCATGCTCATGGATTCCACTAGGCTCTATCGGGCCATCAAAACTTTTATGGATTGCGCCACTAGAAAGAATCCTTACCTCTAATTATCTCATTAGCCCCAACGTGCGTCAAGCGAGTCAGTACTTTCCCGACAACGGCGACGACATATCAAGCCGCTGTCGCAAGAAAAGTCACCCTGCCACTCTCACCCTCCAATTGATCAATTGTTTGGTTCTTTCACACCCACTTTAGCACGTCAAGGTCTCGGTCAAGACGAGTCTTCTTCTTCGTCACGGACGGGGGCCAAGGTGTGAGGGGTTTTCTTCAATTTCTACTACGAGATCTAGTCTGCCCCGCTATATGTATATGTATTGTTCGTATAGCCAGCGTTTGATTGAGAATTTGTTGCAAGTCGCTGCTGCTTCTCTGCTCAATTGGTTTCAGTCTTTTTCTTCTTTGCTTTATTTCTGATTGTCGGCTTGCTTAATTGGAAGTTTCCTCTGGTATTCTGGATCGGATTAGTTACGGCGCTTTTGGGCGGCGCGCTGCCAGACAGACAGACAGACAGACAGACAGACAGACAGACAGACAGACAGACAGACAGACAGACAGACAGACAGACAGACAGAGTGGGTGGATATAATCTAGACTTTGGGTTTCGAGCAGAGAGGGAGAGAGGGTAATGAGTATGCCGCAAGAGCAAGGACACCCGAAAGCAGACGTCATCGACGTGGAAGATGGTGGTGTTGACAACGATACATCGCAGCATGGAATCAACGATGTGCATGATGATTCCGCGCGCATCGAGGCTGTTTACAGGTATATATTCTTCTCCTCCTTTCCATTCCCTCTTTCTCCCATTTCCACCTCCCAATCTCCCGTCTCCCTCCTTGACCCCAACTCTCCCTTTTCCAAACCCAACTAAACCCCCGACCCAAACCAACAGAACCCTCGACCGCCGCATAATCCCCGCCTTCTGGACACTCTACTTCCTCGCCTCGGCCGTGCGCTCCAACGTCGCGCTCGCGCAAACCATGAACACCGCGCAGCGCCACGACCTCGGGCACGTGGTGGGCGTGAACGGCAAGCAGATCAGCACGGGGCTGGCGCTGTTCTTCGTGTTCTACGTGGTGTTTAATGTGCCGAGTAATCTGGTGATGAGCGTGGTGCGGCCGCATGTGTGGATGGCGCGCATCATGGTGCTGGTTGGGGTTGTGGGCGCGTGTATGGCTGCTATGAGGAGTGTGGGAGCGTTTTAGTGAGTGTGTTCTTTATGCTTGGGTGTGGTTTTGGGGTGTTTACATCCCTTCCTTCCCCTATCCCTCTTCCCCTATTCACCCTCACAGACACAAACAAGCAACCACAATCTAACCACACCCCCCCTCACCCAACAGCGCCCTCCGCATCCTCCTCGGCCTCTTCATTGCCGGCCTCTGGCCCGGCCTAACCTACTACCTAACCCTCTTCTACCCCCCCTCCCGCATCGGCACCCGAATCGGATACTACTTCACCGCCTCACAAGTCTCCGCCGCCGTCGTCGGCCTCGTCTCCGCCGGCTTCCAACGCATGGACGGCCTCGGCGGCCTCGTCGGATTCCAATGGATGTTCCTCCTCTACGGCATTGCAACAACACTCTGTGGCATCGCACTGCTCTGGTGGCTGCCCGACCGGCCGCGTGCACCCCCCGGCGCCGCCGCCGACAATCATGACAACGAAGATACAACAAGGACCACAAGATGGTACACACCCCTCATCCCCCGCCCCCGCCCCGCCCTCACCGGCCCCGCCGCAGCAACACACTACGCCCACCTCCGCAGCACATACACGACCCCGCCCTGGACCCTCCACGACCTCACCCGCATCCTCCTCGACTGGCGCCTCTGGCCCCTCACACTCATGTACTTTGGCGTCGTCGGCGTCGGCTTCGGCGTGCAAAACTACGGCACCGTGATAATAAGGGGTATCAACCCGGGCCTGTCATCCATCACGCTCTCGCTCCTCTTCGCGCCAATCTGGGTGTGCGATCTGCTTGCCATCCTGCTCGTGACGCCTCTATCGGATGCGCTGGGGATGTCGGGATCGCGCGGGTGGCGGCGGCGGTGGGGGAGGGCAGGCGTGTTTGCGGCGGCGGTGGGCGTGCAGGTGCTTGGGTTGCTGCTGACGACGTATATACCTGCTTCGCGGCCGTGGGGGCGGTACGTGGGGTTGCTGGTGGTGGGGTTTGGGCTGGGGCCGACGGTGCCGGTGTGTATGGCGTGGACGAGCGAGATATTCCAGGCGCGGCATGGGGAGGTTGGGGTTGCGGCGGCGAGTGCGCTGGTGAGTGGGCTGGGGAATCTGGGCAGTGTGACGACGACGTATGCGCTGTATACGGGGTGGGAGGCGGATGGGAAGGGGAGCGAGCCGTTTCGGCGGAGTAATTTGGTCATGGTGGGGATTTTGGGGGTGAGTTTTTGGAGTGCGGTGGGGTTGGCGGTTGTGTTGGCGGTTTTGGAGAGGAGAGGGGGTGGGAGGGCGAATGTGAGGGTTGAACGGGGACTGAGTGGTTCTAGGGGTGAAAGTAGTAGTTAGACACTCTGAAATAAAGTGAACGGTGCGTATAGAGGGGAGCACAATCGTAATTGCATTGACAGACAGTCACCGAAACCAGTATCGAAATCAATCATGCACCGGGGGATGTACTCCATGATCTGCCCATGTGCATACTGAGATCACAGCAAAATACAGGAACGTGAGCCGCGGTGTTATTCACAGTGTATCACTACACATGAAGGACCATATAGGCATTACGTGACCACGGTCAAGCCTAGAGGCCCGTTTTACTCATTCTCATCCACATCTCATTTCCTACCATACAAGCCACAGCATCCATGTCGTGCCACTTGGTAAGTGCCGATGGATCAACTCTAGGCAGACTCTGTCACCCCGTCACCCCCAGACAGGATCATCTAGAGTAGATAAGAATGAGTAGAAAAAAAAAGTTTGAAAGAAGAACATTATAAATCAAAGTTTGTGAATATTCCCGGCAGTCGTCAACGATGGTTACATGAAAAGTTAGAAAAACGCCACATCCAAACATTTCCGAGCCGTGCATTTCTCCTTTATCCACCGGCGCCAGAATGATATAGATGTCCACCACCCAGTAGGAAGAGGACGTCGATGTGGACCTGGATCTGTTCATGTCGAACAGCGACCACGAGAGAAAGAATGATATCTACATAAACCACCGCGGATCGATAGTGTCTGCGAGGCTTCTATGTGCGAGTTAGACACGGTCAGTACCTAATATATTATTGGTGCAGTCAATGGAGTGACAGGAGCATCACCGGCCGCATGATTGTGGTGTTTGGTCAAGATGATTGTCGAGTGTGATGTGAGGATGTTTGTTCATGTATCCGATGCTGCTCCTGTGACTCACCCCCTTTGCTGCATCGCCTGTGGCTGGCCCATCATCATTCCATTGTGCATGCCGATTCCGTAGGGGTTCTGGTTATGTTGAATGTCCCCAATAAAGCTGTTCATGTTCATGCCACCCAGGCCTTGAGCTTGCGATACTGGGCAATCCTTGTGTGCCAGGAGTAAAGTCTTTAAGTTGACCACTTCCTCACGCAATTGCGTGACTTGGGCTGATAGAGCATCGTTCTCTGTGCTGAACAGCTCCACTTTGGCCTGCAGATTAGCTAGCCATTGCTTCTTCCGTTGACGACACTTTAGCGCGGCGACACTGCACGATGTTAGCAACCAGTCCCATAACTCGAACGAGACAACATACCGATTACGTTCGAGGAAGTTCTTCCGCTTCTCTTCGTCTGTCATCTTCTTGCCGTCGGGGTGCGTATCGATCTGGTCATCCTGGTCTTCTTCTTCCGAGTCAAAGTCTTCCTCTTTTGGCATGCCGTTGTTGCCCTTTTGCTTTTTAGAGGCTGGACCTTTTGCTGGCGTATCTTCGGCCTTTCGTCTGCTATTGCCAGTGGCGCCTTTGTTATTAGCCTTCTTTCCGCGAGTTCGCGGCTTTGCTGCCTCACTTTGGCCGCTTTCAGACATGTTTTCAGTGTTGTCCGTGCCAACAGAGCCCTTCGTCCCACGCCTTTGGACAGGCGATGTCTCGTTTGAGCGCTGCCCTTGGTTGATGTGCTGGTTGGCCTGGGTCGGAACGGCAAACTGTCCGTTCCGGTTGCCGTTTGCTTGGGTGGCAAATTGAAGGAGGTCGTTCGCGGCACCATGCACGTCATGCTGTTGATACATGTCTTGACGTGGTGGTTGTCCTTGAACAACTGGGGCCTGCGTGGTTGGAGGTTGTGTAGCTTGGACTTGAGTGGCTTGTTCTGGCGGTTGTGATGAGACGGCGTTGGTGTTGTATTTGTTCTGACTCGACGCTGTAGCAGCACTAAGCGCAGTCTTGTGGAAGTCTAATGTACCGGGAGTAGCGCCACCACTCTGGAGTTGAAATAGATGCTGCGAATTTGGACTGGGAGCTGGAAACATAGATCCGCCACCACCTGGAGTCAGACCTGTCCGCAACGACGATTCGTTCGGTGTCGGGAAGCCTCTAAACTCTCCTGAGAAGTAATCAGTAGTATTTGCGGGGCCAGCGAGCATAGCAGGGCTCAATGGCCCGGCTCTTAAAGACTGCCACCCAGGTGTTATGCCAGGTAGACCGGACGGAGATGTTATGCTCGCGACTGGAGGTAGGATGCTTCCACCGTTGGGAGTGCTTCCGGACGGCGGTTGGCCGAAAGATCGTTCGAATGGATTTGGCTCCAGACTGAACTGATTTGAAGAGTTGTGATTTGAGCTGAAGTAGTCTGGGGTATCAGTCGACGTAGTTTGCGTTGGTTTTGGTGGAGGCGCCAATGGCTGCGCATTTGTACCGTTTGTCGTAGGCTTCGCGTCGTCACTACTTCTATCCTGGCTTGGGTCTGAAAGAGAAGCAGCGTTAGTAACGTGTTCCCGTGAACGACTTGCATCAGGCATGATTAGTAGAAATGAATAGTGGTGTTGAGTGTATGTCGCAACGCCATGCCATGGCAATGAGCGGAGCGCTAATGAACAGCGACGACGGCTGGCACCAGCACAGTGGTGACTCGAATGGCAGCGACAAGTAGCAGAGTGAATGAGGAGGTGTGATGAAGCAATTCACAAGCAGTGTTGATGACGATGGGAGTGCAACAAGGAACGAACGTACCTTCGATCTTTCCAGGTACGGCTTTGGAGTCCTTGGGCGAGGGCATTTTGGGGATGGGATTGGAAGAGTCGGCGGACGACCTGGTGATTGTGGTTGCGGCCATGTCGAGATGACGTATGCGGAGTGTGGGCTGATCGACTTTAGACTCGATTCTCCACGATCGGGTTGCTTCTCCGACTTTTCCACTCCTCCGGACAGCTCAATTATCCCTCTACAGAACTGTCTGTGGGCTCCAACTTTGCAAAGCACACGACTTTATTTATGGAATCTACTGCGACACGTATACATTAGTGGATGGACGAGATGAAATGCGACGCGAATGTGTGTGTGTTTGGGTGTGGTGGTAGCGCGGAAGCACGGATGAAGTATATGGTAGGCCAACGGCAGCGAGGACCGTAAACAACTCACACCTAAGATATACGGCTACTCTGCGGATACCGTACAGCAAAGTCTACCACAATGGATGATGGCCAGAGCAACTATAGTGAATATCGACGCCAGTGCGATGATATCTTGTGCACAACCAGCGTGAGGCTGCAAGGAGAGGAGATGATGACGCAATCAGGGGAGGCGGCGCACTGGCTATTCGACAAACGGCGACGACGAGGAGGGGAAAGCAGGAATCGATTGGGGCCCTAGTAGGGAACAGCAGCCGAGTGGCAGCAGTGAGTGGATTTACGGGTCGGAAAGGATGTCGAGGGGAGTTTTTTTCCCAAGTGCGAGAGTGAAAGTATGAGAGCAGCGAGACTGGGCGCGCGATGACGATGGAGGAGGAAGAGAAAGTGAGAGTGCAGGAGAGTGCTTGGGGTACGTCACAGGAAAAAAAGAGGAAATGGGAAATGCTCGCTAAGGTATGTCTTACGCGCACCGCAGTGAGTGTGGCTTTTGCGTGTCCCTGGCAGTCTCATCCCAGCCGACGCCTCCCGATAAGCTCGCCAGCATCCGCGGACCTGCTTAGCTGGGCCTAACCCCGCCCTTAGCGTGCCACATTCACGCCACAATATCATTTTATTGGAGAAATTCGACGCGCCTATCGGTCAGGATAAGCCCACCTCCACATATCACTGGACTTTGTTTCGGACACACTTAGATCCTGTCGCTCGAGGTCAGGCTTTGAAATCCACTTTCACTTCGTCTGTCACGTGCGCTCGCCAGACACAAGTCCATACATCTCGGTAAGTACGGCAGATCGTGATCACAACATTAGATCGAAGATGGCCTTTGGGAACCGGCTGAGAATCCCATGCGGGCTTCGATATCTCCAAGGATCACTTCGTTATTGCATCGTACTTTGCCATCCTGATGCTCGACATGGTACACACACAACATACACACTTGCACACATCAATTTCGGACTTGTCTGCCATGTCGCATCACCTCATAACGGCCTGCTATGCTATGATTGGCCACCACACCACAGCAATCCCCAGCACAGTAAGAGGCGAACTGACCGTTTAGCTTTCAGACCCCAGTTGTCTGCGTCCAGCCCGCCCTCCTCCCTGCCACCACCAAATGCAGCTGCTACTGTACGCACCGATGGTGACGTGTATCGAGTCCTTTCCTTTTTTTTTTCGCGCCAGCCGTGCGTCCGCGAAGAACTGACTGCTATTATTGCCTTTTCCCTTCACGATCCTCGATAGGTTGTGTAGTTGTACGGGCCCAGCAGCAACGGGACATGATAATGCTCCGCTTTCTTCCTGACCATGAACTTCAAGTCCACCTCCGGGAAGAACGGCTTGATGCCTTTCTGCGCATAGTACGGCCCCGTCGTGAATGTCAACGTCCACAGCGTGTCTTCCGGCACGCGCTCGTAGATCTCTTGTAGCTCGACCGGCGGTGATTGGGCGGGCGTCTGCGTCCACGCGGTTACGCGGCCGTCTGAGTTTGTCGTTGCGCTGAATATGCCTGACACGGCGGCCTGTGGGGAGTGGCAGGTGAGGGTGACTTCGATGCCTGCGCCAGGACGGCCCGTCGTGGTGTCGAGGACGTGACAAGTGATTGGGGGTCTCGCAGTGGCCATTGTAGCTTCTGAGGAGGATGGAGGGGTCGATGATGTTGTTTGTTCGCTCGGGCTGTCGAGTGGATTGTTATGCTGAGACTGCGAATGAGAAAGGTGTCTGGTCAAGGCTTGAATTCGATCTGAAGGTGTCGCAATGCTGGCAGGAGCTTCGCTCATAACCCTTGTGATGGTGCGGTGGGATCGAGTATGGGATCGAGTAAGAGTAGTCCAATGTTGCCTACATCAAAGAACAGCAGTGTAAGAAAATGAACAGACGTAACGTGTTTGAAGCTCAACTAGAATGGGCTATCAGCTTGCTTGACATATCCACACCTTCGGGTCCGTGCACCGGAGCAGAGTGGTAGTGGTATGGCAGCTGGCTGCCCGGTCCGGCTTCGGCCTTCGGCGACGAGCGCAATCTCATAACCTCGAACTTGGTCATCATCCTCGCGCTCCATTAAAGACCTGTAGAAACGGACGGAGTACCCAAGGTCTTGCTGCTAACACTATCTTCGGACACAGCATAGTTTGGAAGAGCTTACTCCAAGCCTCTGCCGAAGCCCCTGGCTAACCCCAGTCGAAGAATTTATGGAAAAGGATGAACATGTCGAAGACACGAAGGCACCGAAGCAATATACGCAGGTCAACGTTAAATGAGGTAGAGTACTTTGGATCGTTCCTATATTCAACATTGTGACTCCCTGCTTGTCAAAGCAAGCTCTATAGAAAGTGTCGCTGTAGAAAGTGTATCTGCGTTTATTCTACGGCCTTTCTGATAGATCCCATCTATCATGATCTGCTCTCGACATCCAGGGGGGGAATTTTTGATCGACCGATGGTAATAACGGTTCCCAATCTTCACGGACTGATTTCATTTTCAGCACAAGCTCTGGGTAAGGGACATAGACAAAAAACTTCCAGCCAAGACTGCGTGCGGCGTCGATAATATTCGCATTTCTCGGAACGACGAGGCTGCGTTCATTGAATTGATACATGGTGACGATGACCTCCTTCACGTTTGCTATATTCTGAAGGGCGGTGTGTACAGGCGTGAGCCACCAGAGCGGCGGCCCGGCCGGTATAGGATTGATTCTTTCTATATCAAGCCAAAGTGACTCCAGTTTCGTAAAACGGCTTGGCACTAGATCAAGAAAGTACTGCCAGCTGCCAAAGCTGATCTGAATCTTGCGGATATGTAAACTGGTGACCCTTTTGACGAACCAGTCAATCGCATCCTTATCATATAAATAGAAAAGGTTGCAGGTGTAGAGCATCGGCTGCGCCTCTTTGTGGATTTGGTGGTTCGTACGGAGAATTGCGACGTCAAGTGGGGACCATGTATATACACGATCTTTATATACGCTGATTCGGACAGGGATGTGACGCCGCAGAACATCTTCGTATATCTGGTTCCGGATCTCCCCACTAAAATCCAAGAACCCAAAAGGCTTCTTCGGGCTCGCATCGTCTCCGGAAGGCAGTTCGCTAACATCGCCCGACGGTCCCTCGCTCTTCTCGGCTTCTTCGACCTTCTTGACCTTCTTGACCTTCTTGACCTTCTTGACCTTCTTGACTTTCTTGACTCTCTTGACCTTCTTGGCTTTCATGACCTTCTTGACCTTCTCGACCCTCCCAGTCTTCTTGAACGGAGTGCTCCAGCTGCGCTTGCTCGACAGCGATTTCTATACGACACGACTGTCAGCTCTCCCATCTCACTTCTGGGTATATGTCGATATGGACATACCTTGTGGGCTACTCGAGGAGCCATATCTTGGCTACTACTCGAGGTAAAATAACGCGGTGTGTGACAGATCCAGATCCAGATCTAGAGAACAAGAGTAGGTCCAAACTCAATATATACCTAATCGTGCGTCACGACCCTCAACTTCCGAGTGCGTGCGGCGTGTTGTTGGAGTTAACAGGAGATTCCTCATTGTGTTTCTGTTGCTACCTAAACAGTGCATTGGAAAGGGTCTCTTCACTGTTTATACACGCTGTTCGCATTGTTTTCTGGTCGTGCCGCCACGTGGTCTGTGAGTGAGAGAAGCCTGTTTTGGGCTGGAATGTGGGCTGTTGGCCTCGTTCCGCTTGGTTGTTTGGGCGTTGTGTGTCTTGTTAGGTTGGGATTCCTGCTTGTTGTTCTGGGAATCTGGGCGTTGGGCTGGCGGATGTCGGTGGTAGACTTGATATCTGCATCCTTGGGCTTGTATGTTGGTTGTCCTTCTGCCTACTTTCTGGTGTTGTGTAATCCGGCGGATTGATCTTGCACATTGTTTTGAACCTACGCCTTGATTCTCGTATGGCTCACGAGCACGTATCTTTGTCTGCTCTCCACCCTGTCGAAGCTCTTGATGCTATCTACGATAGATGGTCGAGTCTGGAAAGATTAGTATGCAGTGTACATCTAGGGTAAAGTCATACCTACACTACCCCTAAACTCACATCCTCCCTTGGAATCACATTAGCCACAGCGAACGAATAATCCTTGCCACATCTAGAAACATCTACTCGAACAGGGATGAAGCAAACCCTCACAAGTCCGAATCCGAAACACCGAGTTGGAATCCAATCGAGTTGACAACCCGACCAACCATCCTACCAAGTCCATCCTAGACTGACTGATGTCTTCGTCGATTCTGCCCCGTATATCAGCATACACCCATCTTTAATTTTTTTTTCTAAAAAAAAAGAAACCAAAAAAAAAACCGACTGAAAGGCCTTCTACGCTCGCACGGTCAAAGTTTATTCCCAACGGATACGGGCTAGGGAGTCTTCCTTCTCCTTATAGCTCTTTTACTACTTTACTCTTCTTTATTAACCTAGTATTTAAATACTCTAAATAGATGTATAGGTCTATACTATATGATACTACCCCTGATCCCCTCTAATCTCCCTCTCCCTCTCCCTCTCTATCTCCCTCTCCCTCTCTATCTCCCTCTCTATCTCTATCTCTATCCCTCTCTAATCTCCCTCTCTATCTCTCTCTTCTAGACTATAATCTCTATTTTCTATTCTCCCTCCCTTTTATATCCCCCTTTCTTAAACCCCCTTTATATATTCTCTTCTTTAAACCCCCTTTCTAAAACCCCGTTCGAAACCCCCCTTTCTAAAAGCCCCTCTTATTAACCCCTCTTTCTTAAGACCCCCTCTTTATAAGTTCCCTCTTCTGACCCTCCTTTTCTAGAATACCTTTTCTAAATCACCCTTTTTTAAATCCCCTCTTTATATATCCTCCCTTTATATATCCCCTTTTTTAAACCCCCGTTTTTAAATCCCCTTTTTTTACATCCCCTTTTTTTTTAAATATTCTAAGATAATGGACGGTAAGGGAAAGGGTAAGAATTAGAATAAGAATAAGGATAAGAAGGAGAATAATAAGAAGAATAAGGGAAATAATATAGCTAAGGATAAGAATAAGAAGTAGGAGGAGAAGGAGAAGGAGAAGGAGAAGGAGAAGGAGAAGAAGAAGAAGAAGAAGGAGAATAAGAAGGAGAAGGAGAAGAAGGAGGGTAAGAGTAAGGGTAAGCATAAGAAGAAGGAGAAGGGTAAGGAGGAGGATAAGATTAAGGATAGAGTAAGGATGAGGGTAAGAAGAAGGAGGATAAGAATAAGGCCAACGATAAGCAGAAGGAGGAGGGACAGGCTATTTTTTATTCACGGTTCTACAAATTTTAGGCAGGGCGTAATTCTACACTTCCTTCTTCTCACTTTTCCTCTAAGAAAGTTCAAAGAGGCAGAATCATGATCATGGCCATCGTCCGGAATATCTGCATTCTTCAATTGGGAAAGGGAAAGCAGTGCTCCGGGACATGGAGTCAAGCGGCTTCAGGAGTTCACATGCAAGAGGACTGAAACATGTGCGAGGTACGATAGTCCCTGAGGGGGGGAGGGGTATACCAGCTGAAAAGTCTATACCATCTACATCAGCACCAGCATACATCTATACCAGCCCATCCCCATCCACCCATCCCTCCATCCACGCCGCTCATGCCGCTCAAACCCAGCACCCCAACCACCAGCACCACCGTCATCTACTTCTTATTCGGAAACTTCGGCTGCCCAATCTTATCACCGCGCAGCACAACATTCAGTACCCGCTCAATATTACCCAGCAGCTTCTGATCGGGCGCGGCGGATCCACGCTCAAAGTCCGCGATAATCGTCGGCGTGCTATTACACTTTGTCGCCAGATCCTTCTGCGTCATGGTGCCGCCTTTATCATTCTTGGCCTCGGCACGGGCCTTCTTGATCGCGTCGCCGACCTTGACGCCCACCGTCTTGGGCTTGACAATGTCGTCTGACCGGTCGACTTTGGTGAGGTGTTGGCCTTCGACGTGGCCGGACTGTTGTGGTGTTGTTTGTTAGTGACTGAATATGTAGAAAGTGGAAGATTTGGGGTTGAGGCGGGGAGGAAGGACATACGGCATTCCCAGCAGCAAACTTCTTCTCCGTAGCCACGACGGCACCGCTCCGCTTCGCGGCGTTGAGCGCGCTCTGGCCGCGGACGACAGTCTCGCGCTGTGCGGCACCGGGGCCACGCGTGCGGCTGCCGATCTTGGTGACGGAGTCCCAGTCGTCAGACATGTTGTTCGTGGTGGTCGTGTGTGTGGTGTCTGTCGTACGTGGAGTGAGTTGGGGTTGAGTTGTTCAAAAGTGGGATGACGTCGGCGGGAGGAGGGTCCAGTCCAAGAGAGGAGGGTCCCGAGTATGAAGGATGAGGAGGAGGATGTAGAGAGTCGAGTTCAGAAAAGTGAGGGAAGTTTCTTTGTCAGTTGGATGGAGGACGAGAACAGAAGCTTTTTATACGAATGTTTTGGCTATGGGTGTGTAAGTGAAGACAGTGATGACTGGGACTAAGATCGAGGCGAGGTTCGAAAGCAACATGTCACCGCCTCCCACTTCGCGCTAGCCCCGTTTCGGGCAAGCGCGATCCGTGGACATGTAGGTTTCCTTCTGGAGTCTTCTTCGCCTTCTGTAATTAAGTCCGTCCATTAACCTCACAGTTTGATCTCGCCTGAAGACAGCACTGCAAGCACGCCAGATGAAGATTATAGTTTACTGGTCAATCAATTATGCCATCTATGCTCCAGACAACCCCTCAGAAACTCCGTAGTGCATGCTTTGTGACAAGACAGGTCATTAGTACCACCCAGACGCGCTCTAATACCCATTACAATCATAAAGTCTTTTGGGCATAATTAGTCGGGGAAGAACAAACATGCACCCCTTTGAAAACGCCGTTCCATGATGAGCTACTGGGAGCCAAAACAAAAACCACCATATTGACAGCCACTTGGGTGTGCATGTCCCCTCACACATTGACAGCACTTGGTGCATGTCCCCCCTCGTCGTGCAGTCATATTTTGATGCCAGCAGGTCAAAGACCCAGGGCTTCCGTAGCCTTGAGAAAGGTGTCGTAGGTCGTGAGTGCGCCCAAAGCACGCTTTTGATGAGCATTGATCAGTGTCAATCCGTATATATAACTTGCATTAACCCAGCCGAATCTGCTACCGCGTTAGAGACCCAAGTCACACACATCAAATTCCCAAAAGCAAAAAAGGACAGCAAGAAACTCACCCCTCACGCGGCACACCCTTAAAGTCACTCCCTTGATTGCCATATTCGGCCTCGACCTTGTGCGGGTCAATGGGACGAGTGACGTCGTACTTTTCGACGACGACGCCGTTAAAGTCGACAAAGGCTTTGCAAATCATGTATATCCACCGGTAGGCCAGTCGCTGAGCCTCTGCTTCGTACCCGTAACGCTGCAGCCCGACCCAGGCAAGAATCTGCTGGGGCGCCCAGCCAAAGGGATAGTCCCACTGCCGGTTTGGCCGCTCAAGCCCCACCGGACCGCGCGACTTTTCCGTTCCAGAGACGAGGCCACCAAAGGCTTCAAACTTGGGCAAGGCCTTGGCCACGAGGATGGCAGCCTGGCGGGGAGTTGCGACACCGGACCACATGGGCCAGAAAGTGGTAGCGCTCTCGTAGCCGGTGTGCTTCTTAGTGACGGTGTTGTAGTCAAAGTACATGCCCTGCTCCTCGTCCCACATGTACTTGTCCATCAGGGCGCGTCTCCTCTTCGAGCGGCGGTCCCAGACTGCCGAGCTCTCCACATGCCCCGGGACCTGACCTTTTGTGCAAAACTCTGCTGGAATGACGAGGCTGTCGCCAAAGTGGCCACGAATAGTGCGAGCAATGTCCTGCTCATACTTGTAGAGCAGGGCATTCAAGTCGACGGTGGCGAGGCTTGCGGCGATTCTCTCGAGTCGGTACGAGGTATCATGTCCCGATTCCCGGACGGCACGATCATGGAGAAAGTAGTCGTCCAAGACGGGTTCCTTGATTTCGCCGCTGTTGTAGGCCTGGACAAAGCTCTCAAAGGTCATGCCGTGCTTCTTGGCGTAGGGATCGAGGACATGCACAAAGTGGGAAGCCTCAGTCTCCGGGGGGACACCGATGCCGCCTGGTCGGTACCTGGTCAGGCCAGACTCGGGGTCGTAGCGAGGCTCGCTCATCCAAATGTTGTGGTATTCCTTGATTGCGGCGAGGATGGCCTGTCGCAGAAAGTCCAAGGCTCCGGGCTCAAACTTGATCCGGTCATAGACACGCAGAGCCATATCACTCAAGAACGGGGGCTGTGTCCGGCACAGGTAGTAGGTGCGGTTGGCGTTTAGAATCTTTCCATAATGCTTGATGCAAAAGCAGAAATGCTGGACCATTGACTTGACCAGGTCGACACGACCGTTGATGAGCAAGCCGAGAGACTCCATGTAGCTGTCCCATCCGTACAGCTCGTTGAATCTGCCACCCGGTACAACGAATGGCAGGCCACGCAGGTCGGTATTGCCAGTCTTGGGATCGACGTATTCTTCCATGGCGACGGCAAGCAGGCCAGGTGCGGCATTCAAGTCCCGAACGTAGGCCGGATCATCGCACTCCTCATTCAGCCACTGCACATCCAGGCGCATGTCTGGACTCTCTTTTGCGATGCGGGTATAGTAGTCGTACTGCTCGGGCGCACCTCTCGGGACGTAGATGCGCGGTCTTGGATCCGAGGTCCAGTCCTTTGGATCACGGCCAACTTTTGCAATATTGGAGCCATCAATGCGACGCGTGAGACCGTCCCAGAAATGGTCGCGAATGAGGCGCTCCAGGCGATTGACGGGATTTTCGTTCAGCCGCGCCTCGTCCAAGTAGATGACGTTGCGACCGTAGTCTTGAGCCAGGGTGAGTTCTTGCAGCAGGTTGGACAGCATATAGGTGCCGCGTATGTCAGCCTTGTTGATGCCATTCGAGGCAGCGGTGCCGAGCGAGAAGACCTATTGATTGGGCCGTGTCAGAGACATGCTGAGAGCTCTTTGTGTGGCAAGTAATTAATATTCAACGTACTTTGGGACCATCATCGTCGATTGTGATTTGGCAATTGCCGTCAGTGTCTTCGCGCGACAGGAGAGAGGTCAGGGTCTTGTTGACGTCGACGAGGAATCTGCGTGGTTGGAGGGTTTGTTCGTCTGTGGTGTGGTGGGATGATCAGTTAGCGGTTTGCATGGGGTGATGGGATTGGAGGGTTGGGGGGGGGGGAGGAGAGCGAAAGAGAGAGAGAGAGAGGAAGCGGTACCGTGGCTAGAACGCCTCGTGGGGAGCTTCGCGCCAGTATTCGTCGTGGTGGCTGCAGAGCCAACTTGCTGTGTAACCAGATTAGTGCCCGATGTGATTTGTTGGGAGAGAGGGAGAGGGCTCGAGAGGTGTAGAGAGAGCTCCAGGAAGAGAGAGCAGATATGAGTGGTGGAGTGTCTTACCGTGGACCAGGTCCGAACGCGGGAAGCCTTCTTGTGAGAGTCACCGTAGTAAATGTGTGCAGCAGCGAGAGGATCTCTGTGCTCGTTTGTCGAGGAGCGCTGGAGTCGCGAGCCCATGCTATGTGTAATTACTGAGGGAAATGAATTGATTTTCAGCAAAGAGGTGGTGGTTAGGTAGCAAGGGAGGGCCTGTTGACGGGATATGAGGATAGGTATATAGTGCGGCGTGTATGAGTGAGTGGAGTGAATGAATCAGCCGGGGCAGGGAAGAGTGGAGTATTGGGTGAATAGGAGTGAGTGGAATGAAGAAAGATGGAGAGGAGAGGTGGAGGTGGAGGGAGTGAGTGAAGGGTGTGTAAAGGAGGAATGAATGACAGAGGCAGCAAACAACAGAAGCAGCGTCGAAGCTGGAAGAAGGAGAGAGCAAGACACGGTGGGATCAGCAGCAGCAGCAGTAGCAGTAGGCGGTGAATGGAATTATTGATGAATGGATGGAGGGATGTATGTAAGTATGGATGGTAATGGATGGAAGTCAGTGCAGTGCATTGTCGGGAGGAGGAAAAAGGTCACGACACACTCGGGTAGAACAGTCAAGCGACTTCCCATCAGATCCATCAATCCATTCTCTGTGTGACTCTCGTGATGTTGCTTCTTCATTCCCACCAGGCGAGAGAAGAGAGTGGTAGCATGCATTGTGCTCGACGCACCTCCAACAATGACACCAACTATAAGCAGGCAGACAGATAAACACAGTAGGATAGATGTGCAGATAAAAGCTTCACACTCCTAAAACGCCGTTGTTCATGACGACGGAGAAGCCGATAGAGGAGCCATCAGCCATCAGCCAGCAGCCAGCGGGGCAGCGACGTCAGCGGGGGAGGCACTCACTCACTCACTCACTCACTCACTTATCATCAACGACTGACCATCGCTGGACGGCAGACGGATGTATTATCGTGAGATTGGTTTGATGGCGCAAAGACTAAGCAGACGCCCGCCCCTTGTGCTAGGTCCAGTATTATTACAGTAGTAGAGTAGTAGTAGTAGTAGTAGTAGTAGTAGTAGTAGTAGTAGTCGTTATATAGGAGGGTGATGCAAGTGAGATGTGAGATGTGAGATGGATGGTAGCATGGTCGGCCCTAGTCTAGTAGATCTGCCGCCGTATTACTTGGCACCATGGTAGTACATCGTAGACCCGCAGTGAGAGGGAGAGAGAGAGGCACAAGAGGCACAAGACGCACGAGAGACACGCGAGAGACAGGGCGGCACGAGCATATCCATCACATCCTCACGTCCACAGTCTACTACGCCCACGCCCTCCTCGTCTGCATCCATTCTGCATCTACTTAATTATCCTGCATCTATTTGGCATCAATTGGTTCCATTGTAGGACTGCCTGTATATACACACACTCCTGTTGCCTCACTGGCTGACTGGGCTGCTGCTGTGCCTGCTTGGCCCTGCCCTGTCCTGCCCTGTCCTGCATATCCAGCACAACCACCCCTCAACACCCCTCAAGCCTCATCACCCCCCTCAGCACACTCCTCCAATCCATCCACCTGACCTGTCAATTCACTCCTCTCCTCTCCTCTTCACCACAACACTGTTTCACCGACAGTTGACGTTCCGCAACCACTCTCGCATCCAGCTCTCCGGCCGCGACATCGCTCCTCTCCAGCGACTGCTTGGCCATCCATGTCTGAGCATCGCTGATTGGACTGACCACCATGAACTGCTCCATCGGTGTGAGATTGCCACTCTGCCACATTCCGCTGATCTTTCTGACTTCCTCGATGCTGCTGTTGCTGTCCATCACCGGACACTCGCATTTGAGCGCGCACGCTTGTTTCGAGAGTCCTTCCATGACTTGTTCAATGCTACTATCCATGCCCTCCGCCGCCGACGTCTGTCTGTACCCTGCTCGCTGCTGCTGCTGCTGCTGCTGCTGCTGCTGCTGTTGCCACCGTGTCAGACCGAGCTGCTGAAGGAACTTTTGCATTCGTTCTCTCTCTATCAGCTGTATCACGTGCTTCTCGTAGTCCACCTGCCTTCCTTTAGTCATCCTACTTGTTCCCGTCCAGCACAACCTCAGCTCCACGGCCCCTCCACTCACCTTTGTAACTTGACGAGCAGTCGCAACACTTGATATATCCATGCCACCTAAGGGCTGCATTCTGTCTGCCTTCGTGGAGTGAATGAAGATGACTGGTAATTCAAGCCACAATATCAAGTTTGCCCGTGTCGAGGGAGATTATAGACTTGTCTACTGCTGCTAAAGAGGTTCGCCGACAAGTAAGCTCAACCTCCACCACCACCACTCCTCACCACTTACTTATATACATGATACGAACTTCCAGAAGCCTGTTCTCACTCCTCGCTGTCCCCGACCACTGCAACACTCTCACGTTCACGACTTCACCATTGGCCTGCCACGCCCGGCTGTCTGCACCCCAGAACTCCAGCATGATGCTCTCTTGACTGAGCCACAAAACAAGGGTGCCTGACACCTCTCATGTCCCTCTGTCCCCTTCTGCTCATCTTGCCAGAACTGCTAGCCAGGCCTTCGACTGTTCCTGTCGCTCAAACCTGCTGTCGTCGTCGGACAAGCCAGCTCCATTGGCTACTGCACCACTCATAGTCCTGGCAATGTCACCACCCTCCCACCGAAAGGGCCGATCATGGTACGACCTCCAAAGATATCAACAATTTCAGAGCCTCTCGTGCCCTTCAATTGGCCCCTGGACGTAAAAGAGGGCGTCGTGCGCCCTCTTTTGCGTCCTTTAGAGCACACCACCGCCTGCCGAGCAACGCTGTATTCGTCTGAGGCTTGTACACTGATCTGTCATGCTTCCAGTACTACTCCTGGAGCATCTGATACCAAGGTCCGACAACTGACTGATGGCACTTCACAGCTGTCAGGAAGATCACTTTTAGTGCTGGCTTACCCGAACGTACGATTGAGAGCCTACATGACTCTTCACACTCCTTGATTGACCCGGAAGCCCACAGTTGTGAGAGCACACCACAACACCACGAGAATCGCAACAGTCTCCTATTGGTTGACGGCCATCTGCTTGGAATGCTCGACAGTCCACTTTTTCTCTATTCGTGCCCTCCTGACACGCCTTCAACGTGCTTTTTCCACGAGCCCCGTACTGATCGAGATATCTACTGATTGAGATATCTACTGACTCGTCACGCTTACTACCCATTCATAGCGCCGCTACGGTCCGCTCACGGCACCCCAAGCCGAGCCAACAACGCTACGGCATATCGCCATGCTCGAGTCGCATCGAATAATTCATCGCCGGTAGCATGTCCCTTCTTCCCTCCGACGGACTTTTACCCAACGTGTGGGTAATGGCCCACCTCCATGGGTCCAGGTGCTCGATGCAAGCCTCATCACAATCACGATATTGGCTGCGACTGTCCTCCTTCAGCACCATTTCGCGCTCTGATAGGCTGTCATGTATATATATACAGCAGTATCGTCCCCGTACCCATCTTCCTGACCCATGAAGCCGGTTCATAAAAAGCAAGAGTTGAGCATATTACGCCTTGGCTGCAAAGACGTCACGTTGCTCCAACCGGCACGCTACATACATCTGGTGTAAACTCCATGCCTTTCATTCGTTGAAACGGGAGCCACATGCGTCCCGACGTCGGCATGCCTATCACGTATCCGCGTTCCGACACGCTGGCTCCCCATCTTCCCTCGGAACCGCTCGCTCGGGTCCGCTATCTCGGGCCATCGTCCCAGCTCTGCGGATCTGGGTGTAACGACCAGATATTGTTCATGTGCTGCCATGCATGCCACAAAGCCTCGGCTAAGCCTTGCTGTCGAGATGGAGATGAGGTCGCCAGGTAAACCAATGAAAGTGCCTGGCATCAAAGCGTGCACCAACTACTAACATTGATACGAAGAACCCGGTCCGTTGATCTCTTGGTACCTGTGACTACTATAAGAACTTCGGTTAAGATTGTAGTAAAAGGTATAGTAATAGTAGTTGTGTTCACATGCTATAGCATATAAATATCAATATAATATCCTTGATAAATACTAGTGTACTACAGAGGCATTGTTCGTAGAAAAGACTGCGAGTACTAGTAGTTGCATACAATACATCTTAATGAGAAGCTAAATACTTGAAACACCCCACCCACAATCTGCTCTTTTACTTTCTCTCCGTCATTCATTCAAAATCAAGTACTAATGAAGCAAACCACATCGCCAGAACAGCTTCGTCAGGACTTGTTCCGGTCAAGTATGCTATATACACGACGGGATATCCGCTATACGACAACTACGTGCAATCCATCTGCCGGCCTGGACAGCAAGACAGGGCTGGGCAGCGCAGGGAACACCCTTGGTAGCCACGAGAAATGCAGCAATAGCTAGCTGTCAGTCAGTCAGTCAGTCATGAGGCGTTCAGGGTCTATTGAGCCGGAGTGTGGTTCACTAGCCACTAGAGAGAGGGCAGGAGCGGCCTACTTAGTAGTCCCCTGCATGCCTTCCCCGCAAACGGCTAATGTCTGGGGTGTTTGTTGTGTGGATGGGGGGGGGGGGGGTTCATCATGACTTTCCAATGTTCCCAGGTCTCTCACGACTGCTAATCTTCTTCGTAGGTTCATTTACATGATATCTGCTCGTGAGTTATACCTTCTGTGTACTGGCATCATTGCACGGCTATCAAGCGAAACGTAGAAGAACACATCTGCCACCTGTGTTTACAGAACCTCCCTCGCAACATTAACCGCCTCGACACGGGCAATCCAAGCAAAGACGGTAATATCCAATCTACATCCCAGCAACAGCCAAGACACAACAGCACCGTGGTCATTGGCATGCCATAAATACCGCCCTCGATCCGCTGACCTTGCCGTCCCCTGACCCTCTGAGCTACTGTGCTGAGATACAGCATCGACTGCCACAATGGCTTTCAACTTCCTCCGCAAGACGAAAGTTACGGTGCGGGACAGCGAGAGGACGCGTGCTGCCGAACTCACCCTGCGCCAATCGATCTACCCGATTGCGCTTGTTACGCTGTTGTTCTTTCTCTGGGTATGTTTTGAGGGAGATGAGGGCGAGTTGATTGTGAAGCTGATGAGTATAGGGCTTTTCGTACGGCTTGCTTGATACGCTGAACAAGCACTTCCAGAACCAGCTTGGTATCACCCAGGCCCGCTCTTCGGGGCTACAGGCTGCGTATTTTGGGTACGTTTGTTGACTTGACGCAACTGAGAAGCGAAATGGTTGCTCATGATGTCTCGATCTTAGAGCATACCCCCTCGCCTCCCTCGGGCACGCAAACTGGCTCCTGCGCCGCTACGGCTACAAGATCACCTTCATCTGGGGCCTCTGCCTGTATGGCATTGGCGCCCTCGTCGCCTGGCCGTGTCTGCTCCACCGCTCCTTTGGCGGGTTCTGTGGTGCGATTTTCATCATTGGGAATGGTCTTGGTTCGCTCGAGACGGCGGCGAATCCGTACATTACAGGTACTCGACCTCAGCCATGATCCAGCTCAATGCCCGTCCTGTCGTTACTCGAGCTATTGGTTATGACATGCTGACACCACATACCCAGTCTGCGGTCCTCCAAAGTACTCGGAGATCCGCATCAACATCAGCCAGGCCTTCAACGGGATAGGCACAGTCGTCGCTCCCGTCATGGCATCCTACGTCTTCTTCACCAGCGTGCACGACGACGAGAAATCGCTGCAGAACGTGCAGTGGGTCTACCTCGCCATCGCCTGCTTCGTCTTCCTCCTTGCCGCCGTCTTCCTCTTCAGCCCCATCCCCGAAATCACCGACGCCGACATGGCCTTCCAGGTCCAGGAGACGCACGCCGAGGCCGACGACCAGCCGTTCCGGAAGCAATACCGCCTCTTCCACGCCGCATTCGCGCAGTTCTGCTACACGGGCGCACAGGTCGCAATCGCAAGCTACTTTATCAACTACGCCGTGCAGACCCGTCCCAACACCGTACATCCCCCCTGAGAACCAACGCCAAAACACTAACAACCACCACAGGACTCCGCCGTAGCATCCAAACTCCTCGCCGGCGCCCAAGGCGCCTTTGCCCTCGGCCGCTTCGTCGGCGTCGCCCTCATGACCGCCTTCAAGCCGCGCCTCATCTTCCTCGCCTACCTCACCAGCTGCATCATCTTCCTCGCGCCCAGCATCACCCAGCGCGACAACAACACCGGCGTCGCACTGCTCTACCTCACCCTCTTCTTCGAGTCCATCTGCTTCCCCACCATTGTCGCGCTCGGCATGCGCGGTCTGGGCAGACACACGAAGCGCGGCAGCGGCTGGATTGTCGCTGGCGTCAGTGGTGGTGCGGTTGTGCCGCCGTTGTTGGGCGTGGCCGGGGATCGGCATGGGACTGCGTTGGGCATGGTGGTGCCGTTGTGCTTTTTTGTCGGTGCGGTGTCGTATGCGGTTTGTGTGAATTTCGTGCAGGGGTATCGGGGGGTGGTTGATGCGAGTGCTCGGGCGGAGATTGGGGTGCGGGATGTGGAGGGTGGGGGTGGTATAGGGGGTATGAAGGATTTGCGGGAGGAGAGGGTGGAGGTGACGGGGGAGAAGGTTGGGGAGAGGCAGCATGTAGAGGAGAAGGAAGGATAAGGGGTGTGGTGTGGTTGTGGTTGAGGTGCGTTATATACATCCGATCCCTAGATATACAACGTACCCCTATTCCGACACCCTCAACTCTCTACCATCTCACGGACAAACGACGAACGACAAACGGCAAATGGTTAGAAACTAAGCAATAATAAATTAATAAACAACACACTACAGCGTCATGTAGAGTGTAGTACGTCAAGACGTAGAGTTTACAAGTCCTAACTGAAGTACCATTTAACATCTCCTATTCTTCTTTACCTATCTATAGTATAGAGTATAATATTATGTTCTCCCCCCCTCTCTTTTAATAATTAGTATATAATAGCGTTATGTAGAGTGTACGTTCCTTGATACATGGATATAAGTACTAGTACTAGTAACACGGCGGCTTCCTTGGACGAACTTTGTAAAATAAGCTACTATAAAACGCTATTAGTAGAACCGTGTCCTCCGTCTTTTATATCCGGGGTCTACTAATAAAGCTACGAATATAAATACTAGTACTACGGCGTAAGATGGAATACTATAAGTATAGATATATATATATATCTACTACTAGATATAGAGAGCTACTAATCTTCTTTACTATATATATACTAGTACTAGATATAGAGAGCTACTAAAGATAAATCTCTTCTATAAGTAGTAGTTAGTACTTTAAGTATAGATCTAGATATAATAACTACTATTAGCTACTACTCTAGGAGAGATATACCTATAGAATACTAATCTACCTAGTAGTTAATTAATAATAATAATAATAATATTATTATTAATATCATTATAAGCCCCGACTTAAGTACTATTTAACATCTTCTATTCTCTTTATCTATCCTCTAGTATATAGTATAATATTACATCTTCTCCATTTGATAAACTTAAATATAATATAATAGTATTCTAAAGAGTGTACGTTAAGCGTAGATTTGATAAACCCTAACTTGAGTACTCTTTAACATCTCCTATCCTTCTACATCGATCAGCACATCCCCCAAGCCCCCCTCTCCCAATCAACAAACACTCCTATGCACTCCCTCCCCCATCGGCCGCCGCGCCTTATCCCTCTCCTCATGCCCCAACCCCGCATTCCCAAACCTCTTCTCCACACTCGGCCCCCTCCCACCACCACCCCCACCACTTCCGCCCCCAACCTTGTCAAACACCGCCAAATCCCCCGGCGCCATCCGCATCACCCGATCCGTAACCTCACAGATATCGGCAATCAGGCGATGCAACAGGTCCAACGACATGGATTCGCGCACCACGACACGCAGGATCTCGGTCCCGTCCTCGTGCGGCGGAAGCGCGTAGTTGGGGATGATGTACTGCTTTGCGCGCAGCAGCGTGCTGATGCTGTCTTGCGTCATGTGCGGGTGCGAGGCTTTGAGGGCGCGGGAGAGCGTGAATGCCACCACCGGGAGGCCCGGGTTGTATGCTGCTGAGGAGTCGGAAGAGTCGGAAGAGTCGGAGGGCGAGTCGGATTCCGGGTCGGGCGAGGAAGGGGAAGGGGACAAGTGAAACGAGCCGACCCGCCGATGCACATCCGACACACACTCATACCAGCCCGTCGCCTCGAGCGCACGCGACAGCAGCCGCGCATTCGCCAGCGCATTCTCCATCACATTCCGGTACCCCTCGACGCCAAGATGCACGAGGTTGAAGTACTGCGCAATGACCTGGGCGCCGGGCCGCGAGAAGTTGAGCGTGTACGACTGCTCCGTGCCGCCGAGATAGTGCAGTTCGAAGACGAGGTGCCGGGGCAGCAGGTGCTCGTCGCGCCAGACGATCCAGCCGACGCCCGCGTAGACGAGGCCGAATTTGTGCCCGGACACGTTGATCGATTTGACGCGCGGGAGGGCAAAGTCCCAGGGCGTGTCGGGCCCGGCGCCAGCGTGGGTAAAGGGCGCGATGAAGCCTCCGGACGCGGCGTCGACGTGGATGTCGATGGACTGGCCTGTTTCCTGCTCGTGGGCGTCGAGCAGGGCGGCGATTTCGGCGACGGGCTCGTAGTGGCCCGTGTAGGTGGAGCCGAGGATGACGAAGATGCCGATTGTGTTCTCGTCGATGTTTGCCTGTACGAGGGCCGGGTCGAGGCGGTAGCGGGAGGCGCGGGAGACGGGCAGGATGCGCGGCTCGACGTCGAAGTAGCGGGCGAATTTCTCGAGGGCGACCTGGGCGTTGGCGCCCATGAGGATGTTGGGCTTGAGGGTGTCCTTGCCGGCGCGCGTGCGGGCTTCGTGCCAGCGGCGTTTCATGGCGAGGCCGGCGAGGTGGATTGCCTCGCTGGACCCGGTTGTTGCGGTGCCGATGGCGGTTTCGCCCGGTTGGACGTGCCACATGTGGGCGAGCATGCTGATGCAGCGGGCGTGCATGTCCATCATGGCCGGGTACTCGTCCGCGTCGCTCATGTTTTTGGAGAGGTTCTCGATCATGAGCTGCTCGGCTTGCGGCTCCATGTACGTGCCGACGAAGCTGGCGAGGTTGAGGTTGGGCCGGCCGTCGAGGTCGAGTTCGTCTTTGATGAGCTGGTGGACGGCGTCGGCGGGGGCGCTGGCTTGCGGGATCTTGAATTTGGGGAGTTCGGTTTTGGCGGCGTAGCGGGATGAGTAGGGGGTTACTTGGTTGATGTGACTGCGTCGGGGGGCGTGGTGGCTGTGGACGGGGTGGTCGTGGAGCTTCTTGACGAGCTCGTCAGGATCGATCTGTGTCAGGGGGGGAGTTGTCAGTTCGGGGATGGCATGTAGTTGGAAAGGGTTTTGGGGGGGGGGGGTTGTTACGTGAGTTGCAAGACCGGCCATGATGGTGGTGATTGAAGGAGACTGGTAGGATGGAGGATAGTCTGGAATAGATCCTCAGAGTTTCATATACCTGCGAGCTATGTGAAGACTGAGCACGAGAGAGATCGACTATAAACTACGAACAAAACCTCCTGAGAGTAGCAGAGACGTCACTCGTCGTAATAAGTACAGGCACAGATTGACGTATGTTACCCACAAAGCTACCAAGCTAATTACCTACAAAACTAGTCCCAGCAATTCGCCCGCCGGACATCCACTCGCTAGAGGGGGCATCAAGCTTCTCAAGACTTGGGGAAAAAGCTTAATCATTCACGCGGGATTCGTTGCCGTCAATCTGCAAGATCTCGTGGAGCAAGGCTCTTGTGGCCGAGGCGAATGCGCCATGACGGTATGTTGACGATTGTGTGTGTTAGGGCGGGGTGGTCTGGTCCAACGATGATCCTGCGACGGCTTTGTCATGGTAGCACTCCTGTAGTAGGGCAACTAGAGTGAATGCGAGTTGTTTATGAAGCCATCAGGGGGGGAAAACAGTCGTGGTCTTGGACTTCTTCTATGGCTCGGCTCTTATCGCTATCACCACGTGATACTCCCCGGACCCCAGCCGTCGGGTAAACACAAGGCCCGACGCCGAGAATGCGGGGCTTACGTCACCGGAATGAACGAATGAATGGATGGACGATGACTTCTCCGCAAATGTTTGTCCGCGTCAGCATTTGCGTCTGCGTGTGAGTGAATACTCGAATCCTCGAATACACGCATACACGCATACCTACACCATCACCCGCCTCTGGCTCCAGTTTTGCCATATTCCTCTACCAATTGATGACCACTCGTGCCGCTTCTGTCCAATCCACTCCTCTCCTGCTCGCTGTGGCGTACATTGCGACTATTCACAGACGAAGAGCCTGTAGCCTGCTCACCTAACCCCCTGTAGCGTGAGGTGATTCGCGTCATTGATCGCTCTATACCACTCACTCTTGCCCGCCTCTCTGACATCCCTCTCCTGCAACACCACACCCCACCACAAACATCATGAAGTTGCTCGCAGTACTCACAGCAGCGTCGCTATCTACCGCACTGGTCCTTCCGGACGAGAAGGTTCTGGCCGAGATCCAGATCGAGGACCATCACCAACCCGAACGTCTCGAGGAGATTGGCGACTACTGGCATTCGTTCAAGAGCAATGCCGGAGAGTTCCTGGACCGCTCAAAGAGTGCCATCGACGAGGCGTTTGATGTCGTCGTTGAGACTGGCAAGACCGCGTATGAGAAGATATACGACACCGGCTACGATGTAGAGTCTTGGCTGGAGAGCTATGTCGAGAGCGACGACCCGTTTGACGTCTTTGGCGAGCATCCACCACCGCCTCCTGATGGTAAACACCCTGGACCTCCTGGAAAAGGCCATCATGGCAAGCCGCCTCACCATGGCAAACCTCCTCACCACGGAAAGCCGCACCACCCAAAGTCGAACCTCACCGTGTATGAATTGATCGCCAAGAGCAAGTACACCACCAAGTTGGCAAAACTGATCGACGAGGACAAGGACTTGGTCAAGATCCTGAACGGCACTGCTGCAAACTATACCGTCTTTGCTCCCACGGACAAAGCGTTCGAGAAGATTCCCAAACACCACACGCCATCCAAAGAGTTCATCAAGGCCCTCCTGACGTACCACATCTCCCCCGTCTTCTACCCAGCCGGCCGTGTCCTCACCGCACACACCATCCCAACCCTCCTACAATCCTCCTTCCTCGGCGCCGGCAACCTCCCCCAGCGCCTCTCCGTCAGCATCGGCCTCCGCGGCGTCACCCTCAACTTCTACGCCCACGTCATCGCCATCAACATCTTCGGCACAAACGGCGTCATCCACGCCCTCGACAGCATCATCCTCCCACCCCCCAAGATCGCCGACATCATCCAATTCCTCCCCTCCGAATTCAGCACCCTCACCCTCGCCCTCACCAAGACCGGCCTGCTCGACAAGCTCAACACCACCACCCCCCACACCGGCACCACCCTCTTCGCCCCCTCAAACTGGGCCTTCACCAAGCTCGGCCCCCGCATCAACGCCTTCCTCTTCAGCAAATACGGCGAGAAATACCTCGCCGCCCTGCTCGAGTACCACGTCGCGCCCAACAACACCCTCTACTCCGACGCCTTCTACCGCGCCAAAATGGACAAGAAATCCGACCTCGTCTTCCCCTTCTCCGCCCTCGACCCCACCGCCTTCCACGTCGACCTGCCCACCCTGCTCGAGGACCGCAGTCTGAGCGTCGACGTGGGCAAGTACGGCCCGTTTACCGAGATCAAGATTAATGGCTTCTCGCGCGTGACGGTCAAGGATGGCGTTGCGAGGGACGGCGTCATTCAGGTTGTGGGTAATGTGCTTGTGCCGCCGCGGAAGTTGGGCGGTGGGCAGGTGCAGTTTTGGGCTGGCGAGGAGATGGGTGTGGAGGAGTTTAGGGAGCGGTTGGAGCCGTTTGTTGGGCGTGAGGGCGGGCATGGGGAGATGTGAGGTGGTTTGGTTTGGAGATTGGGGATTGGGGGGTTGGCAAATGTGGTGTTGTTGTTGTTGTTGTGATGTAGTTGGAACGTACAGCGTACGGAGGTTTCTTTGGGCATGTAAATTGTATAACGCTCAGATTTATCACTCTTTGCATGTCGCGATGCGCTCGTTAGCCATGTATACTTTGATGCCCCATTTACATCCTCCACATCAGCAGCATTCTCTACCCTCTGTGCAACAATAACCAAAATACAAACCACTTCCTTCCCATCCCCACGCCAGCCATCTCCCACCGTCCAACGCGTACCCCTACACGCAATCCTCTAGGATAGCATAGCATTTCAACCTCGCATAGCCCCGTATAAACGCGGTAGTACCCGCATGTGTTACCCATGCAGTGGGGTGATACTGCTGAGACGGCGTTGTGAATGAATGATGCAGCTATGTGGGTTTGTCCTGGGGAGGTAGGTCTGCATTGTTTGTGTTTATGTTCATTTAGTGGCAGATGGATTGGGGGTCTGGGGAGGGGTAGTGGTGGGAGGGTAGGAGTCACCACGTACACATACACTTGACACGTACATATAGTACACACGTACACATATATACTCGACGTATTATTGATGTGTCGTTGTCAGTCTTTTACCATTACCTGTTATTCATTACCTGTTATTCATTACCTGTTATTCATTACCCATTATCCATTAGGACCATTGCCAGTACCATTACCAACCCCGCCGTCTCCCGCGAGGTCCTGACTGACCCCGCCAACGAATTTGTGTGTATGGACATGATTGGTATACACGTATACACACTAGATTACCGTAGCCAGTCTTCCATCCACCCATCTATCAATCTATCAACCCATCCACCCATCATTATATAACAACCCCCCCTCCCTTCCAATCCAACGCCCCAGTCCTCACAACTCACGACTCCTCAGCCTCGCCGACCCACCATCCTGCACACGATTAAAATCGCCCATGCCATCCTGCGTCGTAAAATCGCTAATATCGCTCAGCGAGCCCACCCGGCCCAGCATAACCTCCAGCACCCGGTACGCCGCACCAGGGGTAAAGCCGGGCAATTCATGGCCAGCAAGCTGGGTGCGGTAAAACGTCAGGCCGCGCTCGTGGCCCCAGGTACCGAGGGTACCAGCACCTGCGAGGGCACCGCCGTCGGGATCAGGGTGGTAGGGGGAGTACAGCGGGGTGTTTGGAAACTGCTGGAGCCCTTGGAGGCCGTGCCAGGTCATGTTCTGGATGGCGAGCAGGGTGCCGTTTGTGTTGAGGAGGAAGTCGAGGTCGCCGGAGCCGATGAAGGTGTTGTTTGTGTGTTCGATGACGCGGGCGAGGACGCCGTTGTTTGCGGGGCCGACGGAGGTGTCGGTGAGGTTCTTGTTGTTTGTGGGCCCGCCGAAGACGTTGACGGTTGCGGTGCATTGCTGCCAGTTTGTGCCGATGGGGGCGTTGAGCGCGGCCTGGACGTCGGTGCGGTTGAAGTAGCTGACTGCGTTGGGCGGGTTGTAGTCGCCTGCGTTGACGATGCCGAGCTGGGAGTAGGGGTGCGGGCATGTTTCGCTGGAGGGGGGGGGAGGTTAGAGGGTTGACGGGGTGGTATAGTGTAGGGGTTGCGGACTTACGTGATGTGGTAGATGTTGAAGCAGGGGTTGACGGCGAGGGCGGCGGTGTAGATGGTGTCGAAGGTGTCGCAGTTGAGGGTTTCGTTGTCCAGTTGCGCGGGTAGCACGAAGGCTTCCTGCGGCGGGGGAAATCTGAAGTACTTGTCCATGTACTCGGCGAAGCCGCAAACCTCATGCTGTTCGTGGATCCCTTGTTTGTGCGTTTCATTTAGGAAGAAAATCTTGTCCCAGTAGTCTGCGTACGGAACAGCGACGACCACCTCTTGCGCGGCAAAGTCGCCGATGATGGGGTCGTTGATTGCTATGCCCTTCAGGTTGTAGTAGTCTGTGTCGTTTGCGGTGATGAACGCATCGGCAATGTATGGGACGTAGAAGCCGCCGTAGGATTCGCCAGTCAGGTACACCTTGTTGCCGTGCGCGTTGAACGTGTCGACAAACTGCTTGTAGAAGCCGATGAACTCGAGGCCAAGCTCAACCTCATTCGTGATGTTCGGAACGCCCTGCGTGAAGCCGACGCCGACGGGCTGCTCGACCCACATGACGTTTGTCAGGTTCGTCCAGGAGTAAGGATTCTCGACCGGAGCCAGCGTGCCGGCCTGCCACGTAAACTTACCATTCTCCGTCAGGAAGCCGGACAGACTGCTGCAGCCCGGACCGCCGTTGAACCAGATCGTGATCTCCTTGCTCGCGGCTGGATTCTCGGAGGGGAAGAACCAGAAGAACAACTTGCGGGTCTCGTACGGGTCGTCAGAGATGGGCAGGAGACCAGCATAGCTCTCGCCGATGTCGAAAGGAATGTCGGGGAAACCGGTGCTATTAACGACGAAATCTGGGTGATTATCATTAGCAGGCACATTCTCTCACGTGCCGAACTGAAGTAGCTCACGCTGGGCTCTGTCGGTGGCATAGGGAGAAGGCTTCCTCTCATTGCTGCTGCGTTTCACGAGGGGAGTTTTCTCCTCGATTGTTCGTGGTTTGGGACCGTACTTGTCCATTCGCTTCCTGAACTGGTCGGCATGGTTCTTCAAAGGCGTGGTAGCCAGCACAGCACTCGACGCGAGCAAGACCGACGACAGGGCTGCAAAGGAGAATCGCATCTTGACCCTAACCGAGCTGGAGTGAAAGCTGCTGGAGATCCGGATAGTTGCGGCAGCAAACAGCTACTACATATAAAGCACCCAGTCCTCGGCACGCGAGCATCCTGGTGAGAATCGTATGCTCTACCTGGGATTACTCGATGGTACTAGTTCCACAACAAACTAAGGACCAATTGCGCAGGACTGGCGACATAATAGTGACATAGTAGCTGGCACAATGCGTGGGTGCCCGGCCCCGATGCCGATATTCTAATTATCCATTTGCGAGCAAGCGTAGAATGCTGCTGCATGAGGCCGTTTCCTCCTGCTTGAAGTGAATTAGCGTAGTGCTTGTATCCGCCGTTGTAAAGCTTATCTACCCCCCAAGCGCCGTGATACAGCCGTTGGCGTCATTGTCTGGATATTGCAGTACAATGGCATACTATCAACATGTTACGCTCGTGCCTATTGACAGGCAGCAGGCCTCGAGAATATACCTCTACAAGACGTTGAGCACAGCGATCCCTTGTAGGACAGCCTACTCGGCTGACGTGGCTTGGAGCGTGTTGTACCACCTACACGTAGCTGCACAGACATAACATAGCTTGACAAAGAAGAGATCTGAGGGCTGGTGAGTGTCTTGCCGCCAGATTCCTTACCGAGATCACTCGATCTAAAATGTAGGCGTACATATAAAATTAAAGCCAGCCCGCTGGGATCCTGGACGGTCGTCGAGGGGCTCGTGGGACCGTTGATCAGGTGAGCACGCGAAAGCCTTTAATCCAACATTGAAACATCGTCACCTTGCTGCACCCATTAAACATCCTTCGTCAAGCAGCATTGGGTCAGCATAGGGATCCATCGCACTGCCACAGGGAGCTCTCGCACAGTCTCTCGCGCGCACAGAGAGCTCACAACGCTTCGGTTCCTTCCCGAGTGGGTCTTTATCGCAGATATCCCTCTTCCGCTTGGTGCTTCTCTGATCCGGGCTCAAATGGAAGGGCAGATTGCGGATCTCTCCCCACGTGCCCGCGCCGCTATGCAAACGGGGCAGATGTAAATCTCTTCGGACGCATACGCCAATGCGCTCAACGTAATTTCCAGAATCCTTCTGAGCTAGAAGGAATGCACCGCGAAACAATCCATCGCGGGCATCGATGCCTTTGGTCTCCAGGTAGCCAAACTGGCTGAAGTGGTCGGCCATCAGCTGCTGGAAGACGCTGTCGGCTGCCTCGTTTGCGGATTCCACGTCGTCATGTTGACTGTGAGGCTCCTTTTGAGGTAGTTGCTGGCTCTTTGATCTGTACTGGTATCGCTCTACGATGAAGATCCTGGGTGGAGAAGACGTGGAAGGAGTCATGGTAGAGACTTTCAGGATACGAGGAAGGAAGGGTGCGAAGAGCAACTGCAGCAGTGTTGACACGAGGTGCTGGTCAACATCAGGCAATTAGTCGCCTAGAGCGATATGACAGGTTTTATCAATTCGGATATTAGTTGTCTACTGAGTGCGTGTGTTGGTGATGAAGTCTGCGTAAATAGACTACCTAGAGGCTGGAGAATGCTCAGACATCAGCCCCCCGGCCATCTAATTACCAGCCACGCCATTATTTCCCGAGAAGTTTAGCGTTTCGTGCAATTGTATGCCGAGCCAGTATTCTGGACAAGCCAACAATTAACCTGAGGGAAATACTGCTGCGGACAGGAATTGTCTATAATTAGGTCGAATCATCCTTCGGCATAGAGTCGATGTTTGTGTCGAGATAGCTTTACAAGGGTTAATTAATTACTCGGTCAAGGCACTTGGTAAAGCACAGACCGCCTGAGCATACTTGACCTAAACTGTTGATCTGCCGACATAGAATAGTACAAACCTTAACGATACAGCCGTCGTGTACAATACCAGCCTCTATGTTAACTTGTATGTAGCACTCCCATGCACCAAATCCTCCAGACTGGATTTTAACATTACCATTCTACACCAAGATACTTTGTCGATATGTTATATTGAGGATCCCGTATTCTCGCATCCATACTCTCTCAGACCACTCGGATCAAGACGCCTACCTGCGCATGTTGTCCTACATCAGTACTCAATCTCTCCCATCCAAGTACACCCGCCTCGCAACCACGGCGCGGCTCGGAACCTGCCCATCCGAGCAGCGAAATCCATGTATCGTCTACAAACACGTTTAATCCCCAATTGTAATTGGCATGCCAGCAATTGGTGCAAACAGCAAACACACTTGGTGAGCTTTTGCATGGATCATGGTGACTGAGAGTTGCATAATGGCTAGGTACGTAGACATTCGAGTCTAAGGTCTCCGAGCCTTGAGTTTGGCGTGCGACAGTGATGAGATTGTTCTACAAGGATGCTTAGTGCGTATGTACATATTGCGTTTGTATGCAGTAATGGTTCGATCCGATGGCGTTGTTCGAGTAACAGCCAGGATGTGCCACGCGGGAAGAACGGGAATGAGTTCTCTCTGTCGACTTGTCTAGTTAGCTAGGCAGGATGACAGTGATGCGGATCTGGCCGGGTCTTCATAGTAGCATATTTTGACGCCCAATGGACATATGCATAAGGCGCATGTTACGAGGACGCAGTTTATGCTGCATCACGGTTCGTGTTCCGCAATCGATTCTGTTGACAATGTCTGTCGTAGAGGGCCGTCGCGGCTCACAGGCATGGCTGCTGCATCACGAGCGGATGTAGATCGTGTCTTCCGAGTAAATATTTCGTCGGATGATACCAAGGTAAACATAACAATCTAGCCGCGGGTGTGAATTCTGGCCCGAATGCTAATGCGTAAGCAGCGACTTCAATCAGAGCTCTGGATTGCACGCCGAGCACTACAGAAAACCTGGACGAGCATGATAAGACAAGATCGACTCGACGAAGCTCGTCAATCTTTGCAATTCAAAGATACGAGCTGCATATTGTTACAGAGCCGTGCAACGTTGACGTTACAGAGCTCGTGGGGCTTAGGAGAACAGATTGGCAAACGAGGTCGGTGAAACCATGTAGATCTGGCGGGGGACACCTATGAGGTGAAGATCGACAATGGGACTGCAATTTGTAAGTTCGATATGGAAGAGCATGCGACAGGAAGTGTTCATCTAGAGTCGAAATTGACCTGATTGGGATGTTTGGATGTAGACTTGCGGAGCCATCTCCGCTTGGAACGTCGTATTGGGCACCATGGGGTATATCGATGCGAATGAAGAACTGTCTGTGCTGGGGATGTGGCTGGGCATTGTAGGACGATCAACGACCATTGATAAGGGGCGCTGGGTGCATAAGGCCTGCCAAGACGGAAGACGGGAACGTTTGGAGAGAGAAAAAGAGGGATGGAGATGGATAGGAGCAGAGCGCAACGTGTGTTAGCAGATCCTGTTGGGTTGGAGATGTGGGAACCGAGGGGGGCGCCACAGGATATATGGATGATGACGATCCCAGGACCCTGGCGTATTGTAAGGGCCGGGATGATCATATCGATGACGGATTCGGCAGGGATACTCAAACATGTATTATCAACTCCAAGACATAGGACTTGTGGAGTGAGAAGCACAAGCACGCACCGTGATAGCCTATGTGCATGGTCTAGTGCGAGACTTTGCTAGAACAGACTGCATCGGAGACGAACGACGATGAGCAGTAATGCTTGCAGATCGAGGCGACCAAGTCAATGATGGCACAAAGCGTGGCTTGAAAGGCGAGTTCCACCTCGCCTATCCGTAGTTAGTTCCTCGAATGAACTAGACGGCTAGATGGTGTCGTCAGTGACAACATGATTAGATGGAGTAGAACGGCAATGGATGTGTGGCGCTGCAAAACTCAGTACCCAACTTGTTTTCTCAGAACCACTACAGCCTGCTATAACGACGACATCTGTGCGTTGTCACCAGACTTGGATCTGTATTGCCCATCCATTCATCTGGTACTCTAGATATGTATAATTCATCGGGAGGAGGTCTAGGCCTCGGGTAAGCCCCGTCGTGCTATAGCCGACGAGTAATGTCACTGGAAATGCACTCGGTCGCCGCTTGGACTGATGGATAATAGACTGGACGACGTGGCAGGGCCCATGTTCAGCGGTAACTCCCTAGGTTCTATATGACTATGACCACTGTGTATTCATTCCTATGACGTCGTACAGAGAAAACAAAGCTTAGGGGGCATGGCCAGGGGCGAGAAGTATGCGATACATTGTAGGTCGTGGGCATCGGCATCGCCAGCCACAGTGGAGATCCAGTCTCAGCTATACCCGCCAAGTTCCTCAGTCTGCGCACCCAACACGTTGTCATTGGGGGAGAGCCCGTTCCTGATCGGCGTGTCTCGACCTCGTCGGCCTCTCTCGCCTTCTCGGCTCTCGCATCAGGTCGCATCCACTGGACGCATCACGCCTCGCGCATCTCATAAACACAAACTCACTTCATTCTGGTATCTACCCATACATTCCCCCCCCCGCATACCCACAACACACTGATCTCAACCTGTCTAGTTGCCAGTTGGTTATAGTCCCGGATCATCTAATCCATTATCATTCATTCCCCTTCTGCAGCAGTCTCCAATCACTTCGTGCCTGTGTGCTGCTGTCTTGCTCCCACTCCCTTTTTTCCCCCTTCATTTCATACTTGTACACCGTCATCCCGCCTTGTCATCCGTCTAATTGCTCTACCTACTTGTATTTTTTTCAAGATACCCCAGTTGTGCTTTCGATTGGTCGCCAAGACTCTTTGCATATCATTGCCCTTGCCTTGCCTCTATCTTTTCTCATTATATCGCTGTCCGCTTTCTCGCTTATCATTTCTGCGTACACACAGCGCCTGCATCTTCGTCTAATTTGGATCCTTGACAATGGCCACTGCCCCGAGGATTCTCGTCTATCTGCTCCGTCGCGACTTGCGCGTCTCTGATAATCCAGTCTTCCACGAGATATCACGCCTGTCATCACAAGCCTCGCCGCCATTCACGCACATCTTACCAGTCTATGTCTACTCTGCCAATCAGATCGAGGTTTCGGGGTTCTTGAGGTCGCGTGACTCCAAATCGCCGTATCCCGAGGCAAGAGCTCAAAATAGTGGCTTTTGGCGGACGGGCTATCATCGAGCGAAATTTGTGTCCCAGAGTGTTTGGGATGTGAAAGGCACGCTTGGCCAGCTTGGAAGTGGTTTGGTTATTCGTGTTGGCAAGTACGTGGATGTTGTTCGAGATATCCTGCAGCATTATTCAGATGGCGGCGAGAAGGGCGAGATCGTGGGAGTGTGGATGACGGAAGACACAGGTTCCGAAGAGAAGGCGCAAGAAAGAGCTGTGAGAAAAGAGACTGAGAAGCATGGAAAGGAATTCAAACTGTGGCTTGACGAGAAGTACTTTGTCGACCAGTAAGTCTATGTTTACGACTTTTTGCAGTCACGTGCTCTATCAAATTCGTCAATGCTGCCGCTTCATATGCTAATCATGACGACAGTCGCGATCTTCCTTTCGATATTTCGAATATTATAGACTTACCGGATGTGTACACGACCTTTCGAAAATCTGTCGAGCCTCTGCGGGAGCGACCTCGACCGACTCATCCACTACCTGAGAAGTTACCCCCTCTTCCAGCTTCAATTCCGTCGCAATTCGAGCCCTTTGCAATTCCAGATGGCGAAGAGGCTCTGCAAGAAGCCCTCCTCTCTCCTCTGATTTCCAAGCCAGACATTCCAAATCCGCCTTCTTGGCCATCAAATGTAGGGTCCGCTCACCCCTTTGCTGGTGGCGAGACCAAAGGCCAGAAACGCTTGCATCATCTCCTCAAGTCTGGCGCAGCATCTGCCTACAAGGACACTCGCAACGGACTTCTCGGTGAGGACTTTAGCACCAAGCTTTCGGCGTACCTCTCCATAGGTTGTCTTTCTGCACGCCAAGTGCATGCCGCCATGCTACAATTCGAAGATGGCACACCACCTGTACTCCCATTCTTTCCCTCTGAAGAAACTGACTGGCCATCCGTCCCCGGCTGGGCCGGAGGCGAAAACAAAGGCACAGCCGCCATCCGCTTCGAACTCCTCTGGCGCGACTACATGCGCCTATGTGCCCAAAAATTCAACACCGCACTCTTCACCATCCACGGCTTCCGCGGCTCCAAGCTCTCGCGCGCAAACGCAGAAGCCGGCGCCGATCTCCAGCCCTATTCAAACCCGCAAACCAAGAAAGAATGGCACTACCTCTCGCACAGCGGGCCCGGCAGCTCGCCAGAAATCACCCGCCGCAAGCTCATCCGCTTCATTCGCGGCGAGACAGGCATCGGCCTCATCGACGCCAGCCAGCGCGAACTCATCCACACGGGCTACACCTCCAACCGTGCCCGCCAGAATGTCGCCTCTTTCCTCTCCTCCCACCTCAATATCGACTGGCGGCTTGGCGCGGAATGGTACGAGGCCATGCTCGTCGACTACGACGTCGGCAGCAACTGGGGTAATTGGCAGTACGTCGCCGGCGTCGGCAACGACCCGCGCCTCGGCCGCGTCTTCAACCCGGTCAAGCAAGCCCTCGACTACGACGCCCGGGGCGAGTACGTGCGCGCCTGGGTCGACGAGCTGCGCGGCGTCGACATTGCTGCTGAACCAAGCCAATCGGCGAAAAACGGCACTCCCGCCAAGGACAAGACCGATGACGTCGATCCCGAGAAGCTCATGGGCGTGTACCAGGCGTGGCGGCTGCGTGACGCGGAGAAGGCACGGCTCGGGCTGGATAAGCTGGAGTGGGTGCAGCATCCGCTCACGCGGATTAACTTTAGTGTTGCCGGTAAGGGCCGATTTCCGGCCGGTCGTGGGGGTGGGAATAGGGGGGGCCGTGGGGGTGGTGGTGGGAGGGGAACGTGGAATGCGAGGGGACGGGGAGACAGGGGTCGGAGAAGGGGGAATATGGATAGGGCGAATTTGGCGGGTGGAGGTGGGACACAGGATGTTTTGCCGGAGAGCTGAGGTGGTGAATGGATGGTGGAGGCGGTAATTTGCATGGTTGGATTTCTGTATGATATGGATCTGGATGTAAGAGAGTTGGTAATGTCTAGGCGAGACGTGCTTGGTCACGTTATTGTTGTTGTTGTCAAGAGTATGAAGTGGTCACTGACAATCTACTGCTTTGTCTTCATGTGATGGCGTCAAGCAAGGTATACGACGACGAAGCACTTATATTGATTCAGATTACAAAACTGTTAGGGCTAGTGAGTCTATGAACATGCATAAGGCTACATGACACAGAAGGAGAAATATAATGCCAATCCATGTATGTACCCACATAACAACCTCCTCACCCCCTTACACTTTCCCCTCCCGTATCACATCCATTCACCCCCTATTTCCTCAGCACAGGTCTCTTCCTCTTCTCTTCCGCGTACGCCACCTCATACGCCTTCTTCACCTCACCCACCTCCTCCTCCTCTCCCTCAACCTCAACCACTCTTCCCTCATCCACAAGCCGCAGCCAGTCTCCATCCCCATGCTGACTCCCCGTGCCCAGACGATGCCAGACCAAAACCTCGATATACAATTTTGTTTCATCGTCCTTGGTACGATACCGGGGCAACTTGCGGTAGTGACGGTGCGTTCGGAATTCAGTCGGGCAAAAGGGGCATTTACGCAGCGAGCTAATAGAGTGACGGTTCTGTTTAGGAATGCGGAGGGTTGTGAGTGGGGTGGTGGAGTTGGGATCGCGACGGCCAACACGGACGTGCTTGCAGACGGCAAAGTCGAGATCGAGGACGGCGGTGCGGAGGTCGAAGTCGGTGTCGGCGCTCTGCTGGCCGAAGGCGTATCTGATGTGCAGGAGGACTTGTTTTTCGTCGATGGATTTGAAGGCGGTGACGTGGTGCGTCATGAGTATGTTGTCGCCTGGGAGGGGTCTGTCTTTCCTTTTGTTGCGGAGGAAGGGGAGGGATGGGTAGGGGCGCGTTTTGCTCGTTTTGTGTAGCCACGAAAGGGGGAGTGGGTGTGGGCAGGTCCAGCTTCCGGCGCATTCGAGTGTGTGGAGGCAGAGGCCGTGGTGCAGGACGAGGTGGACTTGGACGTATGAGAGAGGGAAGAGTGGAATGGGTAAGTCGAGGCCCATGGCGGCTAGGTGCTTGCAGGGGCTACAGAGTTGTGGGTTTGGTATGATGGTGTTGTTGCTGCTACTGCTGCTCCTGTTCCTAGGGACTATGCCGTGGTAGGAGGCGATACTGCGGCAGCATAACGATTCAAGAGTGATCTGCCGGCGACGGAGGTATAGATGCGAGTTGCAGTATACGAAATCCGCGCTGAGATCTCTGACCAAGATCTTCAGGAATTCCCGGCGATTGGCGTGGCTACCGGGGTATATTGTGTGGTAGATCGATCTCCGGGATACACGTTCTGTGTACCTTGTTCCGATCTGATATCGGAGGGCCTTGCTGCACAGTGAGAGACAGGCTATGGACACTATATCGAGAGAATCCGTGATAGACCGGAGGAGTTCCGTAGCCAGGAGCTCGATTGGAGCGCGGCTCAGGGGCTCGACTTTGTGCTGGTCGTCCTTTTCGGACCCTGTTCCGCTGTGATTTCGGGTTACGGGCCAGACAGCTTGGAATGGAATGCGGTCGGAGCCATGCTTGTTGCATATATCTGAAGTTGCGTGTTTACACGGAGGACCACGTTCGTATATGAACATACTGAAGCAAGGCTGGGTAGTCAAGACGTCAGGATGCCAGGTGAAGATTCACGAGTCTAGTAAGTGAGGGTACAGATCTAGCCGGCGTATAGTCGATCCTGTCAGGATTCTCCCGAAAATGCTGATGTTGTGAGTATCGTCTACTGTAGAGGTAGGTGTTTACTGCTTGGCTGCAGTGTGAAGAAGAGTTATCAAAATCCTCGCCGGTGCTCACGATGTCTTGGTGAAAGGCAAACATCATGTTTTTATTCTGGTTGGAGTAATTATACTACTTGAGTGGTTTTTTAACTTCTTTAGCGGCGGTATGGAAGGACGCGGAACGATCTGATGTGGAAGATATCCATGGTACGGGCATACTGGTACGGTAAGGCCACAAGGCTTTGGTGGTCCAAGCTCCCTGCTGTCTCTCTCCACCACAGAAAAGTTTCTGGAGCTGCGTTGCAAAACCACAAAGTCTAAAATCGATCAGCAGGCGCAGACAGTTTCCTACGATGGCGGCAACATCTACAACTGCGAATGCCCCTTCAGCGCTGACATTTCCCCGTGAGATCTTCGCCGCGCTCCAGCCCCGCCAATACCTCCTCGCGCACCTCTCGCCGGCGTCAAAGTCACAAACCTCAGTCCGACCGAACGGCCGCAAACCCACAGAGTTTCGCAAGCTGAGTGTCAACACAGATTCCCTCACTCATTGCAATGGGAGTGCTGTAGTGCGTATGGGAAATACTGCTGTAGTGTGTGGAGTGCGCGGCGAAATCCTCTTGGCTCGCGATGTGCCCAACCCGCCGACCATCTCTACCAACGACGAAGACAACGATAGAGACGAACTCGCACGTCTCGGCCTATTGGTTCCAAATGTAGAACTTTCCACGGGGAGCAATCCCTCCCATATACCCGGCCAAGCGCCATCTGGCCTGGCCCAGTCGCTGGCATCTCGACTTCTCCAGTTACTGTCCACAACCGGTTTGGTAGCTTCAAAGGACCTGAGAATCTGGTATCAGCCCATAATTGAACAAGAACCGGAGGTAGGGTCTGAGCCGGAAATAATAGCGTATTGGACCTTGTACTTGGACATACTGTACATCAGCCTAGATGGTGCGGCGCTGGACGCGGCGTGGCTGGCGATGCTCGCTGCGCTGCGCTCTGTCAAGCTCCCCAAAGCGTGGTGGGATCCCGACATGGAAGCCATCATATGCTCTGATTCAATTGCTGATGCGAAAGCGCTGAGTCTACGTGGTCTACCGATTCCTGCAGGCTTTGCAGTCTTTGACGAGACACCGGAAGGCGTTGAAGACACCACGCAAGAGAAAGGCTGGATACTGGCAGACCCGGATCAATTTGAAGAAGAGCACTGTCGAGAGCATATCTCAGTCGTCGTAGATATGTCCGGTGATGCAGCCAATTCGATACGAGCCATTGATAAGCGCGGAGGCAGTTTTGTTGACGTGGAGAAGATGAGGACAATCGTGGATCTTACACAACAGCGATGGAAAGAGTGTAAGGATGTATTAGATGCACAGTCTACCTGAATGCACGACGCGCACGGGTGTCATACAAACCAGATCCAGACTGTAGTGGTAAGCAACGCCTGGCCCCAGCTACATTCTCCCACCGACGCGTCTCGCACTTCCGGGCAAACAACTAGGAGAGTTCTCCAGGCGTACACTACTGCGCCGAGGAGGGCAGGACAAGCAACGTAAGCTGCATCACCGTGGGTCAGAATATCACATATAAGTGATAGCGGAATCTCGTTATACATGTAGAAGTCCGCCTTACAAAGTCCCCAAATACCATCTACAAGAAGAGTGGTGGATGATTATCATAGCAGATGCGAACAAAAACAAGACCTCCTTGCCAGATCTCACGTTCCACGCATCCTGTGACGAAACCGTACAACATGTCTCACCACAAAGCCAGGGTTTGTATGGATAAGAGTTAGATACCCTTGCGTCCCGCAGATCTCCTCCCAAAAGCAAGATCTTCATACCATGACGTCAGCAAGCCCAATCCTACCTCCCATCATCAATATAACAAACAAACCCGCAAATGATCTGCCCAACTCCCCATAACACCTTGATCCAAAAGCCTCAAAATCCACACCTTCTACCAAATCCCAAAGCAAAATTCACCATTAAGCCAACAACATAATGACAGGCCCAGCAAGCAACGACTCCGGCATCTCCTCCGGCTTCAAATTCGTCACCTCGACCGTTGGGAACACCGTCGGCGGCGTCACGAACACGCTTGGTGGTGTCGTCGGTGCGGCTGGGAGGGGTGTGGCGGAGGTTGTTGAGGTAGGTTATCTCCCTGTCACCTTGCCAGCTCATGGAACGTTGTATGGAATGAGGAGGCTTTGGGGGTCTTTCTGTTGGGTATGTGCTGATGGGATTATAGGGCGCGACTGGAGATACGGGGAAGCCGTTGGCGAGGGGTGTGGCGGATGTGGCGAATGGGATTCAGGATGGGAGTGCGAGTGTTGCGAAGGGGGTGAAGGATGCTGGGCAGGGGAAGTGAGGAGGAGTGGACTGGTGGATCTGTGGATATGATGATTATTTTGTTTGTGCAAACTGTTGTCTGGGTTGAGTGAGGGCCGTAGTGATGTGTTGGTGAGATGTTCTAGCGGAGTGGTAAGGTTTTGTTCTTATCTATCTCGTGTACTCATGATAATTGAGTAGATCTACATCATGACAACTACGCCTGGTATTCACCCAAGGATCAAATCGATCATCTCCAGATCTTGTGCCTCCCATATCTGCGCCACAACTCTGCCAATCCCTCTCCGATATGCAATTCCATTTTCCCAATCAATGCGAAGAACCCAGTAAAACTCGTACCATTTACCTCTTATAGGTCTTGCCTTCTGGCGCCACTCCGGCCAAACTAACTTGTCACTCATGCTAAAGTAAGGATACTTCTCTTTTCTAACCCCCTTCGCAATCTGGACTAGCTCTATAATCTCACCGTCTTCGAGCTTACGAGAGTTAGAAGCGTCAATTGCACGATCGATGAATGCACCTGCCCATCCCCCTTCTCGATCGAGTATCGAAGCGTCGCCCGAGCTCAGTACATACCCTTTATACATGTAAGCCCGATTGGTTCGACAGCGGATCTCTCGTGCCATGACATTGCTTTCTTGCACTCTGCCTTCCTCAGGACCGGATATTGGAAAATAGCAATTCATGCGTGGGAAGTTGTCATGTCGATAAAAGTATCGTGGTAGATGCTCTATATTTTGGTAAAACCAAGGAATCTCTTCAAGTGTATCCTCCGCTACGATTCTTTGCCATCCCGGTGGAGGCTCTTTTGAGGATGATTCGTAATATTGGTCGTGACTTTCTAGCCAACGACATGGTATGGTATTCCATTCACCTGTGTTAGTTCGGTATGACCACGTTTGAGTGGCGGTGACTCTTTCGAGAAACATGCTCGTATATATACTGTATCTGTCGGGGCCACGGGGACTTGCTATGCGCAGCAATGCTTGAAAAGTGATCTCACCCTTCCACCCGGCCCAGCTCCAGCTTGGTAAGAAGCAATTTGAGTAAGAGCCTGCGTCAGGTTGTCTTCGCGTGATATCAGCTAATGATGTCCAGAGCAGAGCGATGTCAAAGAAATCTTTTGGAAGTCCTGATATGAATCCTCCTGGAAAGGAAGCGCGCATCGAATTCAGTAGGCCAGCACAAGCATACAAAGCGTCTTGTGCAAATGTAAGTTGCCGTGTGTTGTAGACGTTGATCAGTGATTGAAGGTTGACGGTATTCGGTTCGTTGCGACTTATCATGGAATGGAGATTTTCCCATGAATTATCTTCTCGTTCAACTCCTATCACAATCTCCCTAGGCTTAATTTGGATCGATGCTTTGTCAGGAATATCCTCGTATCGACAACCCAGACATTCGCACTCCCAGTAGACTGTTTCGTCGACAAATACTAATCGCGCACGAGAGAATACGTCTTCCTGCATTGTCCACCCTCTGGCGGCCCATTTTGATGGCTCGGAAGAGTATTTTCTACAAGGTGGATATGTGAATCTGTGGGCACCTATGATATATCTCTCCTGATTCAATTTCCTCGGTCCAGTGATGCCTCGCAATCCTTTGATCCCACAACGGTCACCGACAGTATGAGCTGCAATGATGGTGAAGGCCGCGTTTTCGTAGATACTGGTCATAGATTGTATTTCTATCCGTTTGTGTTTATCATCATCCTGAAAGATGCATAATTGGTCGACCCAGATGTATTTCTTTCCTAGTAATTTGACTAGCTCGATTGCGAAACGAATGGTAGGGGCCAACTGTTCGTAATTGGCATCCAGAGCAAACGGCGTTCTCAGGCGCGCCAAATCCTTTGCAGTGGCCATGAAATTTTGCGAGCGATCCCATGTATAGCTGAGTGCTACATAGCTCTGATGATCAGCTGGTACTAGGCACCGATTATTAACATCGACTAGCCACCTAGTCTGTCCCTCAGCGGAGTTGTCCATCTTCGTGTGAGAGTGATATACTTGTCTGACTTTCGTCCAGCATGTACATGATACTTCCCAAGACTGAAGTATCAGCGGGTCAATCCATTGCGCATTGAGTTGTTGATCGTAAATGCTCTGGAGTTTAGATAGCGGCCGGGGCCATAGCTCGGTCTTCAGACCATAAACGTTCCCAACTTCTACAAATCCGACTCTTGCCTCTGCATCTGTGTACTGGGCGTTCTCGTCGACTCGGAGCCCGAGACTGAGATCAACCACCTCATCTGGATTTCGCGAAACAGAATTTTCGAGGATTGCGCGCAGAAGCGTCCGATGTACACAACATCTTGAAACCTGACGAAGATTCTCTATCGTTGCCCATTCCCGGGATATAGGTTCGCGAATTATTTTTTGTGTCTCGAAATCGGACACTGCTTGAAATACAACTGAAAGTTTCCTGCAGAGCTCGCATGCCTCGTCGCTCTGAACTACGTTGGATGTTAAGTCAAGAAATGAAGCAGACAACTCCTCATTGATGCTTCCCCCCAAATTTGAATCCATTTCTACCCAATGTGAATGCCCTGTCTAGACGCCTCTGTAGGGGGGGTTTCGAGATCATTAGTACGTTGTGTCGCCCGCAGCTGGCTGTGTCAAGATGTAGATCGTAGTAGGTATTATTCACAAAATGTGATAGTGCGAGCTGCTAAACCTACTAAGGCATTGGCCTAGTCTAAAGAAAGTCGACATAGAGTAGATCCTATGTAAATAATATTGATTCTTTAACTCCACTTCATGATTGTAACAAAATTTCAATTTAATGGATTTATTATCAAACTTTCTGGTAGAGGCCTCTGGTCGAAGCCCTTGCCGGATGCTAGAATATTAAAAGGCTGTTGACCTATTGACATTAATTAGTATAAGCTAAAGAGCTGGCCGTTTTAAGCTAGGCCGGGGGCATCTAAGAGCGACAACAGCAGCTAATTAGTCCTCTTCTTCATAAGAACCCTTGACTTTTCAGCCTCACAATGCACTGCTCAGCTCATTCCCCCACACACATGACCAAGCACTACATTACTAAGCCTCGTTGCTTTCATGCATTGAGACTCTCTGTTGTTAGCATGTTTCAAGTTTTCAAGAGGATGTCGCATGAAATCGACTGATAGTTCGAAGTAAGACCCAGAAATGGCTCTCTGCAATGTCTGCACCACTGCGATCGAGAGATGGCTAGTATCCCGCGCAATAACAATGTATACGGATGAATACCCGAATTCAACTGAGCCGATACATTGGTGGCATCAGCCGACATGGGACGCGCTCGAGATGGCGGCTAAGACATGCCATCTTTGCAGTTTTATCTCGAGCGAAGCTGCTATACACGTTGAGGAAAATCGATATGGCTACGTCACCAGCATTGCAAAAGATGTCAGAGATGAAGACAGTCGAAAGCTGCGATGGCAGTTGTTCAACGGTAATAGGTTGGAGATTTTCTGCAAGGAGAGAATGATGAAACTGAAGATGCACCTAGCACTTGACGATGGTAATGATGCCTGTATTCGATTCTTTTTTGACTAATAAAGAGCAGACTCCTATGCTAGAGCACCAGAAACCCTACAGAAAGTGTTCAACGTAAGACTCGTGTCCTCTGCTGTCGATGACGAGAGGAATGTCTCTATCACCAAACAATGGATCGATACATGCCGTACGAGACATACAAAGTGCAATTCATGGACCGACCGAGACAGCAGTACTCGGCACCTCCCAACGAGAGTGATAGATGTAAATAGTGAAGGCGACAAGGAAGTCCGTTTGCACATCACAGATGAAAGTGACAAGTCACACTATATCGCCCTGAGCTACTGCTGGGGCAAACCAGTAAATCCATTTCTGACCACAGCCGAGACAATTGAGCGGCATAGGGCTGGAATAAAGGTGAGTTCGATGCCAAAAACATACCAGGACGCTATCCACCTCACACGAAAGCTCGGTATCCGCTACATTTGGATCGACGCCCTATGCATCGTACAACACGATCGCGCAGACTGGGCCCGCGAAGCAGCAACCATGCACAGAGTCTACAGTCGCGCCATCCTAACTCTCGCTGGCCACTCTGCCTCCGATACATCGAGCGGTCTCATCGTCTCCCGCCCACCTCGTGACCGAGCCCGCATCCCCATCCCCTGGCCCTTCACCACTGGTCCATATGTCGTATCGCCTCCTTTTAAACTATTCATGGTGCCCGCGTACCCCGATTTCAAGCCCACTCTCCAATCCAGCCCCCTCTCCGCCCGTGGTTGGACATTCCAAGAACGTGCCCTCTCCGCGCGCTTCCTACACCTTACGCCTTCTCTCGCTCATTTTGAATGCCGTGAAGCATACACTAGCGAAGCTCTCATGCGCATGGAACCTAATGTTCCATTCGGCTTCGCACATCTGAATATTGCATACCCAGATCGCACGAAAGTGCTCATGCATGACAGCTGGGCAGAGACCATCGAGGCCTTCAGTAAGCGCAGCTTGACCGTCGACGGAGATAGACTACCCGCGCTCGCCGGCGTAGCACGTGTTTTCGCGGATAACGGGATGCTCGGTGGGTATCTTGCAGGTATTTGGGGAGATGAATTCTTGAGGGGGCTGTTGTGGCAGGTCCAGCGGCGTAATGGGGGAGCCAAGCATCGTCGGGCAAGTGAGTATCGGGCTCCAAGCTGGTCTTGGGCGAGTATCGAAGGGCCCGTGGAGAACTCGACACTGCAGAGAGCGTTTGAGGGGACGCGGATGCTGGAGGAGCTGGGCTATGACCGACGGCATGTGCAGCAATTACTTCAATTGACGGCAAGCGTAACAATGGACGACGCGGACATATTCGGGATTGTCGAGAAGGCGCACATCAGTGCGCGAGGGGCACTTTTGAAGGCAGTCTGTAAGCTTAGGAGGGAAGAAGAGATGAAGGGTATGCGGTCAATAGACAGCCCTGAGGCGGGAGACCCTATCGGTGCCGCGTGGATGGACGTGGAGGATGAGACGAACGACACCGTGGACGCATGGATCTGCCCAGTATTGACGTGCAAACAAACACGGCAGCATCCTCTCCTCCAAGCTGAAGTGCTCATACTCACCGAAGTAGCACCAGATTGCAACCACGGCTTCAGTGGGAGAGTGTTCGAGCGAATTGGCAAAGGTAGAGTTGCCGGATTCTGGGTTGAAGGATCCAAGCCTGAGGAATTCACGATTATCTAGGTGTCACGGGCTGATTATGCTCCTTGTTTCCATCGTTCCCACGACTGAATCACGAGCTTGATCGCCACATCTTTTCCTAAAGCTCAGTCAAAGCAATCGGCAACTCCCGGACCTCACCTCCTGAGATACGCGCCGTCTTTTTCGAAAACATTATTCGCTTCGAAGTAAGCATCACGGAACGCCCAGATCAGACTAAGCTTCATCTCAGTACAGTGACAAGCAAGCCATGCCTCGAAAGATCACAGCAGTCCAAGCACCAATGCAGGTACAGCGGCTAGAGATTTCTGGAAATACAATAATAGGGGAACATGCGATGTCTTCCCTGTCAACGAGATGGAGATTTCTGAGGGTGTATAACTCCACTGGTGGCAACCATGAGCCACCCATGTCGCAAAGAAACGAGGGTTAGCGCCTACGCATCTGCGTCATCCTGAGCAGAACCATTACCATGAGGGATGATCAGTACACCAACATAAGCACTACCGTAGATAGGTAGCCAGTAGTCTAGTGGATGTAACGACGATGAGATTGATACCTGGGTCTTAGGGCTGAGGCATGTCAAAATTTGAACGAGGCTACGGCGCTTAAACGTGTGACATAGAAAAGTTTTATCAGTAACTGATAACGATGAATAGTCAATGCACGATCCCCTGTGTGGCACAATGTTGACTCGCAGGCGTAGTCTCAAACGGACAAACCGTAAGCCGAACCATACCCTGCCCCACCAGAGCATACTACACACGTCTTAGGGAAGGGTGGCAAAAGAACTGCACCCGAGTCATGCAGACATCTGACAACTGATTCCTTGAACGCTTTGCAATTGGGCGGAAGCCAAAGGTCGCCGTCGAGAAAAGGCTCGGCAATTCGTCCCGAGCCCGGGAGCACGGCCCACTAAGGCGGTTTGCGGATCTACTAGGCTCTATACGGATAGTCAGCGCTTAAAATGAGATGGCGACGAGCCACTCACTGGCTACGATGAGGCTTCACGAGCTCTCAAGCTTGTCTGCTCCAGGAAGGTTAGGTATGTGAGACGGGAGTGGCTACTGTGTTCGTCTGCACTTCTGGCGTGCTGCGCTCCACCGGCTTGATTCGTGCATTCTCGCTGGCACGAGGTGGCTTAACTACCCATGTAGCTTGAGACGAGAAGATGCATGGCACTACATACTGGGCGTTCTATCATACACGGCGTTCTATGATGGCGTCGTATGAGCTCACAGGGGTAGTTCTTTATCATTCATTACGGATTGACAGCGGGGATCGGTCGTGCTTGGGCCAAATGATGGTCTGCAGTATGGTTAGAGGATAGATCAGCCACACCCAAAAATTTCCCGTCTGACCTGCCCGCTCCAGCTACCTATCGCGAGCTTTGGCACGGTCGTGTCCACGTTTCAACCACTGCTGGAGAATGCGCTGAAGAGGCACAAGTCTGGGTAAGGCATTTAATGTCGTCTCACGAACCTCCCCTCATTTGGCGGTGTGCATAGTGTGGTATAGGACACAGTGACAGCATCCCTGGTCATGCATGTTCGCCATTGATGATAGGGATGTCCGGTTAGGTCATCCAAGTCCATTGGCACGCTACTCGGTCACAATGGCAGCCATTTAAGGTGATATACAGGACCATCACTTCGGTCTACCAGGATACCGTTGACGGTTGGTCTGTGATTAATCGGACCCTTGCATGCAGCTTCTCCGCTTCCCGCACCGCAAGGAACATTATCACTCATCTGTCTCCGTTATCGTGAAGCATATTCGACTTTTCTTCCATATTGCATCTCTTGTCTGTCGTTGTCGAACTGTCTACTTTCCCCGTCATCAGGCTCTATGGATTGATTGGTTTGCAAGCTGCATCAACATCTGCGAAGACAACTGAAAAACCTAGAGGACTCATCTATACTTTCACAACGTCGCACAGGACTCCTGCTGTGGTAACGAAATCGCATGCCACGAACTTTTTCGCAATCATCTTCAGTCCTGAGTAAACTTTGTCAGGCCTAGCATAGCTCGGGCTGGCATAGTACATCCCACCGATGCACAGGACACGTTAATTCACGGCGTCAGAGCTAGCGGACACAGTCGGGGCCTGGAGCTTGCTACAAGAAAATTGCACATCTTAGTCGCGGCTTCATCTACGATATCACGCCATGCCTGTTCTACCAGAGGTCCTCAGTGCTCCAGAGAGCAGATTCCACGACCATGCGGAATCTGCAGCTGTCGTTGTGAGGGATGGACTTGCTGAGGCTGTACAAGGACTATCGAAGAGGCTCAACATACCCTCATCTTCTACAAGCCCAGCAGGTCTAGTAGAAGCGAATACAAGAGATCCCTGGAGTAAAAGTGGTAAATATGCCCTAGGATGGGTATACTTCTGCCTCATACTCCTGGTCTCCAGCGCGCTCGTGCGATTCTACAATCTGTTCACAGATAGGATACGAGCGGTTCTATACGAAGCAGAGGTGATTCACTCCGCAAAAACCATGTCTCCTGATACCGACTACGAAATGTCCGCTCTCGACACGGACAGGTCAACGAGAAAGTTCTTCCCTAGGGAGGGCCCATTGCCATCTGGTCCGAAGACTCAGTCTTCCATTTCTTCTGTTCGACCTATCCTTCTGATTATTGCACTTTTTCGATGGGTCTTCTACCGTCCGACTCCAGTCCTGACGATCAAGAAAGGCTGGAGACCCTTTGTTCTACCCTCTATGGCGACTGTAGCTATTGTTGGTGCGGCATTTGCGTTCACAATCTGCTATATATTCGTTCCTCAGCCATTATACTGGCAAAGTCTGGAATTTGGTGCTCCTCCAGTCACTGTACGATCCGGTATGCTTGCTGTGGCTCTGATGCCATGGATCGTTGGCTTGAGTATGAAAGCGAACATCATCTCAGTTCTTACTGGGATCGGACATGAGAGGCTGAACGTCTATCATCGTTGGGGCGGAATACTATGTTTGTTCCTTAGCTTGGTGCACACAGTTCCTTTCTATCTTGCTGGAATGCAAGACAGGCAATCGGAGGCAACCTACAAGGCTATGCTCAACCCAAGGGCTGACTTTTACATCTATGGAAGTGGTGAGTCGAGGCTTAGGAGAAACCATCCAGGTCTGAACTAACAATACTTAGGAATAGCTGCCCTAGTACCCCTTGGAATACTTTGCATTCATTCATTGCCACATATACGAGCACGCATGTACGAAGTCTTTGTCATAACGCATGTGCCAATCTCCATGGTGTTCCTTGGCATGCTCTTTTGGCACTGCAACAACTACCTTACTTCTTGGAACTATCTTTTTGCAACTCTAGGTATTTGGCTGTTCTCATACATGACGAGACTTTTATATCTCAATTGGACGAATCCATTCCATATGGCCTGGTTGATCGGTGATGAAGCAGCTGTGACTATTCTTCCAGAGAATGCGATCAAGGTCACTATCCCAACGCGCATGCGATGGAGACCTGGGCAGTATGTGTATCTGCGCATGCCCGGTGTCTCAGTCTTCGAGAACCACCCTTTTACGGTCGCCTCCCTATGCAGCGACGATTTCCCATCTGACTACGGTGAGGACTACAGAGACATGGTCCTTGTATTTAGGCCATTCAAGGGATTTACGCAAAGGGTGCTTATCAGTGCCCAAAAGCATGGCCCGTGGCACACGTACCGTGCGTTTCTCGATGGGCCTTACGGAGGTATGAACAGAAGAATGGAATCCTTTGATCACGTCGTCCTCATAGCTGGTGGTAGCGGTATCACTGCAGTCGCATCCCAACTTCTCAATCTGATCAAGCGCATGCGCGACGGCAAAGCCGTCACCAAATCTATACAGGTAATCTGGGCCCTTAAGCGCCCTGAAACTATGGAATGGTTCAAAGAAGAACTGCACATATGTCGCGAATTCGCACCGCCGGGTTCAGTCCAATGCCAATTCTTCATCACTACCGCAAAGCGTCAGCCCAAGACCGGCATGCTCGTATCTGCCCAAACACCCAACCGCCCGGTCTCTATGCACTTCCACGACAAAGTTAACCACGCATTTACCAGCATTGCAGACAAGCGTGCGTCTGTTATCTCTTCGAAACGCGTCTCTATGCACTCCGCTCTCATTGCAGACGAAGCAGGGTCCGACGCGGAACGTGAGCAGGAGCTGCGCCGCGAACGTGAAGACACTATCACTGCCCTTCCGCAAGCCCATCTTCTACATGTAAATCGCTCAAACTCAGGCACTCACCTTCAAGCTCCCATTGCCGTACGCTCCATCGCCGAAAAGCGACGCTCGCGCAATCTCTCTCTGGATATTGCCCAAGCCGTCTCCGCTGGTTCCGAGGTCCTCGACCCGGCCGCCTCCCAGTCCCCGCATCACTTCGATTTTGGATTTCCAAACACGCCCACCGAATTCCAGAAGAACTTAATGCGATTCGCGTTTCTGCCTGCAGCCGTTAAGAAGAAAGATGGGTGGAGCAAAGAGTACGGACGGCCAGATATCCCATTCATGCTAAGGGGCTTTAGCAAGAGCTTCGGACGGCGCACGTGCGTGTTTGTGTGTGGGCCACCGGGCATGCGGACTGACGTACAGAGAACAGTGGCTGATCTACAGCGTGATGTGCTTGGGGATGCAGACAAAGACGAGATATTCCTGCATGCGGAGAATTATGCTATATGATGGAAATGGGAGGTTAAGGGAGGAATTTTGCATTTAGCAGTGGTGTTTTTGGGAGTCTTCGAATGTCATGGAGTTTGATACCATTTATATGCTCCTCTCCTCTTACGACAAGGTAACACGGGCATACCTATCTCTTTTCATGACTGCATTACGCTTTCGCGACCAGATGCGCTTTGTAATCGCGCGTATCAATGCGATTTGAGTAACTATCTACGCTCCCTCAAAGCTAGAGTACAATTTACATTCTACTCGCTAATGATCTCTCTCGTTGACCTGCTCTCGCTACATTCAAAACTGTCATTGAATAATGTAAAACTTATCAAATCCCCTTCACTGGATATCTTTATGTACCTGCTCAATTCGTGAGGTTGATAGACGATGCTGACAAGCTAATCCCACGCTTCATCAGACTCTGACAAAAGGCACGAAGGACCGGAAATACACTTTCATACATGCACTGCGCCCAGATCGACAGCCCAACTATGGTTACCTCTTCTAAGTTCATATGATCCCTAAAGCCCAGGTGAACAAAGAAGTAATCTGGCTCGACTCGTCTCATATCATCCGCAGATATGGTGGAGATGAGGTTGTAGATGCTCCATCTAAAAGGGCAAGGCTGAAATGCAGCTAAGTCCCCAGACTAGGGCTCAGATATAGCAGGAATTTCAAATCTGAAAGTGAGACTACAATCTGAGTGATGTTATAGAAATTATAGGTATGCACAGAGACAAGGAGGCTCTTGTATGGACTGACCCTATCGTCTTAGCAAGACAAGCAGTATATCTACTACAAGAATACGGAGACATATTACATCATCGATCTTCACCAGGCGCGGGTCTACATTCGAATCCAGAATCCATACTGCTAGAAAATTCTCAAAGCTTCGCCCCATCAACTCTCTTTGCGAGTGCCCTCAAGTCCTTCCTCAGGATCTTCCCCGACGGACTCTTCGGTATCACGTCCACGAATACTACACCACCCCTCAATTGCTTATGGCCAGCGACCTTAGTTGCCACCCAGTCTTTGATGTCCATTTCACTAATGGCGGAATTATCTGCAACGACATAGGCTCGCGGGAGTTCATTTGTGCCGTCCTCAGTGGTGATACCGATAACGGCGGCGTCAGCGATAAGCGGATGCGTGAGGAGCAAGGCTTCGAGCTCAGCGGGGGCGACTTGGAGGCCTTTGTATTTTATGAGTTCCTGGGCAGCATTAGTCAAGAGCTAATTGCCCGTTTGAGTGAAAGATATAAGAGATAAATAGGGTGATGGAAGGGGAAGCTGGGTGGTACCTTCATGCGATCAACGCAGTAGAAAAGCCCGTTGGCGAAGTAGCCGATGTCACCAGTGCGGAACCAGCCATCAGTGTATGCGTCAGCATTTGCATCAGCATTACTGTAGTAGCCCTTCGTCACGACCGGGCCTTTAACCCAGAGCTCACCGCGCTCGCCGACGGGTACATCTTTCTCGGTTTCGTCGACAACTCTAAGCATGGTTAACAAGGTATGCTGGAGAAATGAGGGAGAGGAATAGAAGATGGGCCCACCTCGCATAGCAGTTCGGCACCAAGCTACTCACGCTGCCTGTATCATCATTCAAACCATACGGCATAGCCGTGATACTCCCCGTAGTCTCACTTAACCCCCATGTTTGACTCACAAACGTTTTCCCTTTCCCTAACTTCGCACTAGCTGCATACTGTAACTCTTTGCCCAGGGGCGCCGCTCCACTAACTGCGTGCTCCAATGTATCAAAATGATCCTTGACCAGAGGGCTTTTGGCAATGAGTAGATAGATAGGTGGTACAGTGAAGAAGAACGTGATCCTATATTTCTTGTTGTACTCAAGAAACTCGGGGAAAGAAAACTTGGACATCCAATATGTCGTTCCGTTCATATAAAAAGGGTTAATGAAGTACCCCTGAATGCCCGCAATATGAGCAATGGGCAAATGGGCCAGAGTGCGATACTGGAAGTTCTCCTTGCCGACTATCTTGTAGCGCTTCTTCGTGAGTTCGAGAGTTACGACGGCTTCCGAGACAAGATTGGTGTGCGAGAGACACACGCCTTTGGGCAGGCCTGTGGTGCCGCTCGAATAAATTAGCACAATCAAGCTCTCCTCGAGTGTCTTCAGATCTGTGATGCGCTGCCAATCGAGCTCCTGTGTGGTGATAAGATTCTGCTCGTGTCCGAGCTTGCGAACACTCCATGTGGCACCCTCGCTGATGACACATACTGAGTCGTACGGTAGATCGGCTTCACCGGCGGCTTGAATGGTGAGATCTTTGGTGGCTTCGTTGCAGATGATGCATTTGCTTCCTGCGGTGGAGATAAGGCGGGCGAGTTCGGATGTGGTGCTTGCAGGGCTGACAGCAGAGAACACGCCACCGGCGGCGATTATACCGTAGAAGAGGAGTGGGACGAATTGGCTGCCGGTTGAGACTACTGTGACAATGTCTTTGTTAGGTCCGTTCGCACCAATGCCGTAGGTGCTGCGGAGCATGTGAGCAGTTCGACGGGTTTGTGTTCTCAATTCGGCTTTGGTTAACGCGATAGATGGATTGGCAGCAGATGCATGTATGACAGTGTCTTCTTGAGAATCGGTGCATTTCGAGTCTAGAGAGATCAGCAATCACACATCTTGATGGGCATCGGATTTGCGGAGTATACTTGCCAAATAGAAGGGACAATAAGTCCAATCGGGGAATATCGAATGTCTCCGCCGGATGGTAAATTGTACCGCTGGCCGTGGTATGCGCTGTACTCGCCATATTGATCGAACACCCGAAAGGACTTGATATGGAACAAGCCTTTCTTGCTTTATGAGCAGTGGCAGTCACTTGAGAATGAAGCAAGCTTCAAGTTCAAGAAACAGCCCAAATATAGTAATTAACTTCTAAGGTGACGTTTCCGACTAGGACGGCTGGCGATGCGTAGCCGCGGATTAGCGTGCACCTATGCAGCGGATTCTGGGGTACTTGACCGAGGTCAATACCATCCCCGCTTCTGGATTAGAGCATATCAGACAGGGCAGCAATTGGCTCGCTTCGCTGAGAGTCCTTATAATATATGTTATCTTTCACTAGTTTCAAGTATCTTACTAGCCGGCTGCTCTATCAACATAAAGAATGTTAACAGCTCACGAAATAAGTATAGCCCGGGCCTTCTTTCAGGCTATATTCAGACATTATGTCTGCCTAAGGCATATGTTCCAAGGCTTATGCCTTAGGCAGAGATAATACCTAAATGTAGCCTAACATAAGTACTGAATAAAAGATAGGTGTATAAGGGATAGGTAAAGTCGACGAATATTAAAAACAGCCCTTAAAGACTCATCGGTAGAATGAGAAGGAAGACCTGGGTTAGGATATTAGTTAGACTAATTAGGTTAATTCACTGTATCGCCATATAAGCTTAATCATGCGTTCAGACGGCACCAAGATGCTTTGCATGAACGTCCAGCAAACATTGAATCCAATAGTGATTCAGCGAGTCACGTGTAACCTTATTATCTTCAAATGTGATCTCGAGACAGACAAATCAGGATCAAGACAAATCAGGATCAAGACAAATCAGGATCA